CGTCGTGCTGCCGTCCCCCTTCCTCGGTGTCTCCGCCTTCCCTGCCGCAGTCGCCGTCACCACCGCCGCCATCGCAGTTGCAATCACCGCCACCGCCGCAGCCGCCGCCGCCGCCGTCGCAGCTGCCGCCGTTGGCCTCTGGGGGTGCTGACGGTGAGGAGGGTGTTCGTCCTGCAGCTTCCGAGGGTGCCGCTGGAGTTGGAGGGGGTTCTTGCTCTGGGGGTGTTGGTTCTGGGGGTGCTGCTGTTGAGAGTTCTGCCGACGGTCCTCCTGCCTCTGTCAGTCCGAGGGTTCCGACCCAGCCGTCGCCGCAGCTGTCGCCGCCGGTCTCCGCTCTCCGCCTGCTCGGCCTTCCCTCGCCGGACCGCTCGCCGGTGTCTCCCCCACCGCCTGCTGACCTTCCTGTCTACGGTCCTGTGTTCCCGCCGCCGGACTCGTCTCCGACCCGTCTTCCTCCTCGTTCCCCTCCTGTGTCCCCTCCGCTCTCCCCTGACCCTACACCTCCGTCCCACGTTTGGTCTCGCCGTCCCTCCCGTGCTCGTCCCGTCTCTCCTGTCCTGCGCTCCCACCCTATGTTGCTCCATTCCCGCTCGTCTCGTCCTCCCCTCCTCCCGTCCCCTCCTCCCTCGTCCCTTGCTGTTGCCCCTCCTCCGTTCTCTGACTACCTCCGTGCCGCTCGTCCCCTTGTCCCTCGGGTCCTTGCCTCTCTTGTTACCGACCCTGATGTTCTTGTCTTGCGCCTTGACGCGCTTGTCGCTGCTGTCGCTGACTTCGCCTCTACCCGCCGTCTTGACTACGCTACCGCTCTGGTCTCTGACCCTGCCCGTCCTCCGTCCGTCGGGGGTGCTCCTTCCCTTGGCAGTGACGTCCTAGAGGACAGGCAGTACGAGCTTGCTTTCCTTTCCGAGGCTGCTCCCCATCTCTGCTCCATGCTGTTAGTCCCTGAGGGTGACCCCGACGCCTTCGACATCCCGACCCCTCGCACCTACGCTGAGGCCACCTCGGGACCTTGAGCCTCTCAGTGGATAGCTGCCATGGAGCAGGAGATGGCATCTTGGAGGTCCACCGGCACTTATGTCGACGCAGTTCCCCCGCCTGGGGTGAACGTAGTCGATGGTCGGTAGCTTTTCAAGGTGAAGCGCCCCCCTGGAGAGCCGCCTGTCTTCAAGGCGCGCTACGTGGCCAGAGGTTTCAGTCAGTGAGAGGGGGTTGACTTCTTCCAGACCTTCGCCCCGACCCCGAAGATGACCACTCTTCGGGCGCTGCTACACGTAGCAGCACAGCGCGACTACGAGATTCACTCCCTCGACTTCTCTACTGCCTTTCTTCAGGGCAGCCTACGCGAGCAGGTCTACCTGCGCCGACCACAGGGCTTCACTGGTACCTTCCCCCCTGGGACCCAGTGGCTTCTCAGGCGCCCGATTTACGGCCTGCGTCAGGCTCCTCGCGAGTGGCACGACACGCTGCGGGCCACATTAGCACACATGCAGTTCTTTCCGTCCTCTGCTGACCCCTCGCTGTTTGTGCGTTCCGGCCAGACTCCGTTCTACATCCTTGTCTACGTAGACGATCTGGTCTTCGCTACTGCTGACAGGGACGCACTGGCCTCTATGAAGGCCGAGCTTCTGAAGAGACACACCTGCATTGACCTTGGAGAGCTGCGTCGCTATCTTGGCCTGCAGATCTCTAGGGACAGAGCAGCACGCACCATCACTCTGACACAGTCACACTTGGTGCGTCAGGTCCTTCAGAGGTTCGGTTTTCAGTTCTCCTCCGCACAACCCACACCTCTACCTGTAGACCATGGGCTCTCCGCTCCCGTTCCTCAGGAGCCAGTAGAGCCTAGTGGCCCCTACGCAGAGCTGGTGGGTTGCCTCATATACCTGATGACTTGCACTCACCCAGATCTCGCATACCCTCTCAGCATCCTGGCTCGCTTTGTGGCTACAGGCAGACACCGACCTCAGCAGTGGTCTGCCGCTAAGAGGGTTTTGCGCTATCTTGCTAGTACATCGGGCATGGGGTTAGTGCTAGGAGGACGCAGGCCAGTGGTCCTTACTGGGCACACAGACGCTTCGTGGGCAGACGACTCTGAGACGCTCAGGTCGTCGCTGGGCTACTGTTTTAGCCTTGGTTCGGGTGCTATCTCTTGGAGATCCACTCGCTCGTCGTCTGTGGCTGAGTCTGGCTGTGAGGCTGAGATCTACGCTGGTGTCATGGCGGCACAGGAGCTCCGCTGGCTGACCTTCTTGCTCACAGACTTAGGTGAGCGGCCTAGCTCTGCCCCGGTCCTGTACGCTGACAACTGGGCTATGATACTCCTGTGTCAGGAGCCTCGGCTTGAGGGCAGAGCGAAGCATATCCAGCTGCGGTACTTCCTCCTGCGCGAGCTACAACAGCGCCGCCAGGCCCGCGTAGTTCACTTGGCCTCAGGTGCCAACACAGCTGATATCTTTACTAAGGCGCTTGCGCCTAAAGATCATCAGCGGCACTGTGTACAGTTTGGTCTTGTTCCTGTAGCTACTCACCGCCGCTCTGTGACGGCGCCGTTGGGCCGCAGCCGACCGCGCGACGCCTGTGATGTCGCCACCGGCCGCACGCCAGCTGCCCTCCTTCCCCTGCGTCCCCTCCTCGCCACAGCCGATGCCTGGCGCGTGTGGGGCCCCATCGCCGTCGAGACTGGCCATGCCGCCGAAAGGGCGGGGGCCGCTGCAGTCGCCTCTGATGTTGAAGTCGCCGCCGCCGCCGCCGTTGCCGCAGGCCGTTGCCGCCGCACGCCGCCGACGCCGCCGCTCTCGTTACTGTCGTGGTTGCCGCCATCGCTATTACGGGCCGTGGGGGCTGGCCCCACCGGAGTAGACGTGGCTGATGCTTGGAATGGGGGTGCTAGGTTAGGGGGTGTGGGTGTGTGTGAGCATGTGACTACTAAGGTTAGGGGGTGTGTAAAAATTATATATTGAGTTATATATTGTGTAGGCTTGGTAGATTAGATGTTACTGAACATTACTGTAGGAGGTATAACACCCTTCCTTGTATCCCCCTCTCTTCTTTCCTAACTCTGTTTTCTCTCCTCAACTTTTCTCCTTCCTAAACCTCACGCCACTCCATGGCTCCTCCTAGCTAAACCTCATGCCTTTCCTAGCTAAGCTAGCCTTTTAACACCGAGGGTCAAAACGCGAATTTCTGTTCGGTTCGATTTGGTAGTTCGGGAAATATGGTTTCTTGGTGCTGAACGCCTTAATGTAGAAATACGCCCTAACCTGTGACCACAGAAATTATAACAGCAAAATTACCGAGGTGCGGCATTCTCTCCACTTCAACGCTAACAAACAAAAATCTTGGCGCACCTTGTCGAGTGAAGCCCAAGGCACGTCGTCACATCAGATCTACCACATCTCTGTCATCTCGTCACGCGAGATCCTGTAACTACAGTAAAGTGTAAGGCTGCGTTGGAGTTATATCCTTATGTGAAAAAATACAAATATTTAGGACCCTTATATTAAAAAGTAGCTTAAATATATACCCTTACAGAAGAAGTGGCGGCAAACAAGTACCCTTACAAAAAAGAGTACTTCTAATCCTATCCAGAGATCAGTATGAGAGAATACAAGGGAGCATAAAATGTGGGTTGTACTCTCTAAGGCACAAACCTATATAGTCTAGAACAACATACAAAGTTATGTTTGATAATGAGACCTAGGGCTAATATAGTGCGAGTTGAACAGGGTTGAATGTCGAGGGCTGGACCAGTCAAGAGCTCGATAGTCCCGAGGGTGACGTGGTCAAAATGGGTTCGGGGTGACTCGGGATGAGGTTGGGCCTGAATAGGTCGACGAGGGTTGGTTTGGCGCGTGACTTGAGGGCCGAGCCTGCGGACCCCGAAGGGGTCGCGTGCTACTCGATATGGCGAGCCCCAGTAATGAATCGTAATTCCTAACAATTTTCTACATTTGGTAACCTCTGTAACACTGCATCAGACCAATTCCGCGTCTTCGTAGGACGGCACAAACTCCCTTCTTCGTTACATTTCATCGCGCCAAATCAGTCCCAGTAAAAAATCATAAATGGGCACTGTCAGCATATGGCGCTTTCGGCAGAATCTGACATGGAAAATACTCTTGCCCCATCTTATCTGACCAATCATTTTGTGTGGATCATCCAACGAGGCAATTTTTGGTCCAGCGAATGTTTGTTTGGGATGGTGGGCTTCGTCGTTACCGTGGACAGATGAACTGTAGCTGTCCTCCCCCCAACATGCTGCAGCTGTCCTACCCCCAACATGGTGCAGCTGTCCTCCGCCCAACATGATTCAGATTGTTCAAGAATTGGCATGAGTGTGTGTGGGTGTGTTGCGGGAGGGTCGCGCGCTCGCAATGGAGGGGGTTTGGCCGGTACGGGCGGGGGAAAAGGAGAGATCGTGTCGGTTGTGTCGTGTAGCCAAGCGTCCCAACTTACAGCCTCTGTCCAAGCTTTCACCATACTGTACCACGCGTTTATGCTACTGAAATACGCCAAAACGTTTTTCAGACTTCTGTACCACTTCGACCGTCCGAACTTTTCGGGAGTTCGGATGCTTGGCAGCATGCCCTAATGTACGCGGAAGGTTGGGGGAGGGGTCTGGGGGGTTTCGGGGGGGGCGGGGTGCGCGTTGCGAAGGCACGCACCCACGGTGGTTTGGTTCTCGCGTCGCATAACAGCTGCGTAGAATCTCGGAACTGCTGTGTTGAATTGAAGCTTTGTGTTCTACAGTATTGCTGCCCCGAGATCATGAATGAATTCCCCACATTGCGCACACTGAGCACATCAAGCCCCCAGTCAATTCCGCCCGCAAACCAATCCTGCCCGCCTGGTTGAGCAAACACATGATATGCCCGAAGCCGTCTTTTCAAACCGAGCCGCAACACACACAGCTTCAGAATTTGCTTTGTTCTTAACTGCCGAACAGGTACCGTGCCAAACAGCCTAACTGACATGAGGTTCGGTCTCCCCGTCCCTTCACCAAAAGGACATAGAGACACAGCATATGGCATACAGTACATACACTTCACTCGACATCACATTCCAACAGAACGAAAAAAGTAGCGACTTAGCCTACTACGGGCGTCTGACTTTCCCACAAGCTACGCCGCAGCTAGGAAGGAGGGAGACGCCAGTGGCGAAGGTCGCCGCACATCTGTCTCCTACTTACCCTTCCTCCACAGGTCTTCAACGAGTTCGAGGCGCTATTTTGTCTCGGATTTTCGCGATTCCGAGGTTACATTTCTGGGAATATTGTTGCGGCAGAGGTGGAAAACTCTACAACTCGAGCTCTGCCGAAGCGGTTCCCCGGATCCTTTGTACACGCGAGCGGCGCGGCTGCAATTTAATAACAAGCATGTGTCGCAGGTGCTCCGATGACACCGAATTAGCACCACTCCCGTCGCCAAACTCCGCCAATTCCGCAGCTTCGACCGCGGAGCGACTCGCATCGGGTTGGACCTCGGACTCGGAGCCGCCGCGGCCGCTGCCGCCGAAACTCTCTGCCAGCGGCTGGTCGCGGCTCGCTCACGCGCTGAGCCACAGCAGCCACGGGAATAGCCGCCGCGCAGCCGCAGCGGCGCTGACTCAGACCCCTCAGAACACGGCGCTGGACGCCGGCCGCGGAGCTCCAAGTCGGAGCGTCAAGGACGTGACGGCGCCGTCAGCCGCCGCACTTCTGCCGGCAGGCACGCGTCAGCGGCCGTCAACTGCAGGGGAGTCGCCGCGGTGGGATACCAGCAAGGATGACGGCGAGCCGGCGCTTCTGCTGCTTCCTGACGGCTCCGTCCAAATCGTGTGCGCGTCGCAGCCTCCCTCGAGCGCTCGGAGCAACCGCAATTTCGGGAGAAAACCCGTCCTTTCTGTCCGCCAAGACTTGGAGAATGACGATAGCCGGCCCGGGAGGCCCACCCGCGCGAGCGACGTGCTTCGGGACCACCCGGGCTGTCAGGTAGGGTCGCTGACGTCATCTCATGCCTTCCTTCGCCCGCAGCAGGCGTTAAAGCCCGGCCACGTGTACTTCCTCCAGCCGCCCCTCGCGCTTCCCGCTCCCAGCGACTATGGAACCGATTCGGGTAATTATGATGCTGGTGGCTCGGGTGCGCGGAGGGGGGACTTTGGAGACAGTGGCTCTACGGCGCTGCTTGCCCCACGAGATGCTTGTAACGAGGATGACGATGGCGAGGAGACGCCCCAGCCTTGCTTGGAAGATGTGATTGAAAGTCTCGTCGCTCTGGACCGACACTCCCTCTCCCCCTCCCCCAATCCGTCCCTCTACCGCACTCCCTGCGCCTGCTGCAACGGCGGACACCACCCCACCACTTCCAACTGCCTCTCCTCTCACTCCTCTCACTCCCTCAACCACGCCCACTCGCTTCCCCCCTCCGCATCTGCTGCCATGCGTCCTCCATCCGCATCCCCGCTGATGCCACCCGTGTCCCCACCATCCCCATTTGCTAACTCGCCATTGCGCAGTTGCCTCCCAATTGGACGCCACAGCCGCCCACAAGAGAACTTCTCCACTTTTCCAGAGAACACCGATTTCGGATTTGATCACGCCGCCGCTCACGCATTCGCCTCGTCTGCCGCCCAGGAGAGTTGCTCGTCTCACCTGATCCACCGTGGCTGGTGCACTGCGAGCCGAGGCACGCACCTGCCGGCTCCTCCTTCTGCCAGCGGCCATTACAACTGCAACAGCAGCAGCGCATGTGGTGTCGTGAAGAGCTACAGCACCAGTTTTGAGGTCAACAGTATTGGATGCAGCGGCTTCAGCAGCAGTAGCACCGGCAGTAGCAGCGGCAGCAGCAGCAGCAGCAGCAGCAAGTATACGATCAGTCATGCCAGAGGGTCCTTTGTAGCAGTGGATGACGTACCGGAGAAGGGGCAAGTGCAGCGGCACAGCCGATTCCGAGTGCGAGGAAGAGCCGTGGTGACAGTAGAGGACATGGTGTTTGGCCGGGGGGAAACCACCCTGGCATGAATGAACCAAAGCCATAATTTAGGAGGAAGTACTTGAGTCTTGAGTGCTGGTGCTGGTGCTGGTGCGAACTCCAGCCACAATTGAACAGGCTGTTATGGCCTGAGCAGATCGAGCCATGAGCTGATTTCGGCTGGGTGGACCCGAATTGGGCACGAACCCGAGCCGTGAGTGACTTGCTGCTTTCCTGGTTTGGCCCGTAGCTGTCGGCAGCCAGCCCTAGGTACCACCTGGCTCCTTGTGGTAGTAGCTTTGTTTTGTGGTAGTTCTTGGTGGCATTTCCGTGTTGTTCCTGATATGTATGTGTCAACTTATACATATTAGCTATGTAGAAGTTATAGGCTAGACTGAGGTTTGCTTCTAGTGAGTACAACCAACTAGTATTTGTTATAGGTTTCCACTTCTAGTCATTCATTCAGTTCTTACTTTAACATGGTATCACGCGTAGGTTAGAATCCCCCACCTACCGCTTCCGCCCGTACCCTAGCTAGGCCCCGCCGCGCCCCCCTCCCCTGGGGCCCCGTCGCGCCTCCTAGCCCCGTCGCGCCTCCTAGCCCCGTCGCGTCCCTCCTGGGCCCCGTCGCGCCTCCTGGCCCCGTCGCGCCCCTCCTGGGCCCCGTCGCGCCTCCTAGCCCATCGCGCCCCTCCTGGGCCCCGTCGGGCCTCCTAGCCCCGTCGCGCCCCTCCTGGGCCCCGTCGGGCTTCCTAGCCCCGTCGCGCCCTTCCTGGGCCCCGTCGCGCCCCTCCCGGGCCCCGTCGCGCCTCCTAGCCCCGTCGCGCCCCTCCTGGGCCCCATTGTGCCTCTTATCCCCGTCGCACCTCCTAGCCCCGTCGCGCCCCTCCTGGGCCCTGTCGCGCCTCCTAGCGCCCCTCGTGGGCCCGGTCGCGCCTCCTAGCCCTGTCGCGCCCCTCCTGGGCCCCGTCGCGCCCTGCCTGGCCCCGTCGCGCCCGCTAGGCGTCGTCGCGCCCGCTAGGCCCCGTCGTGCCCGCTAGGCCCTGTCGCGCCCTGCCTGGCCCCGTCGCGCCTGCCGTGTCCCTGCGTCACTGTGTTCCTGTGGAGCTGTGCCGCTGACCCTGCACGATGGCTGACTTCGTGCTCCGACTGGACGCCGAGGGCCATACGGTTCACTTCGCCGCCTGACCCTCCGATCTCCGCCGCCACCTTACATGTCAGCACCAGGATGGCCACTCTTTGGTTGTCCATGTCGATGGCTTGCTCCCCCGCCCCCTTGTCCCTGCTCCCCTCCCTGCTGATCCCTCGTCTGATGACCGTGAGGCCTTCTCTACTGCTGCGCTTGCCTGTGCGGTCTGGGACTCCCGCGATGCAGTAGCTCAGGTTGCTATTAGTCACGCCCTCCCTGTGTCTGAGCGCTCGCGTTTTGCTACTGTTGAGACGGCCAAAGCTTATTTAGACGCCGTTATTGCTCGCTATTCCACACCCGCGTCTGCTTCTACTGGCCGCTTGCTCTTCCCGATGCTGTTCCCAGACCTTGCAGCCTTCCCTACCGTCGCAGACTTTGCCACTCACCTGCGTGCCCTACAGACCCGCTATTGCACTGCCAGCACTGCTGCCCAGCTCACTGCGCTCCCCCCCCCCTTTTTGCATGACGCTCTATTTTATCACCATGCGCCTGCCAGACCGCCTCGCTAGTGCTCGCGATCACTTCCTTAGCCAGCACCCGGGTGACCTCACCCTCACGGCCTTTGTCGACACCCTCACCGAGAACGAGACTGGCCAGCGCACTATCGCTCAGTCGAGCGGTGCGCCGGCAGTCTCTATCTTTCACGGCTGTGCCCCCTCCCAGTGCACATTCACTGACGTTTCGGCTGCGTCGCCACGGCGACCCCTCTCACCGAGACGGCTGCTGCGGTCCACCCGCAGCAGCACTCGCGCCGCGGTGGCCGTGGTCGCCAGGGAGGTAGGGGTGGTGGCGCAGGTAGTGGTGGTAGTGGTGGTGGTGATGGTAGTCCGCCTGAGGGGACTACCACCGGTGGGCAGGAGCAGCAGCCCTTGCCGCAGCAGGAGCATCCCCAGCAGCAGCCGCCGTCCCAGCAGCAGTCGCCACAGCCGTGGGCCCGTCTCCCGCCTGGTTGGCCCGGCACCTCCGGAGGTAGTGGCCGTGGTGGCGGCCCGCGCAGCTCTGTGTCTACCGGCGGCTCCGGTGCTGTCACTTGCCAGTACCAGCTTCAGACCGGGCCTCTTCGTGGCACTCTGTGCCGCCGCCCGCACCCGACCGCCTGCTGTTTCCGCCGCCTCGACGATCTCTTTCGTCGTCGCTTTGGCCCGGCCCCGGACCTCCCCGACTGGCACCGCCTGCTCCGCCAGGGCGTGCCGATCTTTGAGTTAGACATGGATCAGATAGGTGCTGCCTTGCATGCTTTGTATTCTGACGCTTCTAGTGTTGCTGGATCTTATTACCCTGTGTACTCTTGTTTAGGTGTTGCACCATTGTGTAGCTTAGCATCCCCTGCTGCGTCAGGCGTAGGACTGCCTAGCTTGCCTAGTCTAGTCGCTGCACCGGCTCCGTCCCCGGCCTCCGCCACTGCTTCGCTGTCCTTCACTCTCGACTCTGGTGCTTCTGCCTGCTTCTTCCGCGACCGTTCCACGCTCACGCCGCTTGCTGCGCCTGCTATTGTCTCTCTCGCTGACCCCTCTGCGGGTCCCGTCGTAGCTCGTAGTTCTACGTCCCTTCCCTGTCCAGCAGTTCCCTCGGGCTCCCTCACAGGCCTCCACGTTCCCTCGTTCTCGAGGAACCTGGTTGGTGGCGGCTGTCTCCAGGACCTCGGCGTCACCACCACGTTCCCCGGGCACGAGCGGTTTGCTGTCTGTTCTGAGGCTGTCTCACGTTCCCCCCTTGCGACGTTCCCCCGGGACCCGGTGTCCGGTCTGTTTACCCTAGACACCGCTTCCCCCCCGGTTGGTGCGTCCTCCCACGTTGCTGCAGCTTGCTCGTGTCATTCCCTCACTCACCCGTCCCTTCTCTGGCACCACCGCTTAGGTCACCCTGCTCTCCCGCGTCTGCGTCACATGTCCCAGCACGGTCTTGTCTTAGGTCTCCCCGCGTCGCTCCCTACCCTTCCTCCCTCAACTGCGCCACCGTGCACGCCTTGCGTCGAGGGTCGGCTCCGCTGTGCTCCTCACTCCTCCTCGCTGCGCCCTGCTACTGCCCCCCTTCAGACCCTGCTTCGGACGTTTGGGGCCCTGCCCCCGTCCCCGGACCGCGCGGTGAGCGCTACTTCCTTGTGCTCGTCGACGACTACACGCGCTACACCACGGTGTTTCCCCTGGAGCAGAAGGCCGACGTGCCCGGCGTTCTTCTCCCGTGGGTTGTGGCTGCGCGTCTCCACCGCGGTCTCCCCGTGTTGTGTCTCCACTCTGACCGTGGCGGCGAGTTCGCTTCTGGTCGGCTTGGACAGTTCTGTCGTGCGGAGGGCATCACCCAGTCGTACACCTTGCCGGACTCGCCACAGCAGAATAGGGTTGCTGAGCACCGCATCGGCTTGGTCATGGAGGTCGCCCGTACCTCCATCATTCATGCCGATGCCCCCCATTTTCTGTGGCCGTTCGCTGTTCGCTACGCTGCTCACCAGCTTAACTTGTGGCCACGCTCCCAGCGGCCGCAGGTTTTGCCGACCCTCCTTTGGACCGGGTCCCCTGGTGACGCGTCTGCGTTCCACGTCTGAGGCTGCCTTGCTCACGTTCGTGCCTCTGGCACGGACAAGCTCACTGCCCGCACTGTCCCCTGTGTCTTCTTCGGTTTTCCCCTGGACTCGTCTGACTGGCTTTTCTACCACCCGCCGTCTCACCGCTTCCTCCACTCTCGTGACGTCACCTTTGACGAGTCTGTCTCCTTCTACCGCCGGTTCCCTCACCGAGATCTCCCGGTTGCCCCGCCCCTGTTCCTTGCTCCCTCTCCCCCGGTAGCCCCTGCTCCTCTCCCGCCTCGTCCTGCCCTGTCTGGTGTCTCTCACGTCACTCCCCTCCCGTCGGTTGTCTCCGTTGAGGGGTCTGCTGACTCTGGTGGTCCCCCCGGCCCATCCCTGCCGCGTCCCCCTTCCCCGGTGTCTCCGCCTTCCCTGCCGCAGTCGCCGTCGCCGCCCCCGCCGCCGCCGTCGCAGTCGCAGTCACCGCCACCGCCGCAGCTGCCGTCGCCGCCGCCGCCGCCGTTGGCCTCTGGGGGTGCTGGCGTTGAGGAGGGTGTTCGTCGTGCGGCTCCTGGGGGTGCCGCTGGAGTTGGAGGGGATTCTTGCTCTGGGGGTGTTGGTTCTGGGGGTGCTGTTGTTGAGGGTTCCGCCGACGGTCGTCCTGCCTCTGCCGGTCCGAGGGTCCCGGCCCAGCTGTCGCAGCAGCCGCAGCAGCCGTCGCCGCCGGTCTCCGCTCTCCGCCTGCTCGGCCTTCCCTCCCCGGACCGCGCGCCGGTGTCCCCCCCACCGCCTGCTGACCTTTCTGTCTACGGTCCTGTGTTCCCACCGCCGGACTTGTCTCCGGCCCGTCTTCCTCCTCGTTCTCCTCCTGTGTCCCCTCCGCTCTCCCCTGACCCTACACCTCCGTCCCACGTTTGGTCTCGCTGTCCCTCACGAGCTCGTCCCGTCTCTCCTGTCCTGCGCTCCCACCCTATGTTGCTCCATTCCCGCTCGTCTCGTCCTCCCCTCCTCCCGTCCCCTCCTCCCTCGTCCCTTGCTGTTGCACCTCCTCCGTTCTCTGACTACCTCCGTGCCGCTCGTCCCCATGTCCCTTGGGTCCTTGCCTCTCTTGTTACCGACCCTGATGTTCCTGTCTCGCTCCTTGACGCGCTTGTCGCTGACTTCGCCTCTACCCGCCGCCTTGGCTACGCTACCGCTCTGGTCTCTGACCCTGCCCGTCCTCCGTCCGTCGGGGGTGCTCCTGCCCTTGGCAGTGACGTCCTAGAGGACAGGCAGTACGAGCTTGCTTTCCTTTCCGAGGCTGCTCCCCATCTCTTCTCCATGCTGTTAGTCCCTGAGGGTGACCCAGACGCCTTCGACATCCCGACCCCTCGCACCTACGCTGAGGCCACCTCGGGATCTTGGGCCTCTCAGTGGATAGCTGCCATGGAGCAGGAGATGGCATCTTGGAGGTCCACCGGCACTTACGTCGACGCAATTCCCCCGCCTGGGGTGAACGTAGTCGATGGTCGGTGGCTCTTCAAGGTGAAGCGCCCCCCTGGAGAGCCGCCTGTCTTCAAGGCGCGCTACGTGGCCATGGGTTTCAGTCAGCGAGAAGGGGTTGACTTCTTCCAGACCTTCGCCCCGACCCCGAAGATGACCACTCTTCGGGCGCTGCTACACGTAGCAGCACAGCGCGACTACGAGCTTCACTCCCTCGACTTCTCTACTGCCTTTCTTCAGGGCAGCCTACACGAGCAGGTCTACCTGCGCGGACCACAGGGCTTCACTGGTACCTTCCCCCCTGGGACCCAGTGGCTTCTCAGGCGCCCGGTCTACGGCCTGCGTCAGGCTCCTCGCGAGTGGCACGACACGCTGCGGGCCACGTTAGCAGACCTGCAGTACTTTCCGTCCTCTGCTGACCTCTCGCTGTTTGTGCGTTCCGGCCAGACTCCGTTCTACATCCTTGTCTACGTAGACGATCTGGTCTTCGCTACTGCTGACAGGGACGCACTGGCCTCTGTGAAGGCCGAGCTTCTGAAGAGACACACCTGCACTGACCTTGGAGAGCTGCGTCGCTATCTTGGCCTGCAGATCTCTAGGGACAGAGCAGCACGCACCATCACTCTGACACAGTCACACTTGGTGCGTCAGGTCCTTCAGAGGTTCCGTGTTCAGTTCTCCTCCGCACAGCCCACACCTCTACCTGTAGACCATGGGCTCTCCGCTCCCGTTCCTCAGGAGCCAGTAGAGCCCAGTGGCCCCTACGCAGAGCTGGTGGGTTGCCTCATGTACCTGATGACTTGCACTCACCCAGATCTCGCATACCCTCTCAGCATCCTGGCTCGCTTTGTAGCTACACGCAGACACCGACCTCAGCACTGGTCTGCCGCTAAGAGGGTTTTGCGTTATCTTGCTAGTAGATCGGGCATGGGGTTAGTGCTAGGAGGACGCAGGCCAGTGGTCCTTACTGGGCACACAGACGCTTCTTGGGCAGACGACTCTGAGACGCTCAGGTCGTCGCAGGGCTACTGTTTCAGCCTTGGTTCGGGTGCTATCTCTTGGAGATCCACTCGCTCGTCGTCTGTGGCTCAGTCTAGCTGTGAGGCTGAGATCTACGCTGGTGCCATGGCGGCACAGGAGCTCCGCTGGCTGACCTTCTTGCTCACAGACTTAGGTGAGCGGCCTAGCTCTGCCCCGGTCCTGTACGCTGACAACAGGGCCATGATACTCCTGTGTCAGGAGCCTCGGCTTGAGGGAAGAGCGAAGCATATCCAGCTGCGGTACTTCCTTCTGCGCGAGCTACAGCAGCGCCGCCAGGCCCGCGTAGTTCACTTGGCCTCAGGTGCCAACACAGCTGATATCTTTACTAAGGCGCTTGCGCCTAAAGATCATCAGCGGCACTGTGTTCAGCTTGGTCTTGTTCCTGTAGCTACTCACCTGTTAGGATCCTGATTGTGTACCCTCTATTATATATACCTGTCAGACTGGCCTTGTGGCCTTACCTCCAGTGGCTGGACTAGTAGTGCCGCCCTGGCTTGCTTTAGTTTTGTTTGTCTTCTTGCTGACTGGTCTCCAGACCCCTGCCTTAGTGGTTGGACTAATATGCCACCCTGAGCTGTTTGCTTCTTGCTTAGCTTCACCCCTTGTCTAGCCTAGGGGGTGTGTCAATGTATACATATTAGCTATGTAGAAGTAATATGCTGGACTGAGGTATGCTTCTAGTGAGTACAACCAACTAGTATTTGTTATAGGTTTCCATTTCTAGTCATTCATTCAGTTCTTACTTTAACAGTATGTCCATAGCATTGTCTGTTGCACTCACTGCCATTTTCTTATACCGTACATACAAAGAAACCTGCTGAGTGGCTGCTGCTGCCATACCCCCTCCACATATCCCTCTATCTCCCCTCACTCTTCCCTCCCCCTCCAACCCCCCCCCCACAAACACCTTACCCCATGCCAGCAGCGCCCTTCGCTGCTCCACCCTAATTTCCCTCCACCAGCAAATGCCCCATGCCCGTGCCCAGCCTCTTGTTGCACTCCCTCTTTCTCCTCACTTCCTTCCTCCCCAAATTTTCTCACCTACAGCTCCCTCGATCCCCCCCCCCCCCTCCCCAAACACCTTACTCCATGCTAGCAGCGCCTTCCCTGCTCCGTCCCGCTTCGCCTCTTTAAGAGAGCGCCCCATGCCCGTGCCCATCCTCCTGCCGCCCACGTACACCCTCACTCTGTGTGTTTCGTGTGGTGTACGCGGATTGTCCGTGCCTGCATGGCTGACAGGCAAAGGGAAAAGATGGGGGATGGTAACGGGTGGTGGGAAGGGGTTTGGGGGGGGGGGAGAACGCCCCATGCCCGTGCTTATCCTCGTGCCCACGACAACTCTTAGTCTCTGTTTCGAGAGGGGTGTAGGGATTGTCCGAACATGCGTGACTAAGAGTAAGAGACAGAGAGGGCGCATGGCCAAGATGGCAGAGGGGGCAACATGGGCTTGAGCGAACAGTCATCATGGGCTTTAAGGGGCATCATGTGTAGCTAACATGGACTTGGGGAGTTGATGCAGGCGTTGAGAGGACAGCTGTAGCTTATACCATGAGCACGGCCACCCAGCATGGGCTTTAAAGGGCATCATGGGTGGCTTCTAAGGGCATCATGGGTATAGCCTACATGTATGAGGGGAGGTGACTCAGCCGCCGAGACAGCTCTTGCACCATGAGCACGACCAGCCAGCATGGGCTTTAAGGGGCACCATGTGTAGGTTTAAAGGGCACCATATGTAGCTTACATGTATGATGGGAGGTGACCCAGCCGCTGAGACAGCTGTTGCAGAAGAGACACGGGATCCTCCTCTGTGGAGGATGCCGACACCAGAATGGACTCCGTTCCTGTTTCTTTGCTGAGACTGCTGAGGCTGAGGTTGAAACTGACTCCGGGGTCATTCCTGTGATCTTCCTCACGCTCATTCTGCTGCTCATGCTGCTCATGCTCCTGACGGTGCAGATGCTGCATACTCTCTTGCTGAAACATGAATTGATGCTGATGTTGATGCTGATCCTGATCCTGATGCCGATGCTGATGCTGACGGTCGGGTTGTTCCTGGTACTCAGGTCGCTGCTCCAGCCGGTAGCCAGGTTGGGGGTCCTGGAGGGAGGGCAGAAGGCGGGTCACCAAGGCCGATGCTGCATCCAGGCCCTAAGGGGGGGGGGGAGGGGGGGCAACAGGGAAGAGCGGGAGGCAAATGGAGGTTCATGCTTTGAACATGCGCACAGTACTGTGCGGTTGATCAACAACTGCAACGTGTCCCTTTCGGAATTACTGTGCGGTTCATATTAAACATGTCGCCTTGATACTAATGCAGTGACCCCAAGATAGAGGTCTGTTTGCTGTGAGGGTACACTCACCCTTTCTGCATAAACTGCCCCAACAAGTGCCTCCACTGTGCAGGCCACTAAAGAAGGCTGCCATTAAGGGGTACAAACGGGGATGACACACATACCGCATATTAGCAGTCTGCCGCCAATGGTTTTCTGCCAGACAAGCGCTTAACGCTGCCACCATTACACAACAGCACCGTACAACCACCCCATACCAGAGTAGCCTTAACCGCCATCACAGAACGACATTGTACAATCACACCACACAACCACACCACACAGCAACGTAGCATAGCATCCCACAGCCAAACCACAAGTCACGCCACGCCCCACAGCATACCTCCACTTTTTTCTCTCCAGTTGCCATTCCCGCCCGCTTCCCCTGCATCTCCAGGGCGTCCGAGGAGCACAGCATGCAACCTCACACAGTGGCAACACCATATAGTGCCAACACCACATAGTGCCAACACCACATAGTGCCAACACCACATAGTGCCAACACCACATAGTGCCAACACCACATAGTGCCAACACACAACAATAACGCCTTCCCGCCCCACCCAACAGCATACCTCCACCTTATCTGTTCCTGCAGCCACTCCCGCCCGCTTCCCCTGCATCGTCAGGGCGTCCGTAGGGCACAGCATGGCCGCGGGGAGATTAAGGACGTCTGCCCCGATGCGCGACAGGCTCCTGTTGCTCACCTGGTGGCAGTCCGCAGGGGGGACAGCAGGGGGGGCAGCAGGGGGGACAGCAGGGGGGACAGCAGGGGGGACAGCAGGGGGGACAGCAGGGGGGAAGTGGAACAGCAGGAGGGAAGTGGGACAGGAGGGGGGAAGGGGGACACGAGGGGGTAAGGAGGACAGGAGGGGGGAAGGGGGGCAGGAGTGGGGGAAGGAGAACAGGAGGGAGGGAAGGGGGACAGGAGGGGGGAAAGCGGGACAGGAGTGGGGAAAGGGGAACAGAGGGGGAAAGTGTGTGCCAGGGACTGGTGGGTGTTTGTTCGTTCAGTGGATGCAAAACTACGTCCGGACTCACGTAGCGAGCTAGGGGAATTTAGAGGGGAAATAGAGATAGATATGCAAAGGACGAGTGGGCTGACGGGAATGTGGGGAGAGGACAGCGAAACGAATGAGGCGTGGAGGGGTGGGAGGGAGAGAGGGGAGAGGGGAGAGGGGAGGATAGGAGCCAAGGGAGGCTAGGGGGTCAGGGAAGATGCGCACGTGTGCACGAATGCAGACGATTCAGAAGACGAACAGGCAGGGAGGGGGACGTAGGAGCAACGGCCATGCTTACCAACTTGTTTTTGCGTGCTGTGAGCTCGCCCTGGCAGTAATAGGGTGGGAGGAATGGGAGCACGGAATCATGGAGAAGAGAAGTTGGTTATCAAGGGGAACACGATTTCTGGGGCCTAAAGAAACGAGACAGGACAAGTAGAAGTGCGACGAGGACAAGTAGAAGTGCGACGAGGGAGACTAGAAGTGCGACGGGGAGAAGTTGAAGTGCGACGAGGACAAGTTGATGTGCGACGAGGACAAGTTGATGTGCGACGAGGAGAAGTTGATGTGCGACGAGGGAAACTTGATACACCACATATCCTCCTCCTCATTCTCCCCCCCGTCAAATTTGGAGAAAAAAGCACGACTCGGGCACGCTGGCAGGAATCCCCTTATCCCTCCCCCCCCACTCCTTCCCCCTTCCCACATCTCCCGCCTGCATACACCAGCAGCGCACTCACACACGCAGGGACTCATCACCATGGACATGGGCGGCTGCTGCCTCACTAGGTGCAGCACGCATGTAAACCCCAGCACTGAGTCCCCCACTGCCTCCAGGTGCGACCGCAGCTGTGGGGGAAAGAGAGACAAAAGAAGCAACGTGTGGAATACTGTGAGCCGCGTAAGGGCACATTCCTCGCCTGTGGCAGAAAACTTGCCACAAAGTTATCAACGCTCACGATCGTCTCCCATATCTCAGGTTGGAATCTCGACCGTGTATAACTTGCCACAAAGCAGTCTGCCACAGGCAAGGAATGTGCCCTAAGAGCATGTGAGCGCAGCTGGAGTGGGAGGGGCGGAGGAGGCGACAAGAAGGGTCATGCTGGGCTGTTTAAAAAGCGGAAAGAGAATGGGGGAGCAGAGGCAAGCAAGAAGGGGAGTGGGGGTGGGTAAGGAGGAGAGGAGACAGAACAGAGGAGTGGAAGGAACGAGGAGCCATGCTATGTGCGTTACGCCATGCTTCCCTCTCTTTCGTTGGATAACCCTTCTCACTCGCACTCTAGTCAAGTCCCCATAATCCACCTCCTCACCAGCCCCCTCTCCCGTTCCTTTTCCCTCCCCCCTCCCCTCCCTCCTTGCCCCCCCTCCTCCCCCCCACGCCCCTCCACCTTGCCCCCCCCCTCACTCCCCTTCTTGCCCGCCCCCAAACCCTGCTGTGTGCTGTGAAGTAGGCAGCAGCGTGTTTTTCAGAATTCCCAATAACACCCCCCTCTAGCCCCCCCCCTCACCACCCCTCTAGCCCGCCCCTCACCCTGCTGTGTGCTGTGAAGTACGTGATGGGCTCGTCCACCCGAGCACGAATCAATGGAAGGTTCTTGCTGCCTTCCTCCACGCCGCCTTTCAGGGCGTGGTTAAGAGGCTGACTGGCACGAACTGAACGCTGTGCGCCAGGCATGAGCTCGTAGTAGTACATGTCCTGGGCCTGATGGGACATGGAGGGGGAGAGCAGAACAGGATAGGGAGAAATAGCAAGTGTAGTGATAAGCTCCAATGCGCCAGGCATGAGCTCGTAGTAGTACATGTCCTGGGCCTGATGGGACATGGAGGGGGAGAGCAGAACAGGATAGGGAGAAATAGCAAGTGTAGTGATAAGCTCCAATGCGCCAGGCATGAGCTCGTAGTAGTACATGTCCTGGGCCTGATGGGACACGGGAGGCAGGGGGGGATGGGGGGGAAAGTAAAGGTGGGGAGAGGGGGGGGGGGTTTGCAGAAGGGATTAGGGAGGTAAGGGAGAGTTGCAATGAGCTCCTGTGCTCCTATACGTGTTAACGGTCTGACAGGAGGGCGAGTGGGGACGAGACGAAGGGGATAGGGAGAAGCAGGAGGGCACGGAAGCGGGAGAGCCCATATACTGCAGGCATGCGCGCATGATGGCACGTGTTTTGGGTCTGGCGAGATGCGGATGGGATGGGCAGAAGGGGGGGTGGAGAGATGAGCTCCTATGCGCCAGGCTTGCGCACATAATCGTACATGTACATAGGAGCACATAATCGTACATGTACTGGGTCTGGAGGGATAAAGACGGGGGAGAGGGCAGGCAGCAGGAGGGGGAGGAGGGGGGAAAGGAGAAATGTCAGTGCCAAGTCCGAGGCCTGATGGAAACTTGGGGGGCGGAGCATGGAAGGGGAGGCAGATTTAGAGGCTGGCTGCATGGAATTAGAGTAAGTGGATAGAAATCAGCTTGCTGGCAGAACAGGGGGGAACCACAGGGACGACGCAGAGGACAACGAGGAGAATGATGTGACAAGCATGTGAAAGAAGCGCCAGAGGGCTCTGTGCACGTGCATGAGGGCCGTGGTCGTGCAGAGGGTATCGGCCCTGTGCAGGAGCATGGGATGCAAATGAGGCCAGCACACCACTCACCAGGCACCTAAGCAGCAGGTCTGGAGATAGGTCGACCCCCAGCCGTTGAGAGAGGTCCTGAGAGGAGGAAACCCAACAGCAACAGCAGAGACAACAGCAACAGCATCGACAACAGCAACAGCAGCGACAACAGCAACAGCATCGACAACAGCAACAGCATCGACAACAGCAACAGCATCGACAACAGCAACAGCAGCGACAACAGCAACAGCATCGACAACAGCAACAGCATCGACAACAGCAACAGCATCGACAACAGCAACAGCAGCGACAACAGCAACAGCAGCGACAACAGGAGCGACAGCGAAAGCGAGAGCAAGAGCGAACGTGAGAGCACAATAGGCAAGGGAGAACAGAAGGAAGGGTGGAATGGACGGGAACCGGGTTGGCATGGTGGGTGGAGAGATCAGATGACAGATCAGATGACAGATGAGAAGAAGGTGGGAGGAAGGAGCCTAGCAACCAAGCCCCATACCCCAGCCCCCGCTCTCTTCCCCTCCTCCCTCCCCTTCCCCCCACTTTTCTCCATCCATCGCTTCCCCATCCATCCCGCCATCCCCGCCCCTTCCCCACACGCATGCCTCCCCATCCCCTCCCCCAACCCTCCACCAAACCTCCCCCAACCCTCCCCCAACCCTCCCCCAACCCTCCCCAACCCTCCCCCAACCCTCCCCCAACCCTGCCTGGTCACCTCTATCCTCTGCCAGTGGCCGGGCGGCAAGGGCAGTCTGTCAGATATGGCGTCAGGGAGGGACCACCACACGTCAGGGTTGCTGCTGCTGACGTGGACGAGCGGATTCGTGATGTGATGAAACGCTCTTAAACGCATGTCCCCCCTGCGGCTGCTCCTCTGCTCCAGCCGCATCACTCCTCTGCTCCCAAAAGAAGCAGAATCTGACACTACTAGGTCACACGAGGGGAACATCATGTGGTAGCCTGGAACCGCTGGTGATGTGCCACGTGGCATCATATCAGCACGTGCCTTCTCCGAATGACCTCGGCTCGAACGCGGCTGATCAGGCATCATTCGCTGACACGTCAGCACGTGCCGTTGAAACGTACCGATGGCGCCAGGCATCATTCTTGCAGGTGCTGTCAACGGAAGGCTCCTAGATCCGTCTTTGCAAAATCGTCCTCCGGCCGAGAATCTATCTACAACGCTTTCCACTAACGATGCAGGAGATGCCTTATGTGGAATCATGACGTGCTGGTAAAGCGTCCAGCCGCGACCAGTGACTGAAAGTGAAGAGATACAGTCTCTACTGGCGAACGAATCTTCAACTTGAAGAACGCCGAAACCGAAAATGCTTTTGGCGGCACGGCATTGAGATAGACGAGTGAATCCGAAAAGCGGCGAAGCGATGCGCGTACCGGAGCGAGAGAGGCACATGAGGAAGAAGATGGCAATGCAACGCAGAGCCAACGGAATGGATAGGATATTGGGAGGAATATACGCAGGACACAGTGGCCGTTTTCGTTGCCACCGGGTAACACTGTTCGCTGACACGTGGATAACCCGTGACGGGTCACGACTCACGACGTCATTAAGACGCGGGTCGCTCGATCACGCGCTTCGAGTGAAACAACATCGGTAGAGCATCCTAATGCTGCACACGAAGCTCATACTTCTGACGAGGCGCGAACTGGACACATGGAGACTACGCTCATGCTTCGAGCCGATTTGGTGTGGGAAAATCTCGAGGGTGAAGCATCTGTGCATGGCTGACTGGCATGAACAAGGCGCTCCGCTAAGAACACCTGACAAAGCCGACGCTACAAATCACCAATCAACCTGCATAAGAGTCACCATCAAATATCCGCCACTTGGTACGATGCATCTCCCTCACATCCCAATCAATCCCATATCCCCGATATCGCTATAAATAATTCAATTCGTCAATGCTGTTTACATACAGTGCGCCATAATAGAACGTGTAGGTTTATGACACAAGCATTCGCATCCAACTTGGCTCTTGTTGCAGATTACGTGGTGACGAGTTCGCCTATGGTCATAGTTTCGTGAATCTCTCTGAAGCCCGAAGTGTCTCGCGAAATTCCTCGCCAGCACCAACCACCCTCCCTCCCAACGTCATCGCATCACACCGACCACTGATCCAGTTCAGCCAGGCGGTAGATCGGGGCAGGGCGCATTCCACTGGGCTTGGCTAGTTGGCACGTGATGTGACGTGGGGGAGTGACGCACAGGCTTCCCCCGCAAGCTCTCGCTGGGCTTGTCGAGTTGTCTCCTGGCATTCTCTCTGCAGGCTTCTTTGCCTCTGCCATAGCTCATTTTCTGCGCCCTGCACTGCTGTGTCATGTCATCCTCGAACGATGCTCCTCCTCACTCAGATGCTCCAAAGGGAAGCCATTTCTTCGCCTCCCTCGTCACTCCAGTCATGCATCGCGTCGCGACACGCAAAGACGAAACTGAACGCGCAACTGCGTGCCCTGCGCCTTCTCTCATTTCTGCGCCCTTTTCGCCGTCACGCACTGCGTGGGCGGAAATTGCGGCGGGCGAGAAGAGCAGTCGCGTCGCGTGGCGCGCAGAAATCCTCCCCCCAGCCGCACATCCAATACGCTCGCTCGCCCGCTCCAGTGCCGCAACTGAGGTCGGGCATTGCTCAGACAGGTGGCGCTGGGAAGGGTTATCCTAACAAGGTCATCGACTCATCCCGTGCAGGGAAAGCGCATCTATGCACGGCTGTATGTACGTAGGCGGCTGTACAGCGTACATTCTTCCACCTGCTGCTGCGCCTGGCTGCCGATGCGGCGGAGTGGCCCCCACATACACAGGGCTCATCTCAGCCCAGTCTTGTCCAGTCAGGAAAGAGAGCGCGCTGCCGGAATAAGTTGTGATCCACGTGGCAAATGATTCTTTTCCAAGGAGATGGCTGTCCGATTTCTAGGCAGACTTGGCGGCTGGAGCAGGCAGGCCTCCTCAAAGCTTTATTCAAAAGCTACGTGCTTGTCCTCCTCGCAGGCATCAGCAGCATGATGCTTCAAACCATAAATGTATTTTTTCTTTTTTTTCTTCACGGACGTTCTGCCCTCTTTCTCATCTCACCCGCCCTCCCGCCCGTGGGCAGCGCCCTTACACTTACTGATCCAGTGCCCACTTTTCAGCCATGGCTGCCCTTCCGGCCGCTGCCGATCGGAATGGTGGCTCGTCTTCACCGCTTTGGCTCGCATGACGCGCGTGCTCGCACAGTGCTCGCACAGTGTTCCAGCAGTCGAGCCAAGGCGACAGGGTTGGACTTTCCCCCCCCATCTCGTCCCAGCTTCTCGTCCGTTGAACCCCAGGTTAGGAGCGCTTCATCCGCCCTCCGCCCGCCGCCCTCCGCCTTATAGTCCTCTCTCCAGGTCTCGCTCTCGCTCTCTGCTCACCTACAAGAAGCGCGCATTCGTCGCATCCCTTCATTGTTGAACGATTATCGACGCCTGCTCCAGTTTGGAATGCTACTTGGGTATTCTCGTATACCACTCGATCACCATCTGCTAACCCGATGTTGGTACGGCGGCGCCAGTAGCGCGACCGCGCGATCGACGAGCCGCTGCTGGTTAGGACGACATTCCATCACTGCGCTGATTCCCCTAGTAATGCTTCCCGCACACTCCTGCCAGTCATCCGTGTCGCTGCTAGGGTCGCTGCCAGTCATTCCTGTCGCGGATCCTCGTTCGATTTTCTCTCACCATCGCTCCCTCGGGAGCGCCTGCTCCTAGGGTTGGCGTTCTGATCTAACTAAATTTAGACGATGGATTTCTTCGACACAGACCGATTCAGCATAATCGCATCCTCCCTCACCGATTGGCTCCTGACTGAGAATCTGGCTGCCGGCACGAAGACGGCCTCCGGGATTGCCGTTGCGACGGCTGCTGCTGACCAATCAGCTCCTATTGAGAGACGTTAGTCTGTCAGTCCCCGTTACAATCTTCACTAACAAACGGCTCCACCTGGACGGAAGGTTATTTTGAATTGGTTCGACTTGAATCTGATTGGTTGACATCCGGAGGTGCGAAATACGGCTCAGCTAGAACTGAGCGTCTTCTTGCTGATATGGCGGCTGCAGATTCGTTGCCAGATTCGCCTCAATCCTCGGGCGGCGCAGCACGCCTGAAGAGCAGTCCGCAGGGACGGCAGCGGCTTTCCATCAAGCCAGCTCACTTCAGCCCGGAGGCGCGGGTTCAATTCTCAGCGCGGCTGAAAAGGCTCATTGAAGGTGTGGCTGGGGCGGAGGGGACTACGGCTGGGCCAATCAGCAAAAGCCATAGCCCAGGCTGCAGTGGCGGGAAACCTTCTCCAAGAGGCGGTGTGACTATATTAAAGGGGACGTTACAGGAGAAGCAGGGCAGTGACACGGATGCAGGAAATGACGTCAGCAGCCATCATGTCCTCTTGGACAAGAAACCTTCTGTGGGGGCGACGGGGGACTGTAAGACAGCGACGCCATGTGACTGTATCGAAAGGCAGAACTCAGGGGGTCTCAGCCTGAGCAACATGGCCTTGCTGCGGTTCACACTCGCTCCTGCCTCTGCAGTCAACCCCCTTACTGTCACCCTCCCTGCTGTCACCCCCCTGACTGTCACTCCTCCTGGCATCACAGCAGCACCAGCAAGCGACTCTGCGTTTACTGCTGCATCCTCTGGGGCTTCCCCCTTCACCTCCTCCTCGTCCTCCTGCTCCATCCCCCTACCCTCAGCTGCTCAGCCTAAAAGCGCCTGGGATTCTGCCCTCGGTGCTGCTGCTCCTGATGCTACTGCCACTGATGCTGCCGTCCTGTCTTCTCCCACTGCACACGTGGCTGCTCCTGACTTTATGCAAGACAACTCGGACCCTATTGGCGATTTCATCCCCACCCCTGGCATGGAGGAGTGTGCTGCTGCTGCCGAGGGCGCTGGGAGGATGGAGGAGGAGGCTAGTCTTCCTTCTCCCCCTACTCGTTCTCCGCTCATCCCCTCGTCTCTGCCTTCTCCTGCCTCTCCATCCCGCCTGGCCCTCCACCGTACACCACTCCTTAGGATACCTGACCTCAGCCTTCTAACCGCACGTGCCACCTCCACTCAAGGTGCTGCTGTTTCGGCCCCTGCTGCTCCCTTTATCTCTGCCCCTGCTCCTGCTCCTTCCCCTACCTCTGCCTCTGCTCCTGCCCCTCGGTGTGACAATAACGAGGTGCTGATGGTCCCGGAGGACGACGGCTTCATGTGGCGCAAGTACGGGCAGAAATTCATCCGAGGCTGCGGGCGGCCCAGGCTGTATTTCCGGTGCGGGCAGCCGGGCTGCCCGGCGAGGAAAACCGAGGAGCGGGCGGCGGATGGGAAGGTTTTGGAGCGGACGTACCTGGGGCTTCACACTCATGAGGCTCCGGCTGCTGTGAGTGGCGAGCTGAACCGACAGGTGGGGGAGATGTGCCGGCGGCTCGACATGCTGGGAGAGGAGCAGAAAGAGGAGATGCAGGGAGAGGGCCAGCAGCAGTTGATGATGGTGGTGGAAGAGAAGCAGGCTCAGCAGGGAAAGGATGAGGAGAAGCGGCAGCAGCAGCAGCAGCAGCAGAAACCGTTGGAGTGGCAGCAGCACCTGGAGTCAGGAGTGTATGGAACCAGCAGCAAGCTCCAAGGCCTCTTTGACCTCTCCCTCTTCGATTCCTTCCAGAGTGACTACAACGAGTGTGATGGGAGCAGCAACAGCAGCGGTAGCAACAGCTGCTCGTTGTCTGGTGGAGAGCTATCTGGGGAAGGCATATCTCAGGGAGGTGTATCTGGCGCAGGTGTATCTCACGGGGGCCTCGCCTGGGCGGTGACTGATAAAGCATGGGGAGGGGTAGCTACAGGTGACTGTAACGAGGGGCAGCTCAGCAGCCCCAGCTGCTCGCTTGCTATGATCGAGTCACTACTGATGAGTGATAATGAGGCCAGCAATAACGAGTACAGGTGGAGGGAAGGAGGGACAACGGAGGTCAAAAGCATGTCAAACGACGAAGTGACTGCAGGCAATATGACAATAACGAATGGGGCATTGGCTGTGGGCATGGATGCGCTTCTCAAGTTGCCGCAACCACGCCCACATCCAACGCACTGTTCACCCGTGAACTGTTCATCACATGGCTGCCGCCCAGCATGTCCAGTTGGCAGCAGCGGATTGGTTCTTCCAGCAGATTTCAAGAGGAAGGGGTCCCCTTGTGGAGAAGGCGGAGGAGAGGAGGAGGCTTTGGACGTGTGTGCATGCTGCAAGCACGGGGAGCGAAACTCAGTCAAGCAGCAGTAAGTGCTCCGATAAAATCCAGCGCCGGCATTCTCTCTGCTGCTTCTACCCTTGGTGATGCTTTGGGCCTTCTGTGTTAGGGGGGAGCCATCTCATACTTGCACTTGACTTCAAATCATTGCTCTGTTACAAGGTAAACCGCCCCTGGTATCGTTGCTCAGGATTCCCTGTCCTTTCCATCCCCTCTCCCCTCTCCCCTCTCCCCTCTCCCCTCTCCCCTCTTCCCTCTTCCCTCTTCCCTCTTCCCTTCACTCCCACATCTTTCCTACAGGCGCACAGCTTCTGGTACGACCAGCCCTTCTCAGGCAGCAGCCGCACGCGCATGGGCAGCTGCACCCTCCCCTCCAGGCGTTGCTCCAGGCGCTCCTTCAGGTGTTTATTCAGGTGCTGCATCAGGCAGCCCCTCAGCTGTGCGCATGGTGTGCGCTCACCAAGTGATGGAGGAGCCAAAGCTGGTGGTGGCTGTGCGCAGTGACGTCGATGTAGTGGACGATGGTTACCACTGGCGGAAATACGGACACAAGCTGGTCGGGGGTAACACCTTCCCCAGGTACAGCCCCGCTTGTCCTTCCCCCACCCCATCCCCGCCGTCCTCTCCCGTTGTTTCTCTGTCCTTCTAAGCTTTGTGCCATTCTCGTTCGGTTCAATTCACTTACCAGCGATTTTTGGCGCATGCGCCTTCTACACCTGCCGTGTTACTTTTACTGCAGGAGCTATTATCGATGCACCAGCGGGAACTGCAAAGTGCGCAAGCAGGTGGAGCGCTCCAAGCAAGACCCGTCCATGGTGGTAACTACCTATGAAGGCCGGCACAACCACTGCGCACCTGGACCCATTCTCTGCCTCCCCCAGTCACTGTAGCTGGCAGCGTTACATCGGCTTCTAGCTGTCTCTGGCCTAGCCCTATCATGGGCCATGGCCTGCTTGTTGTGTGGGAGGTTCCCTTTTCTTTCTTGCATGCTTTCCTTTCCTGCAGGTTGTTCCAAGCGCCAACGCAAGGCCTGCAACACAATCGTTGGACTTGGTGTTTCGGGCCTTGCGGTGGCACATGGAACCACCGTACGTAGTATGGATTCACATAGGCAGTTGGAGTTGAGGTGGTTTAGATGGTCCTTGTAATTTATCAGCCAAGAACCGAGCCCAGAACATGGACTGCATCAAAGCATGGAGGTTGGATGTTCTGGTTTCGCTTCTTGGTTCTTAATAAAGTCAGGCTTGATTGTTGTCTTCGTACGATTTTCCTGCAATGTGTACCATGAAATATTTGACCAGATAGAAATTGAAGTGACCAAGTGTGAGAATTGAAATGTTCCATGTTTCATAAGTATTCTTCTATGAACATAGCCATAACACCCTTGCAAAAACCCTCGTCATTACTGTCGGAACGTAATACCGGGTTCGAGCTCCGGCTTGAGACGAGGACAAACGGCTCATCTGCATTTAGCAATCAGGAGCATGGTTGCATCTGGGGAAAGGTCAGCAGTGACATGGCGATAGTCACAGGGAGGGTCGATTCAGCCGCAAATTTCGTGTGCTGTTGGCATCTGCCTTCATCGTTAGGCTGGAATCCCTCTCGAACTATTCACGAGCTATCCCGCAGTAGGCAGACGGGCGTAGTGACGAACGTAGTTATTTCAATTGCAACTACGCGTATAGACTTTCCAATATATAGCCTCCTCGGACTCGCTTAGGCCAAGATGTTGGATCGAACCAGGGTCCAACGAGAGCTCGTCGAGATTAAAAGGGATCCTGAGTCAGGGGTGACTGTAGACGTTCCAGGAGATGATCTCGCTCGAATGAGCGGGACTATAACGGGGCCTGTCGGAACGCCGTATGAAGGCGGAACGTTTCTGGTGGATATAGTACTTACAGGTACGGTCAAGGCACTCGTACAATGAATTGGGGGACGTCTTTCCTCCCACTCCTCTGTTCGGGATTCTGACTCAACCCCTTGCTTTGTTCAGATTCGTATCCGTTCAAGCCTCCGAAGATGACCTTCATTACCAAGGTCTGGTGCGTACCGAAAACTACGAGTTTCATCATAGTCTCCTCATGCAGTGCGAACTGAAGGCGTGACAGAGTTCTCGTTTGGCAGGCACCCTAACGTCAGCAGCCAAAACGGTGCGATATGCTTGGATATCCTGAAAGACCAATGGACCCCTGCTTTGACTCTCAAAACGGCTCTATTGTCACTCCAAGCCCTATTATCATCGCCCGAACCTGACGACCCTCAAGACGCAATCGTCGCCCAACAGGTAGTGTGTTTCTGGGGATGGTACTACTGGCATCTGGTCTTAGCTATCTGACCAAGACTACGTTTTCTCCTTCCGCAGTATTTGAAGGATTATCAGACGTTTGTCAACACTGCCCAGTACTGGACAGAGGCGTTTGCCAAGAGACCATCCTTGGCACTTGATGAAAAGGTTCGTCATCAGTTGCATTTCAAGCTCATTGGCATTTTTTAGTCATCCTTCCCATATACTGCGTGCAAGGGTATTCAATCCTGCAAGGGTTCCTTCTGCAGGTGAAGAAGCTGGTGGAGATGGGCTTTTCAGAGACATCTGCAAGATCGGCTTTGGAGAAGTGTGGAGGAGATGAGAATGCAGCGCTGGAGAAGCTATGCAGCTAACTGGATTGTGAATATGCAATTATATTCTCCTAAGGTCTCATGGTTCCAATTGAGACCAGTATCACCTTTAATACATCACCCTACACTAGAAACCATCTAGGCCTTAGAGTAGCACCATTGAAGTGGAATAAACTTCTGTATGGTGTTCAGTAATCGTTTTACCGCACTGCGCCACGACGACTACCTCCCGATATCGTGCACTTCATTCTTCCAATACCATGACCCTCCATGAAAGCCCACTGAGCAGACTTAGGTCTGAGCTCCTGACCCTCGTCCCATGTCCTTCCAGAGTTTCTCGCGATTCGCTGCCATCAGGCACGCGAGGCGAGCTGTGCGCGCCGCTTGTTGCTCGCAGCCAGGCGGCTCTCATCCGATAGGAAGTTCTCCGTCAGCTGCTCTTCTTCCGCCTCCTCCGAGTCTTAGCCTTCCACATCGTGCTTTTTCCTCCGCTGCTCTCGTTAGTGCTAGCGACTTTGCGTCACGAAGCAGCTTTCAAGAATTAGGAGGTGTTGAAGGTCCGTACGTTGACGGCCGTGATACTGATCAAGACAAACGGCCGCGTAAGCAGAAATTGGCATCGCCGTCAGCATCTCACATCGATCCATCCTCGTTTGAAGTTGACTGGAGCGCGATATCGCTAAGAGGCCTCCACCACACCTTTGTTGATCTCCTGGCCGATTTTATTCTGCCAGAACCCCCTCCAATTTCAGCATCCACTGGCGCCGTTGCTGCTCGCCGTGAAGCGAGAAGAGGAAGCGGAGGCTTGTCTCGTCGCCGAAGCCGCGTTCCCAGTCTGTTCGAGGAGATCCGGAACCAATGGCGGCGCTCCAGCTGGCATGTGGACGAACTTTATGGGCAGAGGGGATCGGATGATGGTTCGGTTGGTGCCAGTCGAGGATCCGCTGTTGAGGGCAGATCGGACGGGAGAGGTGTGGGCATGAACCGGTTCCTGATTCGCGGGATAATCTACGACATGTCCGCCTTGATGGTGTTTGATAAAGACTTGGCGAGTGGGAACGAGAGAGATGCTTCAGCAGTGCCAAGGCGTGTTGAAAACGCGGCTGAACGTCAAATCGGCTCTCCAGGTCAAGATGCAGGACAAGGGTTGACCGATTTCGATCAAGAGAAGCTTCAACGAGCTGAGCTGGCAACACGTGATTGGGAGAAATTTCTCCTGGGCGGGCCCAGGAAGCGAAGCCACGTGCCTGGAGTGAGTGACAGCAGTGCCAGTAGCAGTGGTGCTGATGCTACCACAGGTGCTGCTGGTGGAACAGCAGCAGCAGGCATGCCATCCACGTCAGCTGTCACCCAGGGAATTTCATTGGACGAGATGGCTGAGAGCATGGGACTTCCCACATCAGCTCGAACCAGCCTAAAGCGGAGCAGCAGTGGAAGCGCCAACACCAACACCAGCACCAGAAGTAGCAGCAGCAGCCCAAACAGTCCCCTGCCGGAAACTCCTGCTCCCCTAGGGGGTGCTCCTCTGCAGTTCAGAGGAGGCGGTAGCACCAGCAGGAATGGAAGGGGGGCATCAGCGGAGCAGCGGTTGGAGGAGCTGCTAGCGGGGGGGACGGGAGGGGGCGTGCGGGCCAAGTATGGCGCGCGGCTGCAGGAGAAGAAGATGCTGGCAGAGGCGCGCAGGGAGCAGCAGGGCGGCGGGTTCGCCCAGGCTGCTGCTGCTGTGGCCTCCGCTGCCGCTGCTGCCAGCACTGCTGCAGCTGCTGCTAGTGCTGCGAGATTGAGAGCAGCGAAGGGAGGAGAGGGTGGGATGCTTGTGGCGGGGATGGCAGGGGGCGGACGGGGTGTGGGGGGTATTGGATGGGTGGTGGCTCCTGGGTCTGCACGGATGCTGCGCCATTTCCAGGTGAGGTGGCGCTTTGCTGTTGACTGATGGCGGCGAGGGAGAGCTGAACGGATCTTGGCAGCTGCCATGTTTCAAGGTTTAGCCTTCGTGAAAAAAGATGCATATTTTTTCTTTGGCACAAAGCAGAACCCGTCTTTTGCGTGTTTGTTGCTCCCCTGTCCCTGAACCCGTGTCTGCAGTCACGCACGCTGAAGCAAGCTCTGCTAACGACCCACTCGCCTCTGGACGTGCTCCATCTTATCGACCAGCTCGGCAACTTCGCCTTTGACTCCCGCATCAACTCTCACGGTCGTACTGCGTCTGCTGCCTCGTCTCCCACTTCCTCGCCCCTTCTATCTACCTCTTCTGCATCGTCACCTGGACAGCAGTCAGCTGCACATCAATCAGCAGCAGCATCGCCATCAGCTGCAGCAACGCCAGGAGCACCTGGAGCCACATCAGACAAGCCAGAGTCGTCTCCTGCGGCAGCACCAGCAGGGCCGGCTATTGACTCGTTGGAAGCTGCCAGGAAGAGGTGAGGCGATTTTGGAGAAATATTTTCCAAGAAACTTTGAAGGTTGGGAAAATATTTTTAACCTACTTTAGCTCCGGTATGATTTTTTTTTTTTTTTTTTTTCCTGCTTGCTGATGTGCAGAATTCATCTTGAGTCACTCGCTGTGTACTGCTTGTTGATCCCATTGACTGCAGGGTGGATGAGTTCCATGACGTCTGTAAGCGGTGGAATTTGAAGCCATCGCAAGTCCTTGTGGTAGGGTTTTACCTGATTCTTGCAGTGCCTGCATGACGACTTCATTACTTCTTTCTGCCCATGTTCTCCTCCATCCTCCTCTTTTCACTGCTGCAAACCTCCTTCCTGTTTTCCTGTTTTCTTGGCACGTGCTTTGCTTTCCACATCATCACTTTGTTTATGCTCTCTTTTCTCGCCAGGTGCTTGGCTCAGGACGTGGCTCATCATATCTCTCGCAAGCCTTGCAGGACAGCCCGTTCTTCATCTGTCAAATGTCCACATATTTGCCTGGTCCTGCTCGTCAGGCTCGGGCTGATTGGAATGCCCCTTCTTCCTCACAATCCAGCAAACATTTTGAGTTTAGGGATGCAGCAGCACCACCCAACAAAGCCGCAGGGTCTGTTGAGGATGACATGCAGGGTGGTTCTGTGGAGCATCCAAGGCATGCAGCACGGGAAACGGGTGGATGGGCCGCATGGTGGAAGCAACTATCAGAGGGTACATTGCACAAAAATGGGGAGGATGGTGGATACTTGCATGTGGGTGAACGGAGAGAGGTTGCTGACTGGCTGCAGTCGAGTGCTCGGTTCAAGGCAGCCGACATGGTGGAATTGAAAGGAGTGGTGGAGGAGCTCAATGGGGTGTCATATAGAAGCAGCACCTTCATGCACGCACAAGGGAGGGGCTAGGGGGGCGTATATTTGAGTGCATGTATGCTCTCCTTGTCCTTCAGTTGTCCTGCTGTATTAGCACATTAGCCGCTAGCATGAATCCACCTAGTCTATTGATAGTTGTGAAGCTACTTGGTGGGGACGAGATTTTGAATTTCGACTTGCCCGCTTGTGCAAGCATGTGTCACAAATAAATGTTTTTGCACATTGTATCTTACTGAAATATGTGGACCAATTTTTGCTATTCCACACTCCCCCCAACAAAATCACTACATAGATGACTTCTTGGATTAGTGAATACCTTGTTACAATCGGGGCACCTAGTTCGATAGTTCGATAGGCTGGGTATGTGGAGCTGTCTAGATCCTGCGTATGGAAGCATAATTTGAGATGCAATGGATCGAGTCACTTCAACCACTTCCGTTCGAAGCCAAATACACTGAATCTTTCACCCCTTAGTCTGCCAAAAACGTGCTGATTGTTGAACGTCCATTGACGTGCTGGACCGTCTTTTGCGTGCTGATTGTATTTTTTGCGTCACTGTACGAGGAATATCTCCCCGTTTCAGTTTCGCTACAGTGACGTCTCTGTCGGTGACGACACATTCGCCGTCGTCGCACGGACATGGTTCGCGGCCGCCAATCGCAGCTCACCAACTCGTCACAAAACTTCGCCACTTCATCCGACTAGGAGCGCAGTTTCGCAAACCGCACATTTCCAGCAAAGCATGGCTAGGTGAATCGCATCCAATTCCCGCGACCAGTTCTCCCGAACCCCTGCGAAAGCGCGTCAAGGGCAGCCTTCGCACGCCGGACCAAACCAATCCCTATAAAGAGTGAAGTCTGGGGCAAGACAAATTCATCGAACCGAAACCAGCCTCAAGGGTGCTCCTCACTGCTCAACTGCCTACAGTTCTTCGCTCTACTCTGCGGCGTACCGTTTCACTTCGAGGCTGCCCGCTGCTCACTGCCCGTTGCCCTTCTCTCATAAAACCCCGAGCTCAAAAATCACTTTTCCATTCTCAAGGTTTCATCGGGAGCCTCTCATTCAGGGTCTCAGCGCTCACAGCTCACCCTATCCCTAGGTTGTGGCCGTTCTTCTTGCTGCGCTGGCAGGCAAATCCCTCCCTCTGACAGATTGAGTTGAGAGCCACTCGTAGAGCACTGCTGACACTCTCCCTCGCTGTTTGTGGGACTGCTCAGTGCTCACCAGAACTTGCATTATATACCTCGCCTGTCCGTAGAGCGAGGTTTACTTACGACTTCCGAGAGTTCAGTTCTCCAACGGCTCTACGCGAGCCAGATTCTTCTGTTTCAAATTTCTTCTGCTTGTTCTTAGACTGTGATTCGTTTCCTGCTCTAAGAATGGCCTTCCTCGCGCGCCAGGTCGACATTGCCACAACCTCTCGTCTCGATATCGAGTCCGACGTGGCTGATTCCTTCACGGCCAAAAAATCGTTCTTCACCCGGCCTTCCTCGCCGACGCGAGTCCTCTCTAATCCCGAGCTCGCCGACAGGATCTCCCGAGTCCCATCTTCTCGGATCCTTTCCGCCACGTGGAGATCTCAGATGTCCGATTCGGTCGCCACGTGGCAATCGTGGGAGCTGCCAGTCCCGTCACATCACAGCTTCTGGTCCCACGGCGGCGCTGCCGAAGCTGCTGCCCTAGCTGCTACAGAAGCGGACTCAATCGGAGCGGCCAAACTGCAGACTCTCTGCCGGCGGGATGCAGGCTGGGCCCCGTCGCTGCTCGCCATGCTCGCCGTCCAGCCGCCGTCCGGCACGACTTGCAACTTAATCTCCCGCCAGCTGCACTCCTTGCTGCTCTGGGACGACTGGATGAAGCGCCACGGCTCTACGGACGAGTTCAGCGGCCTAGCCTCCGTGTTTGGCGCTCAGGCGAAGCAGGTCGCGGCGCCGTCGGCTAGAGACGAGCAGCAGGCGGTTAGCGGCGATTCCGGATGTTCGGCGTTTCCCAAGAGGCTCGACGCAAAGTTTCCTCTGAAGAAGAAGGCGTTCTGCGACTCGCTCTCCGCGCTCTGTAAGGAAGCCGGCTCGAGCAACTTCTGGCTGGCTCACTACCTGCGCAGTTTGCAGCAGTACGCGCTTGTCGGCTTGCCGCTTCACCTTACGGTCAAGCGGCACGCAGCAGCCGGCAACAGCCCGTCTCTTGACGACTATCTTCTCTACCGCGCTGCCACCTCCCCCGCAACTCCCGCCGCGTTTCTCGCCGCCGCGTCCCGCAACCTCCCCCCCGTGTCTGATCGCACGTTCGAGTCGCTCGTCCTCCCGCTCCTCTGCGTCGGCTCCGCGTTTTCCGCTTTGAAAAGCGACTCGCTGCTGGAGCGGCGACGACGGTCGCACGAATCCGCGTCGCTACCCGCGTCGCTCCTGTTCGACGCTGAAACAAGTTCATTGCTTCTGGACACTCTCGAGGCGGCTTTTGTTGAGATGGCTGGGAAGGTCGAGAAGGAGGCGAAGCAGCTGCAGCTGGCGTCGGAACGAGTCTCGGTTTGCTCGTTCGTGCGGCTCCTCAGAAGCGTCATCCACGGCGTCAGCCTATGGCAGAGCGCCGCGTGGCGGTTCCGGGACCTGGCTGCTCCTGCAGGCGGGCTGGCTGAGAGCTTCAGCGAGAGCGCCTTATACGCTAGCGAGTCGGATTCTGATAGCGAGGATGAGTGGGGTAGCAACGGAATCCGGCGCAGCAGCAGCAGCAGCAGCACCAGTGCCAGCTTGAGTGGTTCTGAGCTTCCCCAATGGCTTCTGGAGCAGATTGAAGCTGCCTCTGTACGCTTCGCTGCCCAATGAGTGATGGGAACAGTTAGCCCTAAGTCTCGCGCCAGTCACGGGTTCCTGCCTCTACCCGGAGCCATCCCAGCTTTTTAGCTCAAGCTGCGAAGCTGCTACCTCCGGTCCATCAGCCGTGAGCCACCTAGTCTAGGGGCGGAGTGCTTCTGGCATCTCGACCACCTGGCCAGAGAACAAGTCCACCTGGCTGCCATGCCCGGTGTTCTCTTCTCTTCGCTTGGAGCTCGCCTTAGGATTATTATTTCGGCCGGTTGCCTGGGTACACGTGGCTGGCCTTCAGTTTAGAATTCACCCATCTTTTGTACATATTCATTTTTGGAAAATGATGCCCTCTTTTATCATACTCAACCCACGAGCGGCCAAGAAACGTTGAGCTTCCAAGGCAGAGATCTCTGAACTTCTACATTCTGAAGTACCCTACCATAAGAACATTTACACCATCTCATTAATTTTGTAAGGCAGCTCAATCACTTGATCAATCCCAGCTGCCCTTGTTCCGCCTGTCAGACTTCTTGCTTGACTTCAGCTTCTTATCCTGCAGCCTCCGCTCGTTCTCTGCCTTGGCTCTGGAAGCGACGACAGAAGTGAGGCAGCAGGCAGGCCAAGCAGCAGGCACGAGGGAGGGCTGTGTTAGCCTGGATTGTGCACTGCACATGTACAATTGTAGTACATGTAGGTGCACGCAGATACCTGTAGGTGCACGCAGATACCTGTAGGTGCACGCGGATACCTGTAGGTTCTTGTAGGTACCTGTAGGGACACTAGTGCCTGGAGGTACCTGAAGGTACACTAGGTACACGGAAACTCAGGATCTCGGATTCTTCGTCCACGCAGCACACTTACAGCTTTTTTATGCGAGCCTTTTTCTCCTCTGATGGTGGTGGGGGGACATACCCCGCTGCATCAATAATTTTCTGTACGGCGTGGACACACGGTAAAAAAACACGGCATCAGCAGGAGGATATTGGCATGCAATGTAATGCAATGCAATGCAATGCAATTCAATGCAATTCACTGCAATGCAATGCAATGCAGCTCACCAGAAACTTCTGCCTTTCCTGCCTCAAGCTTCTGCTTTTCCTACCTGAAGCTTCTGCTTTTCCTACCTGAAGCTTTGCAAGTGCATCGTCGATGTTGCCCCTGGTCAGTGCAAGGAGGCAATAGGACGGGGGGAAGGGCAAACATCAGGAGAGGTTGGCACGGACAAGAATGAGAGAGACGATGTGACTTTTGAGTCGACTGAGGAGGACGGACATCCATGGCGCCTAGCTGAGGTACAGCTGTCAGCTGTAAAGAGTGGTACGGACGAAAGTCATCTCGCAACCACGCACTTCTGGGTTCTTGTGCGCGTGGACGAAACGACTATCTCCCCATCACTGTTGATCCGATTCTTCTCCTGCCGTTGCAGCAAGTGCGAGCACATGGCAGCAGATGGGAGCAGCGTCGAGAGCCGTTAGGCCATAACACAGCACGACATGGGAAGACATGGCATGGCATGGGGAGGCATGGACGTGTGGCGAAACACGAATCTAAATTGCACGATAGCCGATCTCAAGCTACGCCTGTCATCTCACCTGCTCCAGAATCTTCCACCTTATCCGTTCAGGCAGCCAATCAGCATCGAGCACGTTGAAACGCATGTCCACCTTGGTGTTCACTGCCATGAAGGGAGAGCGTTGGAATGAGGTGGGCATCGGGGGCATGTGATGGCATGGGGGGGGCAAAGAGGGCATGTGAGGGAATGAGGTGGTACGAGAGGAGGTATGGCGTTCACACAGTGAGCATCCCCTACGCTCAAGCTCTTCAGCACGGCTGCCTCGCAAAGCTATCACCACCATGGTTACCCCAATGGGTACGAGAGGAAGGACTACTTTTGAGGCGCCTCAAAAGCTATCACCACCATGGTGAACCCCAATGGGTACGAGAGGAAGGAGAGGAGGTACGGCGTTCACTGTGAGGGTGAGTGAGTGAGTTTTGAGTCGACTCAAAAAGGTGATTTATAAGTTGACCAAAAGATCACCCATGGTGAACCCCAATGGGTACGAGAGGAAGGAGAGGAGGTACGGTGTTCACTGTGAGGGTGAGTGAGTGAGGGGACAGTGCAGGGTTTGGCGTGGAAGCACGGCCTGATATACTCGTTACAAGGTTTCTCACATTTATTGACGTTCTGTCCCCCGGGCCCTCCGCTGCGTGCAAAGCTGAGTGTCACCTTGTCTGGGGGGGAGAGGAGGGTGGGGAGGAGGGTGGGGGAGGAGGGCAGGATATGGGGAGGGCAGGACATGGGGAGGGCAGGACATGGGGCAGGGTGGCAGGGGTGGAGGGATGTGAGGAGGGTTCGGTAAGAGAGGCTGACAGTGTGGCGGGATGGGGTCATGGGGCCTTGGACTTGCCAAAGCACCTTGGGATCACCTCCTATCCTAACCTCATCACCAGTGGCCTTGGGGCTGCCTTCTGACCATAACCTCTGGAATCTTAGGAATGGGCCCAAATTCTTCCACAGCAGCCTCCGCTGCTGTCGCCTGCAGAAAGTCCGCCATCACTGCCAATCTTGCAGGCAGCTCTGGGAATCACTGTTGCAACTTGGAACCTTAACTTCTGTGATACTGAGTCAACTCAAAAGCAGACCCTTGGGAATCACCGTTGGAACTTGGAACCTTACCTCCTGTGATTTTACGAATCGCCCCATCCCCTCTATAGCCACTTCTGCCTCTCGCGCCTGCAGGAATTCCGCCTTCACCGCCATTCTCGCAGGCAGCCTTAGGAAGGGTAACCTTGGGATTGCCCCTTGAACCTTACTCTCGACGATAGTACAGCCTCACCCTTACAGCCTCACCCTTACAGCCTCACCCTTACAGCCTCACCTTCTGTGATTTTGGGAATGGGCCCGTCGTCCTCCACAGCAGCCTCCGCCTCACGCGCCTGCAGGAATTCCGCCTTCACTGCCATTCGGGCGGGTAGCCTTGCCTTGCCCGCCCTGCCGCCACTGCTGCTGACGTCATCCTCCCCATCCGAGTCGCTGCTGCTGGTGGAGTACTCGCCAGAGGAGGACGCGTTACAGGAGATGGGGTACCGGTGCCGACTGGCATGGGAGGTGGTGTGACGGATGCGGGAACCAGAACGGACGCAGGGATGGAAGGGGAGAGACCAGAAAAGGCTAGCGACTCAAATGGGTAAATTAGGTGAAGGGAGCAACTGGGGAGGGAGGTATTGGGGGTAGGTTTGGGCAAGGCATGGCAATTGGGGGGGGAAGGAACAGAGCAGCAGCCTCGACAGTGCATCGCCCTTTTTAGTCACTGGAGCAGGCTGTTTGCGTTGAGATCGAACCTGACGTTTTCCATCAACCGCGCGACGCTTGTCCCCCAGGCACAAGCAATGCCACGCGCTTGGAACGGGTGCTGCTGCTGCTGCTGCTGCTGCTGCTGGTGTTGCAAGGGCTCGTAGTAGGTAGACGAACCAGCAGCGTGCACGGGACAGAGAGCGGCGTGAGCATGGAATACTGAGACCATCGAGCATTGCGACATTTCTAGTTGCACGCGACATTGAGATCGCGCGGGAAATAGAGCCGTTGAGGCGCCGGCGCCGGCTTGCTGCGATACTAGCTGCCAGTGCTCACGGCGATAGCAGCATTTGTGGCTGGTTGTACGAGGCAAGGCCCTGGGCAGGCTAATGACGACGCGCCACGTGGACGACGTCGCCATTCTGGATTGCGAAGGAAACCGGATTATGCTTGCCGAATCCTCCCGTGACCGTGTGACCGTAAAAAGCGGCGTGCAGGAGAAATGGCGCGAGGAGAGGGCGCCGGAGGACAGTTACGCGAGGAAGAAAGCTGGAAGGGGTGTTAGGTTCCTGACAGGATTCAGGCTAGACACGAGACGTGACAACAAATAGAACCACCTTCTCGTAGCTTCTACACCTGATCAACTCCGATTTTCGAAGCCATGGCTGCTTTTGGAGAGGACTTGAATGAAACGCGATTAGGGAACTCGATACTAGGCGTAGCAGAGCTGCCATAGACTTTGTGCACATTTCGTTTTCACAAAGGAACATATTGTTGAGCATTTTCACAAATGGTATCCTTTACATGATGGCATTTACAAGGATGCAGGAGAAAAAAAATGGTAACTGAAATTCTATATACAGTGACTTCTAGAAAAATATTTTTCACTTGAAGCCAATGGAATGGTGGTGCCTTTCATACTTCAAACAAGTCTGCTTGTAATGCACCACGAGAAGTTTGCTCCTTCTGGGGTTCACGTGGATCTTAGTCACTATATTAGACCAATCATGGCGAGAAGCTGGGCGTGAGGACGCTCCTGGTTGGTTGAAGTAATTGGGTTTGTGGCGGGGTATTCACTTATTGGTCGTTCTTTCAGCGCAAGAATCATTGCCACGCGGCAAGGACATGTTTGCAAAGTATTTGCCTGCTTACCGGGCAGCGTCGAAGTGTGGTTACCAGCAATCCATCAATAACAACCGTCAGATTCTAGTTTCTAGTCGATTGAAAAGAATCCGACGACCGTGTAAAACGTTTCACTGCTGCTGCTTCATGTTCTGGTGCCCGAAGTTTTCAACCTTCGTGGGGCATTGGTGCAGCGTCTGAACCAAACCATACGTGTTTCCGCGTCATTCCACCAAGTCTCCAGCCAATAAGAATCTCGTACACGTCGAACCGCTTCTACCCCTGCCATTTCCAAATTCCCGCTCACGCTTTCCCCCAGCCTTCCACCATTTCCCCGCATTCTAGACCTCAACCATTGCGGGGCTCGTCCCCCGCCACAACCTCCAGCATGAACTCCCACGCCCCGCTTCTCCTCCGCGAGACTTCCAAGTTCATCCATCCCCCGCCCGCACACATCCCCCCGTACTCCGCACCTAGCCCAGCCTTTCGCCAAACCTTCCAGAGACAACCCACCCAGTCCCAGTTTCTGCTGGAGGCTACAGCGTCACAAACTCCAACAACTCAATCCCCCACCCCCTCCCTCCCCCACGCCCCCCCGCCCCTTTTCCTTCCCTCCTGTCCTCCCCGCGCCCACCGTTTCTCCCCTGCACACGCTTCCCTTGCGTCTCTGCTCTTCACCGTTGTCCAACAACCCAGCTTCGGCCGACCATAGATAAACTGTCCTTCCGCTGCATGCGGTCATTCTTGCTTACTCCGTTTCTTTGAATCCATTCCAGCTTGTGAATTCCAGTTTCTAGGTGGCTGACAGGGCTTTCCTGTCGAGCCGGTTCATACTCGCTGCCTTGTACATACACGTACATACATCCAGTCCCACGTGTAGATACATAAGCTTTCATTGTTTGCCGAGCCTTGTGTGAATATTCATTAACCATGGCGTCCTTTGCCCTCTCCGTTGCGAGCAGCACTGCTCCACCTTCGCGCCTGGAGCTCCCCTCCCGAACTACCCACCAACTCTCCGGTCAAGCTCACTCTACTGCCACACGTGCCACTCACTCTCTCACCGCTGACTACGACGGATTCCGTCAGACATCATCTTTCCCGTCAGCGTCCCCCGTATCTCACGCCGACGCGTTCACCGCTAGCGTCACCCGTCAGCTCGCCCCGTCCTCCGCATCCTCCGCGCATCGCGCCACGGTATCCGCCGTGTTCGACCGGTTCACGGAGCGCGCCATTAAATCCGTGATGCTGGGTCAGCGCGAGGCGAAGGCGCTCGGGCGAAAGGAGGTCGCGACGGAGCATCTGCTCCTGGGGCTCATCATGGAGGACCGCGCCAGCAGCGGTACCGCCAGCGCGAAAGGTTACCTCAACACCGGTGTAGCCATCGACGCCGCTCGCGAGGCCGTTCGCGAAATGATTCGCGATGGCACGCTTTCGCCGTCCGAGGGGTCGGACAAGCCCGCGTCCGAGGTGCCGTTTTCCGCGGGGAGTAAGCGGGTGTTCGAGGCGGCTCTGGAAGAGTCGCGGAAGCTTCGGCACAACTTCATCGCGCCGGAGCATCTGGTGATGGCGGTGCTTAGCGTGGAGTTCGACGCCGCTGCGAAGCTGCTCGAGCGGTACGCTTGTAACGGGGATGGAAGATGTGATACCGGATGGACTTTATCCAGCTGTGTGAATTCGAACGCAGAAAACGAACGGCGAACAGCTTGACGATTTCGCCTTCCGAGCAGTCTGTTGGTGTCAGGTTGGGAGTCCCCAAGGAGCGCGTGCGCTTGTGTTTTACTCTCCTCTTGGCATTCTATGTTCTTGCTGCTCGCAGGCTGGGCGTCCCCAAGGAGCGCGTGCGCGCGGAGGCGGTGGCGCGGCTGAGGGGCGAGCTGGCGACGGAGGGGCGCTCCACCGACTCCATCTCGCTCTCCGCCAAGCCCTCCGCCTCCGCCAAGTCCGCGCCGGACCCCGCCCGCGCCGCCGCGCTCTCGTCGTCGTCCAGCTACAGCAAGAAGGGGTCCAAAAAGGGTACGCACGGTTTAAGAGGGGTAACGCGGAGTGTAGACGGCTAAGCACGAAGTTTAGAAGGGTAGAAGGTTGAGCGGAGATGGACTGAGAGGGTTTGCCGTTGGGCCGTGAAAAGGTATGGCAAGGTCCAGAAGCTTAGTATAGTAATCCTTGGGAAGCTTAGTAGTCACAAGGGCCTGTTTAATGGCAGAGTCACGTGATACGGAGGGGGGGAAGTGTGTCTATGGATCGGCAATTCGTGCATGGAGGCTGACTTCTTCCCGTATTTCACGGCACCCCCCCCCCTTTCCTCCCTTAACAGCGAAGAGCGCGCTGCAGGACGTCTGCCTGCACCTGACGGTGATGGCCACGGCGGGCGACCTCGACCCCGTCATTAGTCGCAACCGCGGGGAGCCTTCGAGTCAAATCTCACTCCGCTCCTTCTCCGTGATTTCCTCCCTCTCCGCCCTCCTCCCTTGCTGCAGACAAGAGCGCGCTGCAGGACTTCTGTCTGGATCTGACGGTAATGGCGATGACGGGCGACATCGACCCGGTGATCGGCCGCGACCACGAGGTGTCGCGCGTGGTGCAGATCCTCGCGCGCCGCACCAAGAACAACCCGCTGCTGCTCGGCGAGCCCGGCGTCGGGAAGACGGCTATTGCGGAGGGGCTCGCGCTGCGCATTGCGGAGAACGACGTCCCGGTCTTCCTGCAGGTAGGGGAAGGAAGGGCTGGAGAGCATTTTTTAGAATTCCCAAAAATACCCTGGAGAGTTAACAGGTGCCGGTAGCACCGCACTACGTACAACCCGCTGCTGCTCGGCGAGCCTGGCGTCGGAAAAACCGCCATCGCCGAGGGGCTCGCTCTGCGCATTGCGGGGAACGACGTCCCTGTTTCCCTGCGGGTTACAGGGGGATTGAAAGTAAGCTAACTGCAGCTTCGTGCTATTTGACATCATGAATCGCTCTCTTATACTCCGTTCGCTTTCCGACCCCGTCTTCCCCTTGCCCTCTAACCACCTTGTTTCCTGCCTTTCTGTCCCCGTTATAGGGCAAGCGCGTGATGTCGTTGGACATGGGCCGGCTGATCGCGGACGCCAAGGAGCCGGCGAGCTGGAGTCGGCCATCAGCTCATCTCCCCCTCTTCCCCTCCCTCCCCCTCTTTCCCCCCCCCCCCTCCCCCTCCCCTCCCCCTCCCCCCCTCCCTTCCAGGGCAAGCGCGTGATGTCGTTGGACATGGGGCGGCTGATCGCGGGCGCCAAGGAGCGCGGCGAGCTGGAGTTACGGGTCACCAATCTGGTGGCGGAGGCGGTCAGCGCGGGCGACGTCATCCTCTTTATAGACGAGCTCCACACCGTCGTGGGGTCGGGCGCCGTCTCCCGCGGAAAGGGCTCGGGGGGAGGGGGAGGCGGAGGGCTGGATATTGCTAATCTGCTCAAACCCGCGCTCGCCCGGGGCCAGCTTCAGGTGGGTGTGACTGTAGCGAAAGGTGAGGTCGCTGTAGCTTGTACTACCGCTCGGACCGAGAGGAGGTTGTAGTAGTAAAAAAGCGAGGTGCTTTTCGGAGGCTTGGTGTAAGGTAACCCTGTGTCCCTCCGCCCCCCCCCCCCCCCGCCCCCCTCCCACCCACCCCCCCGGGTGTTCCTTCACCGTGCAGTGCATGGGCGCCACCACCATGGGCGAGTACCGCAAGCACGTGGAGAAGGACAAGGCGCTCGCCCGCCGCTTCCAGCCTGTCGACGTCTCGGAGCCCTCGCAGGACGACGCCCTCCTGATCCTCAAGGGCCTGCGCCGCCTGTACGAGCGCCACCACAAGTGCCACGTCAGCGACGACGCGCTGATCGCTGCGGTACAGCTGTCGGCGCGCTACATCCCCGACCGCTTCCTCCCCGACAAGGCCATCGACCTGGTGGACGAGGCCGCGAGCCGCGCCGTGATCGACGGGTTCAGGCGGAACCGGCAGCGGGAAACCAGCGTGCTGCACCGCGGACCGGAGGAATACTGGCGGGCGATCAGAGCTGCCCAGGCGGCCATCAACGCGGTGAGTCGTGGGGTGGGCGTGTGGGCATTTGGGCACGGTCAGGGCGGCTATGCATGCGGTCAGGGCGATCCATGCGGTCAGGGCGATCCATGCGGTCAGGGCGGCTATCCATGCGGTGAGCTCTTCAGGTGAGAGGGTGACCATGGGCTGCACGTGATCGCGGGTGTGAGCGTGTAAGAAGGATGACGTGAGAGGGATTCCGCGGGAGGAGAGGAGACCTGAGTTGAGCCGCCCACACAAGGTTCCAAAGCGACCAGGAAGCAACTCGGGGTGCTCCTTTCGTACTCGGTTCATTTGGGGTAGCTCCGAAGTTTGTCTTTCAGGTTTTTATTATAACACTTCAGGAGTTTCTTCAGGTGTCAATGCTGCGATCAGCACACTCCACAGCGAATTACAGCAATTCACCCTTAACCTCCCTTCCTCTCCCCATTATCCTCCTGCTTTTGGTCTCCCCCATAAGAGTCCCCCCCAAAATTGCTCACAACACTTGTTACGTCTTTTTTCCTTACCCGCGGTTGTCCCTCGCAGGTGGAAGAGGTCCAGTCGCCACTGGGGGCGGCAGGTGGCCCGTCTGCGTTTCTCTCAGAGGAGCCGAGGGCGTCCGCTCCTGGCACTGCGCCTGCTGCCACTTCGGGGTGGTCCCCTGCTGGCGATGGCGACAGGTACGCAAAGAAGGGCCTAACGACCCGGACCTGGGCCTTGCGACATGCACACCTCCAAACCCTCCCTTCCTGCCCGTTGCCCTTCACCTGATCCTGGCCCACCTCCTTGCACCCCTTGGATACTCACTGCCTGCCTACCCCGCTCTCCTTTCCGCACCCGCACCCCAGTCCGTCGATCATCTCGGAGGACATAGCGGCAGTGGCCTCTGAGTGAACGGGCACCACCCCCCCTGCAGCAGCTCACAGCTCGCAGCGGACGAGCAGAGGCACCCCACCCCAGCGACCTGGACGCCGCTCTTATCCGCTTCTTGCTGCCACTTTCTTGCACCTGTTCCACCCTCACCACCAGTCCTTCCATCGGCCCAGAGGACATAGCGGACGAGCAGCTGACGCCTCCCAGTGGACGGGTATTCCCCTGTAGCAGCTGACAGCGGACGAGCAGAGGCACCTCAGCGACCTGGATGGAGGGTACCCTACCCCCCCGCCCCCTCATTGCCTTCCCTCTGCTCCCTCCTGTTTGACCCCAGCCTGTCAATTGGACCGGAGGACATAGCGGCAGTGGCGTCCCAGTGGACGGGCATCCCCCTGCAGCAGCTCACAGCGGACGAGCAGCGGCACCTCAACGACCTGGACGCGGCGCTGCACTCGCGCGTGGTGGGGCAGGACGAGGCCGTGAACGCCATCGCAAGGGCTGTCAGGCGGGCGCGAGTGGGGCTGAAGGACCCCAAGCGGCCCACGGCGGCCATGCTGTTCTGCGGGCCTACTGGGGTGGGCAAGACAGAGCTCAGCAAGGCGCTCGCGCACCACTACTTCGGCTCGGTGAGTGTTGGGGAGTGGGGTGTCCCTTCCTATCAGCTGGTGGTTGTGCTGCACCCTCCTTCTGCGGGCCGACAGGGGTGGGCAAGAGGCACGGGAAACGGGGCCCTGCCCTGTGAGCTGGTTCTCAGCTAGCCACCTGATGCTTTGCCTCCTTCGTTTTGAGGCGCCTCAAAACTATGACTCCTGCGTATCCCCTCATCCATTTCTCTCTCGCTCGCTCTCCTGGTCCACTCAACCTTGTCGGTGTGTCCCCCTCGCCCCACTCTTCCCACTCCACCCCTCCCATGCATCTCCACCAGGAGAACGCCATGATCCGCTTGGACATGTCGGAGCACATATGGAGCGCCACGCTGTCAGCAAGCTCGTCGGTGGTAGTGCAACCAGCGAGGCGATGAGTTGCACCTCGTCGTCCCCATCCCTTTTGAGTCGACTCAAAACCCATCCCTCTCCATCCCTCTCCACCCCTCTCCACCCCTCTCCACCCCTCTCCACCCCTCTCCATCCCCTCTCCATCCCCTCTCCATCCCCTCTCCTGGGCTCTCCTTCCGATGAGCAAGGGCCCCCCCCCCAAAAAAAAAAAAAAAAATCTCCACCCCCTTCCGCCTCCAATGCCCTCAGGAGGACGCCATGATCCGTGTGGACATGAGCGAGTACATGGAGCGCCACGCTGTCAGCAAGCTGATATGTTGTTGGGATGCCTCAAAGCCCCGGTTCCCCTTTCCCCCTGTCTCCCTCCCCGCCCTCCTATGCCAGGAGGACTCCATGATCCGCCTGGACATGTCCGAGTACATGGAGCGCCATGCCGTCAGCAAGCTCATCGGCGCGCCCCCGGGGTACATCGGCTTCGGGGAAGGCGGCAAGCTCACCGAGGCCGTTCGACGCCGCCCGTTCTCCCTGCTGCTCCTAGACGAGATCGAGAAGGCGCACCCGGACGTCTTCAATCTCCTGCTGCAGATATTCGAGGATGGGCGCCTGACGGACTCGCAGGGGCGGCACGTCTCCTTTAAGAACACGCTCATTATAATGACGAGCAACGTGGGGTCGCAGGCGATAGCCAGGGGAGGCGGGAACCGGGTGGGGTTTGTGCTGCCCGGGGCGGATGAGGCGGATGGGGGGCGGTACGCGGGGCTGAAGGCGCTGGTGACGGACGAGCTCAAGGCGCACTTCAGACCGGAGCTGCTCAACAGGATTGACGAAGTGGTGGTGTTCCGGTCGCTGGAGAAGGCCCAGGTGAGCAGCAGCAGAGGTGCTCGGTTACAGGGTCAGGTCCGGCAGCTGTCAGGTATGACCTGTGTTGCCCGGGGCGGATGAGGTGGATGGAGGGCGGTACGCGGGGCACAAGGTGTAGTTCAGACCGGAGCTGCTCAACAGGATTGATGCCGTGGTTGTGTTCCGATTGCTGGAGAAGGCTCAGGTAAGACGGAGGCCCAGGGTCCTGTGTGTTCCTGCTGCCTTGTCGGAAGCGCGCTTTGAGCCCCATGCACATAGGGCGCACTTACAGACTGGAGCTGCTCCACAGGATTGACGAAGTGATGCTCTGCAGGTCTCGGAATTCCTCATCCAGGGCATCTGCCACCCCCTCCTCAGCATGCCCAGCAAGTACCCAGCACATGCCCCTAAAAAGCGGCTTTCTTCTGTGCCTCCCACCTTCCCCATCCCTCTTTTCCCCTCTCCTCCTCCCCCAGGTGCGCACCATTGTGGACATGATGATCAAGGAATCCGCCATCCGTCTCTCGGAGCGCAACATCCGTCTGGAGGTCTCCGAGTCGCTCATCCAGCGCATCTGCGACGAGGGCTACGACCGCTCGTATGGCGCTCGCCCGCTGCGCCGCGCCGTTACGCGATTGGTGGAGGACCCCATCAGTGAGGCAGTGCTGTCCGCCAAAAGCGGCGGAGGGCTGGTGGCGGGGGGGAACGTGTCTGTGCTGGGGGGGGCGTTTGAGGCGGGGGATACTGCGCTGGCGGATATCGGCCCGGATGGCGAGCCGTTTGTGATGCGCATTGCCAAGAGTGACGCCCGGCGGGTTGTCAGTCTGGCGGGAGTGATTGTGGAATGAGAGTTTATCGGGCTGGTGTAGCTTTTCGTTCATGCATAGTTGCCGGGCCACAATTTGCCGAAGGTGGGAGATGCTGCTGTCTGATTGGGTAGTTGTTTCGAAGACATGGCTGCTGTACCGGTAGTTTGGCTCCCAGGTGTAGATATGTCTGTCATATATGGCTTGGAAGGTGCCAGATCATGTAGGTCTTTCGGAGGTTGGGCAAACCCTATTTATTCACACGTGCAGCTTGTTCTAAGTTGGAACGTATGAAGTACAAAAAGAACCATGGCTGGCTCCCAATTTATCATCTTCTGTGGACTGCATTCAGAACAGCAAGCAGTAGAGCAGCACCATAACTACGGTATGAGCTTCCTGTTGAAGTCTGAACTAGGAAGAACAGAGGAGGCCGCCATGAAATGGCGGCCAAGGGTTTAGCTAGAAGCTGGACGAGAGTGTCGAGAGAGAAGAGAGGTAAACTAGAAGAGAATGAAGTACAAGAAGGGGGTTGTCCCCCCTACAGTAGGATGCAGTTAGTAGCATAACTACCAAGCCTACAATTATATAAAAATATAATTTGAACACACCCCCTAGGCTTGGTAGTGGCAAACCCACACAACCCACACACACACCCCCTAACCCCGGACACCCTCATTCTCGTGAGCAGCCGGGTATCGACCCCTCGTGCTAGGCTATGACACCCCCGGTCGAGAGGCAGCTGGCCGCATCTGGGCGGCCTCAATGACGACAGCGGCGGAGCTCGTGCTCAAGGCGGCTGTGTCGATGAGGACAGGCGGCGACTGCGGCGGCTGAGGGCTCTCGGCGGTGTGGCACGGGCTGGCGACGACCGAGCCGAAGACAGCAGCTACGGCAGGAGCAGGAGGAGATGCAGGGGAGGGAGAGGTGGTGGAGCTGCTGTGGTGGGGCTTGCAGGACTTCAGCGCGGCGCTTACTGGAGGGAGGAGCAGGCGGGACGGGCCCAGGAGGGGCGCGACTGGGCTAGGAGGCACGGCAAGGCCCAGGAGGGGCGCGACTGGGCTAGGAGGCACGGCAGGGCCCAGGAGGGGCGCGACAGGGAGGTGGAACGGCGGAGCCGCCACGTCAGGGCGGCAAGCCCAGCACGGCTGCTCGACGTGGCAGCCATGCGACATGGCCGCCACGGCGGCACGGCAGGAGCGACGAACGCACGAGAATGCAGCGGAAAGCACGGAGGGGAGCAGGCCCAGGAAGGGCATCCCGCTCTCGATACCATGTTGAAGTCTGAACTAGGAAGAACAGAGGAGGCCGCCATGAAATGGCGGCCAAGGGTTTAGCTAGAAGCTGGACGAGAGTGTCGAGAGAGAAGAGAGGTAGACTAGAAGAGAATGAAGTACAAGAAGGGGGTTGTCCCCCCTACAGTAGGATGCAGTTAGTAGCATAAGTACCAAGCCTACAATTATATAAAAATATAATTTGAACACTTCCATACTAGTCAATATAAACCTACACCGTAGAGCGACCTAGAACTGAGTTGTGCCATAAATCTGCATGGCTTATTAGAGTAAACCACTTGTGTATAAATAAACATTGCGGACAAGACCCTCACTCTGGCCACCTCACAGCACATGTAACAGCAGTGCAGTGGCTCTATTGTACACTAGTACATCTGGAACGTCGGCTGATGCTTGCAAAACACCTTAGCCAGTTCGGAGTGTTAACGTAGAAACGAATGATTACTAGGGGTGGAAACCTAGAACAAATACTAGTTGGTTGTACTCACTAGAAGCATACCTCAGTCTAGCCTATAACTTCTACATAGATAATATGTATAAGTTGACACACCCCCTAGGCTAGACAAGGGGTGAAACTAAACAAGAAGCAAACAGCTCAGGGCGGCACTACTAGTCCAACCACTGAGGCAGGGGTCTGGAGACCAGTCAGCAAGAATACAACCAAAACTGAAGCAAGCCAGGGTGGCACTACTAGTCCAGCCACTGGAGGTAAGGCCACAAGGCCAGTCTGACAAGCATATATAATAGAGAGTACACAATCAGGATCCTAACAGGGGAGCAGCTATAGGAACAAGACCAAGCTGTACACAGTGCCGCTGATGATCTTTAGGCGCAAGCGCCTTAGTAAAGATATCAGCTGTGTTGGCACCTGAGGCCAAGTGAACTACGCGGGCCTAGCGGCGCTGCTGTAGCTCGCGCAGGAGGAAGTACCGCAGCTGGATATGCTTCGCTCTGCCCTCAAGCCGAGGCTCCTGACACAGGAGTATCATGGCCCTGTTGTCAGCGTACAGGACCGGGGCAGAGCTAGGCCGCTCACCTAAGTCTGTGAGCAAGAAGGTCAGCCAGCGGAGCTCCTGTGCCGCCATGGCACCAGCGTAGATCTCAGCCTCACAGCTAGACTGAGCCACAGACGACGAGCGAGTGGATCTCCAAGAGATAGCACCCGAACCAAGGCTGAAACAGTAGCCCTGCGACGACCTGAGCGTCTCAGCGTCGTCTGCCCAAGAAGCGTCTGTGTGCCCAGTAAGGACCACTGGCCTGCGTCCTCCTAGCACTAACCCCATGCCTGATGTACTAGCAAGATAACGCAAAACCCTCTTAGCGGCAGACCAGTGCTGAGGTCGGTGTCTGCCTGTAGCCACAAAGCGAGCCAGGATGCTGAGAGGGTATGCGAGATCTGGGCGAGTGCAAGTCATCAGGTACATGAGGCAACCCACCAGCTCTGCGTAAGGGCCACTGGGCTCTACTGGCTCCTCAGGAACGGGAGCAGAGAGCCCATGGTCTACGGGTAGAGGTGTGGGCTGTGCGGAGGAGAACTGAAGACCGAACCTCTGAAGGACCTGACGCACCAAGTGTGACTGGGTCAGAGTGATGGTGCGTGCTGCTCTGTCCCTAGAGATCTGCAGGCCAAGATAGCGACGCAGCTCTCCAAGGTCAGTGCAGGTGTGTCTCTTCAGCAGCTCAGCCTTCACAGAGGCCAGTGCGTCCCTGTCAGGAGTAGCGAAGACCAGGTCGTCTACGTAAACAAGGATGTAGAACGGAGTCTGGCCGGAACGCACAAACAGTGAAGGGTCAGCAGAGGACGGAAAGAACTGCAGGTCTGCTAACGTGGCACGTAGCGTGTCGTGCCACTCGCGGGGAGCCTGACGCAGGCCGTAGACCGGGCGCCTGAGAAGCCACTGGGTCCCAGGAGGGAAGGTACCAGTGAAGCCCTGTGGTCGGCGCAGGTAGACCTGCTCGTGTAGGCTGCCCTGAAGAAAGGCAGTAGAGAAGTCGAGAGAGTGAAGCTCGTAGTCACGCTGTGCTGCTACGTGTAGCAGCGCCCGAAGAGTGGTCATCTTCGGGGTCGGGGCGAAGGTCTGGAAGAAGTCAACCCCCTCGCGCTGACTGAAACCTCTGGCCACGTAGCGCGCCTTGAAGACAGGCGGCTCTCCAGGGGGGCGCTTCACCTTGAAGAGCCACCGACCATCGACTACGTTCACCCCAGGCGGGGGAACTGCGTCGACGTAAGTGCCGGTGGATCTCCAAGATGCCATCTCCTGCTCCATGGCAGCTATCCACTGAGAGGCCCAAGGTCCCGAGGTGGCCTCAGCGTAGGTGCGAGGGGTCGGGATGTCGAAGGCGTCTGGGTCACCCTCAGGGACTAACAGCATGGAGCAGAGATGGGGAGCAGCCTCGGAAAGGAAAGCCAGCTCGTACTGCCTGTCCTCTAGGACGTCACTGCCAAGGGCAGGAGCACCCCCGACGGACAGAGGACGGGCAGGGTCAGAGACCAGAGCGGTAGCGTAGTCAAGGCGGCGGGTAGAAGCGAAGTCAGCGACAGCGGCGACAAGCGCGTCAAGGCGCGAGACAGGAACAGCAGGGTCGGTAACAAGAGAGGCAAGGACCCGAGGGACAAGGGGACGAGCAGCACGGAGGTAGTCAGAGAACGGAGGAGGTGCAACAGCAAGGGACGAGGGAGGAGGGGACGGGAGGAGGGGAGGACGAGACGAGTGGGAACGGAGCAACATAGGGTGGGTGGGCAGGACAGGAGAGACGGGACGAGCACGGGAGGGACGGCGAGCCCAAACGTGAGACGGAGGGGTAGGGTCAGGGGACAGCGGAGGAGACACAGGAGGGGAACGAGGAGGAAGACGGGCCGGAGACGAGTCTGGCGGCGGGAACACAGGACCGTAGACAGGGAGGTCAGGAGGCGGTGGGGGAGACACCAGCGCGCGGTCCGGGGAGGGAAGGCCGAGCAGGCGGAGAGCGGAAACCGGCGGCGACGGCTGCTGCGGCGGCGACGACGGCTGGGCCGGAACTCTCGGACCAGCAGAGGCAGAACGACCGTCGGCAGAACACTCAACAGCAGCACCCCCAGAACCAACACCCCCAGAGCGAGAACCCCCTCCAACACCAGCGGCACCCCCAGAAGCCGCAGGACGAACACCCTCCTCCACACCAGCACCCCCAGGGGCCGAGAGCAGCGGCGGCAGTGGCGGCAACGGCTGCGGCGGCGGCGACAGCGGCGACGGCTGCGGCAGCGACAGCGGCGGCGGCGGCGACGACAGCGGCGACGGCTGCGGCGGCGACGGCGACGGCGGCGGCAGCGGGGTCGGCGACTGCGACAGTGGGGGCGGAGGCACCGGGGAAGGGGGACGCGGCAAGGACGGACCGGGGGTACCACCAGAGTCAGCAGACTCCTCAACGGGGACAACCGACGGGAGGGGAGTGACGTGGGAGACACCAGACGGGGCAGGACGAGGCGGGAGAGGGGCAGGGGCTACCGGGGGAGAGGGAGCAAGGAAAAGGGGGGGGGCAACTGGGAGACCTCGGTGAGGGAAGCAGCGGTAGAAGGAGACGGACTCGTCAAAGGTGACGTCACGAGAGTGGAGGAAGCGGTGAGACGGCGGGTGGTAGAAAAGCCAGTCAGACGAGTCCAGGGGGAAACCAAGGAAGACACAGGGGACAGTGCGGGCAGTGAGCTTGTCCGTGCCAGAGGCACGAACGTGAGCAAGGCAGCCCCAGACGTGGAACGCAGACGCGTCACCGGGGGACCCGGTCCAAAGGAGGGTCGGCGAAACCTGCGGCCGCTGGGAGCGTGGCCACAGGTTAAGCTGGTGAGCCGCGTAGCGAACAGCGAACGGCCACAGAAAATGGGGGGCATCGGCATGGATCATGGAGGTACGGGCGACCTCCATGACCAAGCCGATGCGGCGCTCAGCAACCCCATTCTGCTGTGGCGAGTCCGGCAACGTGTACGACTGGGTGATGCCCTACGCACGACAGAACTGTCCAAGCCGACCAGAGGGGAACTCGCCGCCACGGTCGGAGTGGAGACACAACACGGGGAGACCGTGGTGGAGACGCGCAGCCACAACCCACGGGAGAAGAACGTCGGGCACGTCGGCCTTCCGCTCCAGGGGAAACACCGTGGTGTAGCGCGTGTAGTCGTCGACGAGCACAAGGAAGTAACGCTCACCGCGCGGTCCGGGGACGGGGGCAGGGCCCCAAACGTCCAAGTGCAGGGTCTGAAGGGGGGCAGTAGCAGGACGCAGCGAGGAGGAGTGAGGAGCACGGCGGAGCCGACCCTCGACGCAAGGCGTGCACGGTGGCGCAGTCGAGGGAGGAAGGGCAGGGAGCGACGCGGGGAGACCTAAGACAAGACCGTGCTGGGACATGTGACGCAGACGCGGGAGAGCAGGGTGACCTAAGCGGTGGTGCCAGAGAAGGGAGGGGTGAGTGAGGGACCGACACGAGCAAGCTGCAGCGACCTGGGAGGACGCACCAACCGGGGGGGAAGCGGTGTGTAGGGTAAACAGACCGGACACCGGGTCCCGGGGGAACGTCGCAAGGGGGGAACCTGAGACAGCCTCAGAACAGACAGCGAACCGCTCGTGCCCGGGGAACGTGGTGGTGACGCCGAGGTCCTGGAGACAGCCGACACCAACCAGGTTCCTGGAGAACGAGGGAACGTGGAGGCCAGTAAGGGAGCCCGAGGGAACTGCCGGACAGGGAAGGGACGTAGAACTGCGCGCGACGACCGGACCCGCAGAGGGGTCAGCGAGAGAGACAACAGCAGGTGCAGCAAGCGGCGTGAGCGTGGAACGGTCGCGGAAGAAGCAGGCAGAAGCACCAGAGTCGAGAGTGAAGGACAGCGACGCAGTGGCGGAGGCCGGGGACGGAGCCGGTGCAGCGACTAGACTAGGCAACCTAGGCAGTCCTACGCCTGTCGCAGCAGGGGAAGCTAAGCTACACAAGGGTGAAACACCTAAACTAGAGTACACATGGTAGTAAGATCCATCAACACTAGAAGCGTCAGCATACAAAGCATGCAAAGCAGCACCTATCTGATCCATGTCTAACTCAAAGATCGGCACGCCCTGGCGGAGCAGGCTGTGCCAGTCAGGGAGGTCCGGGGCCGGGCCAAAGCGACGACGAAAAAGATCGTCGAGGCGGCGGAAACAGCGGGCGGTCGGGTGCGGGCGGCGGCACAGAGTGCCGCGGAGAGGCCCGGTCTGAAGCTGGTACTGGCAGGTCACAGCACTGGAGCCGCTGGTAGACGCCAAGCTGCGCGGGCCGCCACCACGGCCACCGCCTCCGGAGGTGCCGGGCCAACCAGGCGGGAGACGAGCCCACGGCTGCGGCGGGTGCTGCTGGGACGGCGGCTGCGGCTGGGGCTGGTCCTGCTGCTGCTGGGACTGCTGCTCCTGCCCACCGGTGGTAGTCCCCTCAGGCGGACTACCGTCACCACCACCACGACCACTACCACCTGCGTCACCACCCCTACCTCCCTGGCGGCCACGGCCACCGCGACGCGAGCGCTGCTGCGGGTGGACAGCAGCAGCCGTCTCGGTAAGAGGGGTCGCCGTGGCGACCGCAGCCGAAACGTCAGTGAACGTGCACGGGGATGGGGCACAGCCGTGAAAGATAGAGACTGCCGGCGCACCGCTCGACTGAGCGATAGTGCGCTGGCGAGTCTCGATCTCAGTGAGGGTGTCGACAAAGGCGGTCAGGGTGAGGTCACCCGGGTGCTGGCTAAGAAAGTGGTCGCGAGCACTAGCGAGGCGGTCTGGCAGGCGCATAGCGATAAAATAGAGCGTCATGCAGAAAGGAGGGGGGAGCGCAGTGAGCTGGGCAGCAGTGCTGGCAGTGCGATAGCGAGTCTCTAGGGCACGCAAATGAGTGGCAAAATCTGCGACAGTAGGGAAGGCAGCTAGGTCTGGGAACAGCATCGGAAAGAGCAAGCGGCCAGCAGAAGCGGAGGCAGGGGTGGAATAGCGAGCAATAACGGCGTCTAAATAAGCTTTGGCCGTTTCAACAGTAGCAAAACGCGAGCGCTCAGACACAGGGAGGGCGTGACTAATAGCAACCTGAGCTACTGCATCGCGTGAGTCCCAGACCGCACAGGCTAGCGCAGCAGTAGAGAAAGCCTCACGGTCATCAGAGGAGGGGTCAGCAGGGAGGGGAGTAGGTGCAGGGGGACGGGGGAGCAAGCCATCAGCATGGACAACCAGAGAGTGGCCATCCTGGCGCTGACCTGTAAGCTGGCGGCGAAGATCGGAGAGCCAGGCGGCGAAGTCAACCGCGTGGCCCTCAGCGTCCAGGCGGAGCACAAAGTCAGCCATCGTGCAGGGTCAGCGGCACAGCTCCTCAGCGACACAGCGGCACAGCAGCACAGCTCCTCAGCGGCACAGGAGCACAGCGGCGCGGGGACACGGCGGCAGCACTCTCCAGGAGGGCAGCAGCTAGGCGTCCCAGCGCACGCAAGCAGAAGACACATGGCCCGAGAGGACACGGCAGGCCGAGCAGGGGAGGCGGGCAGGTGCTCTGGGGCCGGGCTGGTGCTGGGAGGGGCCAGGCTGGTGCTGCTGGGGCCGGTCGGGCACGAGGAGGGGCCGGGCAGCGCTGAGGAGAGGCCGGGCGGCGCTAGGAAGGGGCCGGGCGGCACTAGGAGGAGGCCGGGCGGCACTAGGAGGAGGCCGGGCGGCACTAGGAGGAGGCCGAGCGGCACTAGGAGGAGGCCAGGCGGGCGAGCGCTAACAGCAGGCGCGACAGGGGCCAGCGGGCGCGACGGGGCCTAAGGGGCGCGACGGGGCCCAGCGGGCACGACGGGGCCCAGGGGGGGCGCGACGGGGCCGAGGAGGCGCGACGGGGACCAGCGGGCACGACGGGGCCCAGGGGGGCCGCGACGGGGCCTAACGGGCGCGACGGGGCCCTGGGGGGGCGCGACGGGGCCTAGCAGGCGCGACGGGGCCTAGGAAGCGCGAAGGGGCCCAGCGGGCGCGACGGGGCCTAGGAGGGGCGCGACGGGGCCGAACGGGCGCGACGGGGCCCAGAGGGGGGGGACGCGACGGGGCTTAGGAGGCGCGACGATGCCTAGGAGGCACGACGGGGCTCAGCGGGCTCGACGGGGCCCATGGGGGGCGCGACGGGGCCTAGGAGGCGCAACGGGGCCCAGCGGGGGCGCGTTAGGGCCTAGGGGTCGCGACGGGACCCAGCGGGCGCGACGGGGCCCAGGGGGAGCGCGACGGGGCCTAGGAGGCGCGACGGGGCCCAGCGGGCACGACGGGGCCCAGGGGGGGCGCAACGGGGCCTAACGAGCGCGACGGGGCCCAGGGGGGGCGCGACGGGGCCTAGGGGGCGCGACGGGGCCTAGGAGGCGCGACGGGCGGAAGCGGTAGGCGGGGGGATCCTAACCTAAGCGTGATACCATGTTAACGTAGAAACGAATGATTACTAGGGGTGGAAACCTAGAACAAATACTAGTTGGTTGTACTCACTAGAAGCATACCTCAGTCTAGCCTATAACTTCTACATAGATAATATGTATAAGTTGACACGGAGTGCACGATGCGCTTCACACAGTGGCTGCTCTTCTGATACCCTGCAACTGCAAGCAATGGTTCTTCTACCCACCCACCCTACCCTGCATGCACAATGCAGTAGCTACCAGCCTAGTAGAACTGCACTGTGGACCGGTGCTTCCAGAACACCTTGGCCGCCTCGGGGTGCACGATGCGCTTCACCCAACAGCTACTCTTCTGAAACGAGTCCAAGCCTCTGATCAGAAAGCCGCACAGCACTCCAACACAGGTCACTGCAGTTCCTCTAGTGCAAACACCCTAGCAGGTACTAGTAGATCTGGACCGTGGACCGGTGTTTCCAGAACACCTTAGCCACCTCGGGGTGCACGATGCGCTTCACCCGGCAGCTGCTCTTCTGAAACGTGGCCGTGCCTCTGATGGCGTCTGCCACGTGCGACGGGTCGTACCCCAAGTCGTGGGCTGCCTCTGCCTGTGCCCCGTAAACCAGGCGCTGGAAGGAGGGAGGGAAGGGCAATGGGGAGGTTGAGAGGCGTCATAGGGATAGCATAACACCCCAAGCCGTGGCCGTGCCTCTGATGCTGTCCGCCACGTGAGATGGGTCGTACCCCAGGCCGTGGGCTGCCTCTGCCTGTGCCCCGTACACCAGACGCTGTGGGGGAAGTGGGGGGAGGAGAGGGGGGTACGGACCTTGGGGAGGTTCAGAGTGGTTTACGCCACGTGAGATGGGTCGTACCCAAAATCGTGGGCTGCGTCTGACTGTGCTCCGTACACCGGGCGCTGTGGGGGAGGGGGGGGGGAGGAGAGGGGGGGAGGGACCATGAGGAGGTTCAGAGTGGTGTCCGCCGCGTGAGATGGGTCGTACCCCAAGTCGTGGGCTGCCTCTGCCTGTGCCCCGTACACCAGACGCTGTGGGGGGGGAAGGGGAGGGATAGAGGGCGATGGGAATTGGAGAGGGAAGAGGGAAGAGGGAAGAGGGAAGAGGGAAGAGGCGAAGAGACGGCAATGAAAGGCACGGGGCATTGAGCGCATGAGGCATGGGGGGCATTGGAGGCATGGGGGGTATTGAGGGCATGGGGGGCCATGGGGGGCATTCGGGGCATTTCATAGCAAAGGTACACGGCTCACCGGCAGTCGAGCGAGGTACATGGCAGCGAAGGACATGGGGCAGGGCTCGCAGGACGAGTAGATGACACAGTCCGACAGCTCGATCTTGCCCAGCGCCTTGCACGCCTGCAGGGGAGGGGACGGGGAAGAGGGAGAGGAGAAAGGGGGAGGAGTGGAGGGCGACGGGAGGAAGGAAGGCTTGCAGGGTGCTGCTAGCAGGAGGCTGGAGGAGCAGATGACACAGACTCACAGCTCAGCGCCTTGCACGCCTGCAGGGGATGGGTGGGGGAGAGTAGAAGGGCGGATGGGGGATGGGAATGGGGAGACGGCTTGCAGGGTGCTGGTAGCAGGAGGAGCAGATGACACGCGCTCACAGCTCTATCCTCCAGCGCCTTGCAAGCCTGCATGGGATGGGGGAGAGGAGAAGGGAGGGGGAAGATGGGTGGATGGCAGTGGTCAGACGGCTCGCGAGAGGAGTAGATGACACTGCCTGAGTTTTCTACCCACCCCGGCACCTTGCACCTTTGCAGATGATGATGATGGCGACGATGATGGAGAGGAGGCGGGGTTGATGGCGGAAAATGGGGATCGTGATTCAGCGCGTAAATGGGCACGACATGGTCGCCCTGTGAAGTCTCTCTCACCTTCTGAATGGTCAGGGGAAATGGTCACCCTGTGAAGCCTCACTCACCTTCTGAATGGTCAGCAGAAATGGTCGCCCTGTGAAGCCTCTCTCACTCACCTTCTGAATAGCGATGATCTCGGCGTGGCACGTGGGGTCCTCGTGCTGCAGCACCTCATCATTATGCGCCCTCGCCGGCGGTGACTATCACGAGCTCACCGAGCAGCAGTCAGGCAGAGAGCACCCACTTCTGAATAGCGATGATCTCGGCGTGGCACGTGGGGTCCTTGTGCTTGAGCACCTCGTTGTGCACCTCGTTGCGCCCCCTCGCTGGTGACCTCGTCGTACATGACCTCGTCGTACATGACCTGTCATGAGCTCACGGAGCAGGCAGGCAGAGAGCACCCACCCACCCACCCATCCACCCACCCACCCACCCATCCACCCACCCACCCACCCACCTTCTGAATGGCGATGATTTCGGCGTGGCACGTGGGGTCCTTGTGCTTGAGCACCTCGTTGTGCGCGCGCGCGATGATCTCCCCGTTCCGCACAATCACCGCGCCGAACGGCCCGCCGTCCTTCTCGTGCGCGCCCGCCTCCGCCTCCTCCGCCGCTACTGTGAGAAAGTGGTAGTCCTGCTCGTCCTCCACCTCCATCTCCGACCGTACACGTGGCAGAGATTTCTTCCCTTGAACGGCATCGGGGGAGGAGAAGGAGGCGATGGGCTCAGCTGCCGACGTTCGGTCTATTCCGTCATCGCCTACGTCTTTTGGTGTCGTCGAATCGGATTTAGACGGCGAGAGGCGACGGGAGAGGAGGAAGGTGAGGGTGGCTGAGAGCGACGCGGCGATGATGACGTCAAGCCTCATGGTGGAAGTCTCTCCGCAGTTTCCTGCGTGCTTGGGGGCTGTATCAAACACGATCTCGAGTGTTCACGAAGTGCGTGACACACGCTTCAGTGTCAATTGCGTGACACACACTCCAGTGTCAAACCAAGACCCGGCGGCAATCAGGCGAGACACAGACGCGCAGTGAGCTAGAGAGAGAAAGAGGTGTGATTCCAAGACTTGGATGGCTGCTGGCGATATTATTTGTCAGATCAGAAAAAGAAGCAGACGATATGACCAGACCATTGTAGTGTGGCCGAGACTAGCAGCCATGGACAACTGACCAGAATGAGAATGGATAAGGCTGGGCGGGGATGGGGAGATGAAGAAGCAGACGGAGAAGAACCCGCGAGAAAAGAAATTGACGGATCGCCTGGACGGATTGGGTCTGACGGAGAAACTTGATTTCTAGCCAATCACAGGCATCGTCCAAACACGCATTGACGAACGCCACGTGGCTTCCCAACCATCAACAACCAGCGAGTGCATCGAGGATTTCGCGAAGACAGCGATATTTCGTGTCATGTTACCATGACAATGAAATTGACCGAGGGTGTTACTTCTAATCTCCATAAACAGAGTCCCAAATCTCCGGTGAAAACTGCAATTCTCCTTTCTGTCGCCATTTCTTGCGGAGCTGACAACTTCAAGGACGAATTTCTGCGCAACTCCATTCTGCCACCTCCGGATTCCATCCTCCGCCTTTTCCGCCTGCCTGCCTGAATTCCTAGAGCCGCTAGACCTCTTCTCCTTTTTGTCTCTCCGCTCTTCCACCAGCGCTCCTTATCCGCCAGCTTGCTCAGCTCGCTTCGCCATCCCCCCCCCCACCCATGATGATTTCTCGTTTTGCCGATTGCTCGTCTCGTCGTGACACCAGCCGTCCATGCTAGACCATCTCCGTCTGGCGCATCTCGGAATCTCAGCCATAGCTCGTATTAGAACCCTACCATGGCTCTCGAAGCCGTGCTGAGCATCTTAACTCACTCCGAGCCACCAATCAGCGAGGCCGAATGGTGGTTCTTCGCCGGTCTCTCCGCGTTTCTGGTCCTATTCGCCGGCATAATGTCAGGGTTAACGCTCGGCCTGATGTCCCTAAGCCCCGTGGACCTCGAGGTGCTCGTTCAGAGCGGCACTCCCGAGGAGCAGCAGCAGGCAGCGGCGATAATCCCCATAGTGGAGAAACAGCACGAGTTGCTGGTCACGCTGCTGCTATGCAACGCTGTTGCCATGGAGGTAAGCTGATGATCGACTATGGAGGTAAGCTGCTGAGACCCTAAAGCCTGACTCGACAGCTAAGAGCGGCAGGCAGCAGAGGTGTTCTCTGCGGTGAGTCGCACGAGTCGCTGGTCTCTCACTGCTCCTATGCAACGTTGTAGCCATGGTGGTAAGCTTACTCGTGATTTTCTAGTCAGGCTGCAGCGAGCCTTCCTGTGATGCACAAGCAGTGCTGCTCACTCTCCTGCTCCACGATGCTGCTGTCAGCCAGAGACGGCTCGACGCAGTGCATTTTCTGAGAGTTTCCAGCTCGCCTGTCCACTTCTTTCCTGGCTTTGTTGCCTCCCTGTCCTTTCGGGCTTCCATTCCGGCCAAGGAGGATTATGCTTGATCGGATGGGATCCCCCCACACTGCCCGTCCCTTGCACCATTGCAGGCCCTGCCCGTGTTTCTAGATCGTCTGGTGCCTCCCGCCATGGCCATCGCTCTCTCCGTCTCCTTCGTGCTGCTCTTTGGCGAGGTGAGCCCGGCATGTGGCATGTAGTGCGGGGGTGAGCCCGGCATGCGGCATGTAGTGCGGGGGTGAGCCCAGCATGTGGCATGTAGTGCGTGGGTGAGCCCGGCATGTGGCATGTAGTGCGGGGGTGAGCCCGGCATGTGGCATGTAGTGCGGGGGTGAGCTCGGCATGCGGCATGTAGTGCGGGGGTGAGCCCGGCATGTGGCATGTAGTGGCGAGGTGAGCACTGAGCATGGCATGCAGTGAGGAGGTGAGCTTGGGATGGCGAGGTAAGCATTCAGTGTGCATGCTGGTTGCACAGTTCTCTGCAGAGGGTTAAGGGTGCAATGCTGACTTGCCAATCCGCCTGTCATGCCTCATGCCCATCTGGGGGTCACAGGTGATTCCCCAGGCCGTGTGCTCGCGGTACGGCCTGGCTGTGGGCGCCAATCTCATTCCCCTCGTGCGATTCCTCATGCTGCTCTGCTGGATCATCGCCTACCCCATCGCCAAGGTACTGTTACCAGCCTACCCCATCGCCAAGGTACTGTTACCAGCGTTTTCCATCGCCAAGGTACTGTTACCAGCCTACCCCATGGCCAAGGTACTGTTACCAGCGTTTCCCATCGCCAAGGTACTGTTTGGCTAACACTCCCCCTTGCAAAGAAGGCACTGGTGCTGCGTCCTTGGACCTTGGTGCCATTGATATCATGCTCCATGCACGCCCTTTCAAGTACTTTCGAGTCCCATTCACCCTCGCACCCCTCACCCCCTTGTCATGCATAGGAGGTGGTGCTCCATCCCCGTGTCCCATGTCACACACACATCACCCCCTCGCCCCCCATGTCATCCCCCACGTCACCCCCCTGGTGAACCCCCCATGTGGCCCCCATGGCGCCCCGCCAGGTGCTGGACTATCTGCTGGGGCATGACGAGCCGCTCTTCAGACGACAGCAGCTCAAGGCGCTCGTCAGCATCCACGGGGCAGAGGTAAGGCCCTCACATTCCTCCTCCATTCCTCCTCGCCATTCCTCCTCCATTCCTCCTCGCCATTCCGCCCACTCTCTGCATCCCTGCGTGTCGCTTCCTCTCTTCTCTCCCCATCTCTCCTCCTCCTCATCCCTCGGTTCGAATCCATTGCATCCCTCCCTCCCATCCACGCCATCCTGCTCTCCCTCCTCCTCACAACGCCTCACCTCCACGTAACGTCCCATCGCGAATCCCCCACACCCCATCGCGAATCCCCCACACCCCATCGCGAATCCCCCACACCCCATGGCGAATCCCCCACACCCCATGGCGAATCCCCCACACCCCATGGCGAATCCCCCACACCCCATGGCGAATCCCCCACACCCCATGGCGAATCCCCCACACCCCATGGCGAATCCCCCACACCCCATGGCGAATCCCCCACACCCCATGGCGAATCCCCCACACCCCATGGCGAATCCCCCACACCCCATGGCGAATCCCCCACACCCCATCGCGAATCCCCCACACCCCATCGCGAATCCCCCACACCCCATGGCGAATCCCCCACACCCCATGGCGAATCCCCCACACCCCATGGCGAATCCCCCACACCCCATGGCGAATCCCCCACACCCCATGGCGAATCCCCCACACCCCATGGCGAATCCCCCACACCCCATGGCGAATCCCCCACACCCCATGGCGAATCCCCCACACCCCATGGCGAATCCCCCACACCCCATGGCGAATCCCCCACACCCCATCGCGAATCCCCCACACCCCATCGCGAATCCCCCACACCCCATGGCGAATCCCCCACACCCCATGGCGAATCCCCCACACCCCATGGCGAATCCCCCACACCCCATCGCGAATCCCCCACACCCCATGGCGAATCCCCCACACCCCATGGCGAATCCCCCACACACCCCATGGCGAATCCCCCACACCCCATGGCGAATCCCCCACACCCCATGGCGAATCCCCCACACCCCATGGCGAATCCCCCACACCCCATGGCGAATCCCCCACACCCCATGGCGAATTCCCCACACCCCATGGCGAATCCCCCACACCCCATGGCGAATCCCCCACACCCCATGGCGAATCCCCCACACCCCATGGCGAATCCCCCACACCCCATGGCGAATCCCCCACACCCCATGGCGAATCCCCCACACCCCATGGCGAATCCCCCACACCCCATGGCGAATCCCCCACACCCCATCGCGAATCCCACACACCCCATGGCGAATCCCCCACACCCCATGGCGAATCCCCCACACCCCAATCGCGAATCCCCCACACCCCCTCCCACCAGGCGGGCATGGGAGGGGAGTTGACTCGCAGTGAGACCACCATCATCAGTGGCGCCCTTGACCTCACACAAAAGGTGAATCTGAGCCCTTGACCTCACACAGTAGGTGAATCTGAGCCCTTGACCTCACACAGTAGGTGACATGAGCCCTTGACCTCACACAGTAGGTGAATCTGAGCCCTTGACCTCACACAGTAGGTGAATCTGAGCCCTTTAACTCACACAGTAGTTGAATCCGAGCCGTTGTCCTCTCACAGAAGATGAATCTGAAGCGTTGATCTAACAACCCTATGCTCACAATCCTTTCCTCGCAGGCCTTCTCTTGCTAGGGAAGCCTTTCCCCTTTGAGCTCTATTGGGTTTTCCCGTTCCTTGCCACCATGCTCCTAGTCCCTGACGTGGCATGATGGCCGTTGATGATTTTTCTTTTGAGTCGACTCAAAATGCTCCCAGTCCCAGACATGGCATGGCATGACAGCCTCCGTGTTTGAAGGACCCTCAAACTCGCTTCTCTCTCACTATCATGCCTTTATTTCGCTTCCTTTTCTGCGTGTGGAATGTGACTGCTGCCCCATGTGACTGCTGCCCCATGTGACTGCTGCCCCATGTGACTGCTGCCTCATGTGACTGCTAGCCCATGTGACTGCTGCCCCATGTGACTGCTGCCTCATGTGACTGCTGCCTCATGTGACTGCTGCCCCATGTGACTGCTGCCCCATGTGACTGCTGCCCCATGTGACTGCTGCCTCATGTGACTGCTAGCCCATGTGACTGCTGCCCCATGTGACTGCTGCCTCATGTGACTGCTGCCTCATGTGACTGCTGCCCCATGTGACTGCTGCCCCATGTGACTGCTGCCCCATGTGACTTCTGCCCCATGTGACTGCTGTCCCATGTGACTGCTGTCCCATGTGACTGCTGCCCCATGTGACTGCTGTCCCATGTGCTTGTAGACAGCAGAGGAGGCCATGACCCCCATAGAGTCAACCTTCTCTCTCAGCGTCAACTCACGACTGGACTGGTGCGTGTATCGCTCAAAGCCAACGACAAGTTCTCATTCCGTCAAAGATTCAATGTTCGAGCCCATGTATGCTCCCACCAAATGTTGAGTCATCCTCGAACCCAACACTCTCACCTCCCTCCCCCCCCCCCCGCCCCCCTCCCTTCCCCCCGTCTTCTCCCCTCCCCTCTTTGTGCCTACCAGGGACACCATGGGTCGCATCCTAGCGCTGGGCCACAGCTGAGCGCCGGTGTATTGGGGCCATCCCAGCAACTCGTTATCACTCACTCCCCCGCTCTTCCTCCCCACTCCCCCGCTCTTCCTCCCCACTCCCCCCCGCCTATCAATCCCACCAGGGACACGCATCCTAGTGCGGAGCCACAGTCAATTGCCCGTGTACCGGGACCATTCCAGCAACATCATGTATGCATCCCCATCCCCATCCCCATCCCCTCCCCCTCACCCTCCCCCTCCCCCTTCCAACGCCTCCCCAATCCCACCAGGGACACCATGGGGAGAATCCTAGCGCGGGGCCACAGCCGAGTGCCGGTGTACCGCGGCCACCCCAGCAACATCATCGGCATTCTGCTCACCAAGAGCCTGCTCACCATCCGGCCGGAGGACGAGACCCCCGTCAGCTCTATTTCCATCCGCCGCGTGCCCAGGTATGTGCGCTGGGCCTAGGCACATGTGTGTGTGTGTCTGTGTCTGTGTGTATCTGTGCGTGTGTCTGTGTGTGTGTCTGTGTCTGTGCGCGTGCGTGCGTGCGTGCGTGCGTGCATGCGTGCGTGCGTGCGTGCGTGCGTGTGGGCGGGCGGGCGGGCGAGCGGGCGGGCGGGCGGGCGGGCGGGCGGGCGGGTCGGACGGTCGGGCGGGCATGCGTGCGTGCGGGCGTGCGGGCGGGCGTGCGGGCGTGCGGGCGTGCGGGCGTGCGTGCGTGCGGGCGTGCGGGCGTGCGGGCGTGCGTGCGTGCGTGCGTGCGTGCGTGCGTGCGTGCGTGCGTGCGTGCGTGCGTGCGTGCGGGCGTGCGGGCGTGTGCGTTCCCACCGCCCATCCAGAGGACGAGACCCCCCTCAGTTCCATCTCCATCTGCCCCGTGCCTAGGTGAGTGTGCGTGTGGGCCTAGGCATGTGTGGGCCTAGGCATGTGTGGGCCTAGGCATGTGTGGGCCTAGGCATGTGTGAGCCGGGCGAATTGGTGTTACTGCATGTGGGCTTGGTGCCAACGCATGTGACACCCCCCCCTCTCTCCCTCGCTCCCTCTATTGGTCCTTGGTATTAGATAGAGAATGTGTCATGGGCGGCGGTGGACAGCACATACAGGTGAGTCCCAACAGCCCAGGCTGGAGGACCTTAAGGGTCCCCCAGCACCGGCTCTAACACGTGCAGCAGGTCGCCCACGGGGAGTGGGGCTGCTGGGTCTTCCAAGGGCCACTCCTCGGCCGCGAGGGCCTCGTTGATCTTCGTGTTGAGGGCCACGGCTTGGCCCCGCTGCAGAGCCACCGACCACCACTGTCACTACTCGTGGAATTACTTCGCCGCCTCCCGAGATGTGGGAGCCGCTTGATGCTGCGGCTTCGCCGCCAGATCCGAGCATTGTTTTAGGAAGCCGAAGGCGCCGGGGTCGGTGAGTTTATAGGTCTTCGGCGTCTGCCGTCATCGCAAAGAAGCCGACCCACTCGGATAGCGCTGGCAGGCAGTACTTGTTCTCCTCCCCCCTGGCAGCAACCCGTGCCGCCAGCCAGTCCCCCTGGGGGCCAGCGCGTCGCCTTGGGCGATGGGATCAGTCACGATGACGCCGCACAGCCACACTGCCCCCGATTCCCCGTGCCAGATCGCGACACCCGCCCAGAGGTTGGAGACGTGAGTGAAGAGGCTGGTATCTTTCCGCGTGATAAACCCCGCCTCGATTGCGATACGAGCACACACTCGTCCCTCCCTCCCTCCCTCCGTTCCTCCCTCCCTCCCTCACTCCCTCCCTCCCTCCCTCACTCACTCACTCCCTCCCTCCCTCCCTTATCAGAATGCCAGCCAGCATGCCGCTGTACAACGTGCTGAACGAGTCCAGAAGGGCAGCTGTCACATCCCCCTCCCTCCCTCAAGTGGTCCTCCCTTCCTCCCTCCCCCTCTCTCCCCCATACCCCCCGTTCCCCCCTTATCAGAATGCCAGCCAGTATGCCGCTGTACAACGTGCTGAACGAGTTCCAGAAGGGCAGCTGCCACATGGCAGTGGTCGTCAAGAAGAAGCCACAGCCCCCTCCCACTCATGACGCCTTTGCCGCTGCTGCTGCTGCTGCCGCTGCCGCTGGTGTGCCAGAGCTCACTAGGGGTCAGGCAGACGTGCTGACGATAGCAGTGCCGCGCAGCACATCCGAGGCATCCCATGCCGAGACGTCCCACGCGTTGTTCAATGACCCCAATTACTATGAGACTCAGAGCCAGGGGGGGGACAGCCGCCGCAACTCAGAGGATGTGTACGAGCATGGGTATGGGTACCAGGGGCACCAGGGGGGGTACCAGGGGGGGGGTTACCAGGGGGGGTATCAGGGGTATCAGGGGTATAAACATCAGCAGCAGGAGCCAACTACCCCACCTCCTCAAGGGCTCGCACAAGCCACCGTGTTTCGAGGGGCGTCCACGGGAGACTCGCCTTTGCAGAGATCCCTCACCCCCCCGCCCAGCCATCGGTACATGCAGGCATACTTTGACCGCCCCAGAACCCCCCCGCCTGTGCTGCTGGCTGCTGAAACCGCGGCTCTGGCGACGGGTGGCTCCTCTGCTGCTGCTGCGTTTGCGGCTGCCGCTGCCAGTGCAGGGTTTGAACACACACACGGGGGCGCTGGTGCTGGTGCTGGTGCTGGTGCTGGTAGTGGTGGTGCTACAGGTGTGCATGGATGGAAACAGGTGCAATGGCATGAACACACAGGCGTGCCCCATGCAAGCATGCCTGCGGGAACGTCATCTGGCGTGCATGTCGGGGAGGGGGGAGGAGGAGGGGCAGGGGGATGGGCAGGGGTAGGGGCAGGGGGAGGGGCAGGCGGGGGAGCAGGCGAGGAGGAGAATATCGATGTGGTGTATTCGACCAAGGAGAGGAAGGCACGGGCAGGGAGGAGGGAGGGCGGTGGGTCGAGTGGGAAGCTGGTGGAAGGGCAGAGGCGAGAGCAGGAGAGGGAAGGGGGGCAGAGGAGGGAGAGGGAGAGAGAAGGGGCGGCGGGGTGGAGGTGGGAGAGGAGGGATGAGACGGAGGAGGTGGTGGGGATCATCACTCTGGAAGACGTGATTGAAGAGCTGCTGCAGGTGAGTTGCGGGAGTTGTTGCAGGAGATTTGCGGTGCGGGATTGCCACAGGTATGGTGTGATCACGAGTCACGACACACATAGTGAATTGGTGATGGGGATGAAGGGAGGTGGTGGGGATCATCATGCTGGAAGATGCTCTGGAAGATGTGATTGAGGAGCTGCCGCAGGTACGACCGCATGGGTTGATGCAATTAAAGAGCTGCTGCAGCTGATTTGCGGGATTTGTTGCAGGTGAGATGCGATGTGATACTAATGAAGGGGAGAACACCAGCAAGATCCCCACCGTTCCTCTCCATTGCCCACCCTATCCCCTCCGTCTCATTGCCACAACCCGAATACCCTCCCAATCCCGGACCACCTCCCCCTTTCCCTTCACATAATTCAGGTGTTCCTGCTGCCTTCCCTGTCCTCTTCCCGCTGGGTTCTCTTTAGAACGAGCTGGCTTTTTAGTCGACTCTAAAGTCTCCTTCACTGTCCCCTTCTCCCCTGGTCCCCTTAACAACGGCCATGCTCATATCTCTGTTCTATGCTCCTCTCTGGTCCTGCAGGAAGAGATTGTGGATGAGACCGATGAGTACATTGACGTGCACCGAAGGTAGGCTCACATGCTCACTCGTGCACTCCCTTACTCATCTACGCTGTTTGTGGGCGATATATTACTCCCGTACTCAATACTTTTGCTGCTTTTGCGTCATCTCACTTGCTCTCTGTGTGTTGCTTTTGCTTGATCTCAGTTGCGCTCTGCTGCCCTTTCTCGCCCTCTGTTACTCCGTGCTGCATTGCTCCGGATTACCAAATGTTACCTCATGTTACCTCATGTTACCACATGTCCGCCATGTGGTGCAGGATCCGAGTGGCAGCCAAAGTGGGGCTCAACGTCATGCCCAGAAGAGTGCCTTCATCCAGCCGCATACTTGTACGACTCTCAACTCAACCCCTTTTGCCTGCCTTGCTCCATCATGTGTTGGTGGTAAAAAAAGTCGTGTTTTGGAACAGGGGAACCTCAAAGTTTGGCTTAAGGTACAACTTCTCACCTCTTGCTCCCCGGATATCCCCCTTCCGCCATCCCTGCTTCCTTGCAATCCAGACTATCTCTTCCCAGATTTCTGCCTGCCAATGAAGGTTTCAACCCCCCCCCCCCCCCCCCTTCCTCCCATCTCACGTCCCCTCTCCCTCCCCTCTCCCTCCCCCCTCCTTCCCACGTTGCCTGCCCTTGCCAGGCCAACTCCACACACAACCTGGCAGGACTAGCCCGGCCAGAGGTCAGCTCTGCATTCGCTGCCGCGGCTGCTGCAGACTTCTCAGCCCGCCCTCGCACCCCCCCCATGAGCGCCCCCTCAGACGCCATCAGCATCACTCAACCGCTGCTGGAAAGAAACTGACGTGTAATGTGTAGTGCTGTCATGATCGGAGAATTCTAAAAAGAATGGTGTGTGGCGTTTAGTGCTGTAACGCTCTGACATCAGACCCTGGGCTGGGCGGGTCCATGAGCGCCCCCTCAAGACTCCACTATCACCCTGCTGCTGCTCCTTGGAATATACCGAGCTGTGGTGTGGAACTGAGGTGCTGTGAAGTACTCCACCAGAAGAAACACCATAATACGCGCACTTCCACCCCAAAGCAGGCATTCAGCTGGGTGGAGGAGATGCGAGGACGACACTAGCTCATGCAGACACCTCACATTCTTAGAAGAGAAATAGCCAAACAGAACAGCATATCGTACAGCACATGAAAACCGTAGTATTAGCCAAACATAACAGCATATCGTAAAGCAGATCAACATGCACGTTAAATCGCAATAACGAAGCGTTGACGATTTTCAACCTGTCAACTGAATTTCCCGCAGCCTGCCCCACCGTCGGATCGGTGTTTACAGCAGTTGTCACCACCAGCGATGTGGCCTAACCTACAGCCAAGCCAAATTCACCCCCAGCCCACCACCGCCCTCTTGGTCGCGCCGCAGAATTCCAATGCGCGCTTCGGAACGGATGCGAATATAAACCGCACTTCTCCACATTCCCAGCATCGCCACCCGCAAAGGCAATTCGCAATCCGCAAATCGCAACTTCTATTGCTCCAAGCCGCAACGTATTCCAGTCCGCCTTTTCCCAATTTAATCGTCATCGACAGAAGCAAGCTGACTAGAATGGCTCCGATGTTCCCTCGCGCTGCATTGGCTATTCTCCTCGCTCTTGCTCTTGGAGGTGAGCAACATATCCCAAAAAATGTCCTCCCTCCCATTCATTCGCCATTGCCCGGCGCTTGTTTTTTTCGTTGCTAACTTCCACAATTGCTCTTTCTCAAAGAACGAAACCGTCCATCTCACACGCCCCTCCTTTGCAGCGCTGCTCCCTCCGTCCGCCCTCTCCGCTCGCCCCGGTCTGGGAGTTCGCGCCAAGATTCTGGGTGAGCCTCCAATCTCCACTGCCAGTGGCCCTCAATCTCGTCTTTCCTAGTCGCTTTCATGCGAAGCTCGTTCTCAGTGAGGGCTCAGATCCGATCTGATTCGCAAATCGTCCGTTTCTTAAGGTAACCAGATCCAGCAATCCAGAAAATTGCCTGTCTCACGCTCTGCGACCAGCCGTTCTCCATACCAGTGTTGAGCCGTCTAAAAACGCGGATTTCCCTTGCCTCTCTATCCACCCATCACAGCCTCCCTCCATGGCAGGCTCTCCACATCGTGTGCGGCACTCAACGCACGCATTGGTGGCACCAGCAGCCTTGTTGGAGCCAATGTGGGCGGCACGGCTGACATCAGCATCCTCAGGAGGTGAGGTCGCCAGCGTGGAATACACAGCGTCAGCTGTTCTTGGTAAACCATGCGCACTGTGCACTTGCACGCTCTTTCAAACGTAGCGCATCCAAATCACAATCTCAAGCTTTACTCACACACGTTTCTGTCAATTCAATCTGTGGAAACTTGCAAGACCCTCTGCCTGCCATCCTAAAATACGTAATGACATGCCATTATTCACTTATTCCTACCGTATCCGTTTTCAACCCATGCAACCCAGGGGCGCGTCGGTGTATCTCTCTTACAAGATCACCGCGCAGGGACTGACTCAGCGCCCCTCCTCTACCCCTGCCATCATCACCCGCAACCCCTGCTCCCCTTCCTCCTCTTCCTCCTCCTCCACCACCTCTTCCTCTCCTGCTGTTTCCGCATCTGCCTCGCTCTCTGGCGATGGCTCCCTGAGCGCCTCCCCCTCTCCCACCCCCGGCGCCACCGGCTCTGGCTCGCTCTCCACCTCCACCTCTCTCCTCAACTCCTCCCTCCAAGCAACCACGGCTGCCGGCGCTGGAGTCTCCCTCTCCCCCGACGGTTCTCTCTCAGGCGCGGGCGGTCTTTCCGCCTCCACCAACCTACTCAACACCTCAGCGTCTGCTGCTGCTGCTGCTGCCAGGGCTGACGCATCCCTCCCCAAAGGCACTGCCTCCGGCTCTGGCTTTGTCTCTGCCTCCACCGGTCTCCTCAACACGTCTGCAGGTGGTGGCGCCACTGTTGGCGCTTCCCTTCCCAACGGCACAGTCGCAGCAGCAGGCGGTATCTCTGCCTCCACCGGTCTCCTCAACACGTCTGCAGGTGTGGGAGCAGGAGTGGGCGTGTCTCTCCCCAACGGCACTCTCTCCGGCTCTGCCTCCCTCGAAACCTCCTCCCCTCTCCTCAACACCTCAGCTGGCGCCGGCGCTGGTGTCAACGCAGGCTCGGGAGGCGTCCAAGCCAACGTCGGAGGGTCGGCGAACCTCGACCTCTCCCCGACTGGCCTTGCTTCGGGTGTGGGTGGGGTTCTTTCCGGTGTGGGTGGCGCCGTGGGGAATGTGGTCGGCTCGGCAGGGAAGGCTGCAGGCTCGGTGGTAGGCTCGGTGGGCAATGTTGCAGGCTCGGTGATTGGTACTGTGGGTAAGGTGGCAGGCTCGGCAGGGAAAGCGACGGGCTCGGTGATTGGCTCGGTGCCTTCTTTTCTGTCTCCCCTGGTTGCTCTGCCTGGTGCGTGGGTGACGGCAGCAATCGATGCTAATGCCAACACCAATGCTGCTGCCCGTGCTGCTGCCAGTGGTGCTGCTGGTGGTGCTGCAGCAAACGTGTATGCGATGGTGGGAGAGACGCGCATCTCTGCTGATGTCGCCTCGTCTCTCCTCGCTCGCATCTCCTCCGCCTCCTCCGCGCCCCTCTCTCTCTTCCTCCATCTCAACAGCCAGCTCAATCTCATCGCCTTTCTGGAGTAATCCGGGCTTGGCTAGTACAGCAATACGGCCTGGGCATTGCCAGTAGGGGTTTGACGCGAGGAGGAAAAGCGAGTCAAGGAAGCTTTGATTTGATGATATAGTGCCGGGTGTGCAGGCACGTTCAACTTGATGGAATGTGCCTCCCTTGCCTTGAGGGGCGGGTGGCTGGTCAGATCCCGCGACATCCGAGACTGGTGGGGTTAGCTGAGGTTGGTGGGGCAGGCAGGCAGGCAGGCAGGCAGGCAGGCCGGCACTTTGTATCAAGTTGAATGCGCTGTTCAGTGAGAGGAAAGGAATATATTGTTGCAGCAAACCCATGACGTTGTTTCCGGCTGGCCTGTACTACCCCGTGCCATAGCCAATGTCACAGCCCATGTCATTGCCCATATCGTAACCCATATTTCCAGCAACAGCAGCAGCAGCATAGATCCCAGCAGCAGCTGCAGCAGCAGCATTAGCCACAGCATCAACACTAGCAGCTGCAGCAGCAGCGAGACAGCTGAACCCCGAGACTGCACAAGCAACTACCGGCTTCACTCCAGCCCCTCCTGGACCTGTTGCTGCCAAACCAAACCCTCCTGCTACTGCTACTGCCACTGCTACTACGACTTCTCTCCCCCCTCCTCATCCCCCTCCTCCCCCCTCCTGCTACCTCACTGCCTCGCCGCTTCACTTGTATTTCACTGACCACACCCAAACTCCATTAATCACATCCCTCTTATAATCACACCTGCCCTCAGGAACACCCTTCTAGTTCTCTCTGTCACTTTCACCTTCTCCACCTTAACCCACCGTAGCCTGGGGTAACTCCCAAGAATACCCCCAATACCCTCCACAGTCACCCTGGCGCACGCCACCACACTCAAATGCGTCAGCTTTTCCAGTCTACACTCTGAAATGACCCGGTCGGAAAACGCGTCGTTATAGTCCACAAGAAGGTGCTCTAAAACGGGACAGGACTGCAGAACCGTGCGAAAATCCCTTCGTTTGAGCCCCGAGCACGCATGCAGGGAGAGCCGCCTCAACCCCTGAAACGCGTTGAGCGATGGGGGAGGTGAGAGGGGCGCCTCATGGTTAAGAGAGGAGGGAGGCGATGGGGGAGGCGGAGGCGAGAGGGAAGACTCATGGTTGAGGAGGGAGGGGGAGCGGCGCGATGGGCGGCGTGAGGGAGGAGGAGGCGAGGGGGGGGTGGACTCCAGGGAGGCTCGGAAGTCCGGGACGAAGTTGAAGTAGTGGAGGCAGAGGGACTCCAGAGGCACTGTAGCCGTCTCCAAAGGTGCAGCGCGTGCAGCGCGTGCAGCGCGTGCAGCGGGTGAATCAGCTGGCCCTTCTCTCCTGCCCTCCGCCTCCCTTCCTCCTCCACCTGTTCTGCCTTGGCCCCCTCCTCCTCTCCGGCCCCCTCCCTCCTCCCCTCCCCCCGCACCTCCCCGAGTGCGCACAGCGCGTCGGACTCTCTCTCGGATGAGGTACATGGACCGCGCATAGCGCCGGAATGAGAGCACGCTCTCCAGCAGCTGCTGGTACCGCCAGCGCAGCAGCCCCACCCGCTGCAGCGGCATCACGGGCACCGCCGGCGCAGCGCCATGCATGCCTGCACCGCCAGATCCCGCTGCTGCTGATTCTGCTGCTGCTGATGCGGCGGCGGCGGGGGCGTCGAGGATGGGGAGGTGTGCGAAGCGAGCAGAGGCAGCGGCGATGGCTTGCTCGAGCTCGGAGAGGAGGGCGGCCAGGCGTGTGGAGGCGAAGGGGTCGTCCGGTGGTGGAGCCCAAGCAGGGGCAGGTGGAGGGGCTGCGGCATCGGCGGCATCGGCAGCATCGGTAGCATCGGCAGCATCGGCGGCATCGGCGGCATCGGCAGCATCGGCGGCATCGGCAGCTTCGGCAGCATCGGCAGCACCGGTAGCATCGGCAGCATCGGCAGCATCAGTAGCATCGGCAGCATTGGCAGCGTCGGCAGCGTCAGCAGCGTCGGCAGCATTGGCAGCAATGGCAGCAGCAGCGGTAGGTGGATGGGCGGCATTATTGGTAGCATCGGCAGCATCGGCAGCGTTGGCAGCATTGGCAACAGCAGCGGCAGGTGGATGGGCGGCATTATTGGCAGCATCGGCAGCAGCGGTAGCACCACCATTAGGGGCAGCACCAGCAGGAGCAGCACCAGCAGGAGCAGCACCAGCAGGAGCAGCACCTGCAGCAGCACCAGCAGCAGCACCAGAAACAGCAGCAGCAGCAGCAGAGGCGATGGGAAAAGCAGGGGATTGCATGGCATCAGCAAGGAACACAGACGCGGCAGCCATTTCTGCGGCCGCCGTTTCAAACTCGCGGAAGCCCGCAACAGCCGCATCCACAGCAGACAGCGCAGCGCCCACGCTCTCCCCAGGCGCCACTGCCCCCCTCTCGTCCACCTCACTAAACGCCGCGAGCACCGAGACACTGGCATCCATGAAAAGCGGTGCTGCTGCATCACCGGCGGAGTTGAGGTCTCGGATGACCGACTCGGCGTCTGCGGCCGCTGAGAAGGACGCTGCTAGCAGGTCGTGGCGGGCCACTCCTCTCCAGTAACGGATGATGTCGCCCCCCGCCATCCCCTCATCCCCCACTTCCCCCTCCCCCCCTTCTCCCCCTTCTCCCCCTTCTCCCCCTTCTCCCCCTTCTCCCCCTTCTCCCCCCTCTCCCCCCTCTCCCCTTCCCCCTTCCATGATCTCCCCTTGCCTGCCTCCGCGCTCTCTTGCTGTTTCCAGTCCCCCTCCTCCTTCCGCTCCCCCTCCCTGCCTCCCCTCTCCCCCTCTCCTTCCCCCTCTACGTCCCCCTTCCCATGCTGCTCCGCCCCTATCAAGGCCCCCGCCACCACCACCACCGCCAGCAGTCCTATCAGCAGCATCACCAGCAGCAGCACCAGCAGCACCAGCAGCACCAGCAGCACCGCCAGCAGCATCCTCCTCCCCGCCTCCCCCAACCACTCCCCCAACCTCCCCCGCGGCCCCCCTCCCTCTGCTCAGCATACCAGCAACCTCAAGCACCGAGCCCTTCCCAAACTCTATCCTCAGCGCCTTTAAGCGCGCGCACCCAGCAAGCAAGCCCGGCCTAAGCGACGGCAGCCCGCTAAGCGCCAGCGTTTCCAAAGAGCCAGCGGCGGAATTAAGCGCCGCTTGGAGGCCCACGGCGCTAAAGAGCCGGTGAGTGTTTCCCCGGAGAGAGAGCGAGGCGAGCGACGGGTTAGTCGCAGCTACAGCCGCTACAGCCGAGCTTGGAATCACGGGGCAGTCTTGGATGGACAGGTGGGTGAGGGTTCGGAGGGAGAGGGCGAGAAGGTCCAACTCAGGGAGGCCGATCTGCGAGCAGGTGCGCAGGGAGAGGGAGGAGAGGAGGGGAAAGGCGCCTAGGGCTGCAAGGGAGGTTCTGACCGATGCTGCGGTGAGAGTGAGTGACTGGAGGGAGGAGAGAGAGGGGGAGGTGGAGAGGGAGGAGAGGATGGGGTCGGTGAGGTGCCAGAGGGAGAGGGAGGTGAGGGCGGAGCAGAGGGAGAGGGAGGCGATCTGGATGGGGAGGCCGTCGAGGCGGTAGAGGGTGAGGGAGTGGAGGGCGGGGAAGGCGGAGATGGGAGGGCAGACGGCTGCAGCAGACACCAGACGGATCTCGAGCGACTTGAGGGTCCTGCACGGGGTGGGGGAGGTGTGTGGGGGGGGGGGGTGGGGGGGGGGGTTGGAGGAAAGGAAAGGGGGGTTGTGAGGAGAAAGAGGAGAGACAGACCAAGACCAGCAGTTGAGATGGGACGGCACACGGCTGCAGCAGACACGAGGCGGATCTCGAGCGACTTGAGGGTCCTGCACGGGGGTGGGTGGGGGAGAGGGGAGGGGGGAAGGGGGTCAAGTTTCAAACTACACTTTGAGGCGCCTGAAAACCAACGGCTGCAGCAGACACGAGGCGGATCTCGAGCGACTTGAGGGTGCTGCTGAAGGGAATGGGGGAATCGAGGTCCATCGAAAAGGAGAAGAGGGAGAAGAGGATAGAAGATGCGTTTGAGGTGACTCGAGCGGGTGGGGAACTCGCAATGGCAGGCTTCAGCGAGAACAAGGGCCGCGATCTGACGGCGCCACAGCGGACGGGCAGCAGTTTCCAGATGGCGGAAAAAAAGTGAGGGCTGGCTACGAAAGGGAAACTCGCCATAGTTAAATAAGAGCCTATGCATCCGAGCGGAAGAAAGTCATGGCTATGAATCCGAGCGGAACGGAACACCCACCGGCACTGGTCACCGAACGTCCTCCAGCCGTCAGCCGTCACCTCGTCGCATCCGACGACGCTCAGCCGCTCCAGCTGCGAGCATTTCGATCCGACGGCCAGCAGCAGCTCATCGCCAACCGTCGATTTTCCTCGATCGTTGATCACGGACAGATCCTCGAGACCCGTGCAGCGCTGAAGGAGAATCTCTAGAATCTCAACCTGGGGGGTTCCCTGTTTGACCTTGTAGGTCAGGCTGCGGCGACAGCGGTTCTCCAGCTCGCGAAATCGCGAGCAGGCGAGTGCGACGTTACGCCGATCGGCGGGGTTTTCGAGCTGACGTACGATCGACGTCAGCACCTCGTCGGGAAGATCAAATATCAGAGCAGCCCCGCGCCGCTTCATGGCTTCAATGGAATTAACGCGATGCCAAATGCTAATATGCGGCTTGAGGATTCTAGAACCTGGTTTAGACCTCCCTAGCTCTCCGTCACGGCTAGACCTAATGTTCTCCCACGACGCGCCACGCGCGATTGGCTCCAAGGCTCTGAGAAAATAGAATCCAGGGCCGACGCAGGCCCTCGCGTTGCTTCAACGAGCTCCTAAGTGGTTCGACAATCGGTTCGGCGTCGGCAGAGATGATGGCATTCTAACGAGCGCGGCAAAGCATAATGGACAAATGTGCATGTTGCGCAAGCGTGGTTCTGTATGCTTTGTTGCGGTGCGGTGTGGTTTAGTGCGGTGTTGTGTTTCCGGCAACAAAAGCATGGTCGGCCCAGCCAAAGTCGACTGTTCTCCTCCTCCATCCCCGTCTGCAACTCGTCAAACTCGGATTCCGCTAATACCAGAAAAGTCGATGTACAATGTATTCCAAGAACCAGTGCAAAACAGATTAACATGAAATCAAACAATCAAACAATCAAAGTGGAGATTTCAAACCCCACACCTGGCAAAACTAGTTAATCCCGATGGACGCAGTAACTTGGCAGCTATTTCGGCTGAGCACAGCGCGGCAATCGTGTAGAACTAACCGGGGGGAAAAAGGGGATGCCAACAAGGCAAAAGGAAAATCTCACGTCTCAGCATGGCCTTGCTTGGCGTGACAGGAGTTGCAGCAGCTCCAGTAGGAGCAACAGATGCAGCAGCTCGTGTAGACAGATGAGTGCCTGAATGCTGATACCGCCCCCCATGCCCCAACGCCCAGCTTCCCTCTGCTGCTCTCTCGAACATGCACCAACGCCGTTATCTCCAACGCCCTCTGTCCCTCCCTCACCAGTTAAACACCGGCTCATCCCAGCACTGGTGATCAGCTCAAGCCGGACAAAAACTGGTGCAAACACTCGTGCTTTGGGGGAGGGGGGGAAGGGGACGAGAACAAAAAAGCGCACACGTGCATGCAACCACGCACACAGGCCACACCGCACCACATAACAGTAACAGCACATGAGCGATCGGATCGATTGAGCGGTGGCTGCTTTAGGAGCCGAAGGACTGACTCCCCTTGGGATCAGACAAAAAAACCAAACGCCTTCAGTGCCGTGTGCGAAACCGCATGCTGCTACAGTGGATGGTGACCGCACCGGCACTGTGGCTGCTGCCCCTATAGAAACTGCTTCATTATAAGGCTGGTTCGTGAAAAGCCTTGTTCACTTTAGATGGCTCGGGGGGCTCTTTTGCCGCCCTAGGAACTCGTAGTTGATCTCCGCTAGTTGAGAGAGATTCTGTAACAGGGTTAAGGGTTCAGGTTGGGGGGAGAGGAAGGGCAGGGAGTGGGAAGGGGTGGAGAGGGATGCGAGTGAGAAAGCCAACGCAGTGAGAGAATGCCATCGGGCAATGTTCTTGAAACAAGGAATGAAAGGAAAAAAAGAACCCCACACACACACGAGGTGGCATACACACAGGGAGGTGACTAACTTGTACATACACACATGGAGAAACCGACATGCTCACACATGCAGACACGCACACATGTACAAAGAGACACACATGCATACACAGACGAAACACAGTGGGGAAACAGACAGGGAGACACCCAACACACGTGCGCACTCACACATCCATGCGCGTGAACCCATGCACTGTGCGCCCTTGCACTGTGCGCCCTTGCACTGTGCGCCCATGCACTGTGCGCCCATGCACTGCGCGCCCTTGCACTGTGCGCCCTTGCACTGCGCGCCCTTGCACTGCGCGCCCTTGCACTGTGCGCCCTTGCACTGCGCGCCCTTGCACTGTGCGCCCTTGCACTGTGCGCCCACGCAAGTGAATGCTGACCTTGAAGGAGAAGTTAGTGAAGGCTGCCGCCACATTGTCTGAGAAGTTCCTCATGTCTCCGGGCTCGTCTCCCTGCCATGCCATGTCACGCAGCACAACCAAGGACAGGGAAACAGGGCTAATCACGAGGCTCAACATGGCAGGTAGAGCACCAAAAGCCAAATCTCCCTACAGACACAGACTTCTCCGATTCTGTGTTTCTTGAATCGACTCAAAAGCCACCCCTACAGACACAGACCACTCTGATTCTGTGTTCTTTTAGCCACCTCACCTCTCCCTGCCCAACACAGCTCATCCCTCAGCCATCCCATCCACCTCGTCTCTCGCCTGTTCTCTTCTCTCCCCCATCCCCCCCGACCCCCTATACGCTGCAACCCCCCTCTCTCCCCACCTGTTCGCCCTGGTAAAAGTCGTCAGCAGAGGTGCTACTGCAGGCGTCGCTGCTGGCGCTCTCGCTCTCCCCCATGGCCATGCCACCATCCATCATCGCGCCCTGCTCCTGCTGCCACCCGCGCGTCAAGAAGTACCCCGTGTCGTGCGGGCTGTCTGGGCTCGGGACAAAAGCAGCCTGGAGCAAGAGCCGAGCGAGAAGGGGAGGAAGGGGTCGAGAGAACGAAGGAGAAAGTGACAGAGTGAATACGAGCTGCCTGTGTCGTGGGGACTGTCCGGGCTTTGCACAGACGCGGCCTGCAGGACCGGGCGGGAGGGCGAGGAGGGGAGGTGCTTATTGAGTTGACACTATTGAGTGGCCACACAACAACCACCGCTGCCAGAGAACGGAGCGCAAGGTGAGGAGGAGGGGCAGCCCAGCAGTAAGTGGTTCTGCATCCAATGCAGCAAGGCACAGCCCAGCAGCGCACGGGGTCTCATATAGGATAACGGAGAAGATGGGGTGTGCAATCATGGCCCCAGCCTACCCATATGCCCCCAAGCACAACCCACATGTTACTGAGTGAGGGTCCTTCCCCACCTGTTCTTGCGCAAGGGTCTCCCAGCGGATGTTGGCGAAGAAGGGGTGTGCTTTCACCTCCTCTGCTCCGCGCGCTCCCAGCCGCTGCGATGGCTCGGGGTGCAGCAGCCTGGGGGAAGACAGAGCGGGAAGAGTTGACAGGGTGAGAGGGAGGGATGAGTCGACACTGCGACACGGGTGTCTATATATTACAAACACATAGGAAATATTATCCAATGTGCTGGCTAAAAGCATGTGTGAATTGCCAGCTCCTAAAGGCACCCACCTGTTGATGAGGTTCATATGGCACCCACCTGTCGATGAGATCCATGGCTTCGTACCTGTCGATGAGGTCCATGGCTTCGTACCTGTCGATGAGGTGCATGGCTTCGTACCTGTCGATGAGATCCATGGCTTCGTACCTGTCGATGAGATCCATGGCTTCGTACCTGTCGATGAGATCCATGGCTTCGTACCTGTCGATGAGGTCCATGGCTTCGTACCTGTCGATGAGTTCCATGGCTTCGTACCTGTCGATGAGGTCCATGGCTTCGTACCTGTCGATGAGGTCCATGGCTTCGTACCTGTCGATGAGGTCCATGGCTTCGTACCTGTCGATGAGGTCCATGGCTTCGTACCTGTCGATGAGGTCCATGGCTTCGTACCTGTCGATGAGGTCCATGGCTTCATAGGACATCTCCTCAGGCACCTCCGGCCACGGGATGTCACGATTCAGTATGTTGTCAAAAATTATCTGCACAAGTCGCGCAGGGGCAGATAGTGGGCGAGAGTGATGAACGAGTTGCTATATAAACTGAACCAACCAACAGAAACCAGAACGAAAAAATAGAAGGGAGCCGAGAAACCAGACAAGCGCGCACAGACAAGGCCACAGCCTCCTTGCTCACCTCTGGGGAGGCTTTTGAGTCGACTCAAAAACAGCCTCCTTGCTCACCTCTGGGGAGGGCGCGTTGAAGGGCGGCACGCCGCAGAGCAGCTCAAAGAGCATCACCCCCACTGCCCACCAATCCGCTGTGGCGCCTGCTCCATGGATGGCACAGGAGGGGTGGGGAAGGGAGTGAGAAAAAGACAGAGAAAGAAGAGATCAGCGGAACAGCAGGAGAATGGGAAACGGCCGCCGATAACCTGTTTCACCAGCTAGCCCACGATGTCCAATGCCAAGCCCATCAGCCCACCATCAGCCCACCAATCCACCGCAGCCCATACCCATCCAGCCTACCATGCCCCGTGTCAAGCCAAGCACCCACCATGCCTTGTGTCAAGCCCAGCACCCACCATGGCCCATGCGACCCACCATGGCCCGTGCGACCCACCATGGCCCATGCGACCCACCATGGCCCATGCGACCCACCATGCCCCATGCGACCCACCATGCCCCATGCGACCCACCATGGCCCATGCGACCCACCATGCCCCATGCGACCCACCATGGCCCGTGCCGAGCAGTATCTCCGGGGCGAGGTAGTCGGGCGTGCCCACGGTCTGCTCCTTCTTCTTCTCCACATCCGGCGCCGGGCTCTGCCCCGCCCCCGCCAACGACTCCACCTCCGCCTTCCACGCCGGCGACGCCGATCCCCCCCCTAGAACCCCCGAACTCCCACCCCCTCCCAAACCTCCAACCCCAACCCCACCGCCCGCCATCCCTGAGCCGCCCAACCCCCCAGGAACTCCGGAAAAAGGGGAAGTCCTGCCGGAAGAGGACGAGGGGCGGGAGGAGGCGCCAGATGGGGCATGGGGGAAGTCTGCCGGGCGGTCTGCCGCCCAGAGAGGCGAGGTGGGGATGGAGGCACAGACAGAGGCAGCTGACTCTGTGGAGCCGGATTTGGGAAGGCCCAGGGCGGCCGGGGGGTGGGAGGAGGCAAGAGCAGCTGCGGCAGCGGAAGCAGCAGCACCACCAGCAGCAGCGGCAGCGGCGGCGGCGGCAGCAGCAGTAGCGGCGGCGGCGGCGATGTTGGGCGAGGGAGGCTCGGACGGGCCGGTGGTGGCGAGAGGGCCGATAGCAAAGTCGCCCGTGCTGTTGAAGAGACCCATCTGGGAGAGGCCGAAATCCGTGAGCTGGAGGGGCGGGCGCGGGGGGGCAGAGGGGGAGCAGCGGGGGGGGTGGGGGGCATGAGAGGGGCAATGGCAAAGCCGCCCGTGCTTTTGAAGAGACCCATCTGGGAGAGGCCAAAGTCAGTGAGCTGCATGGGAGAGGAGGAGGAGAGTAGGAGAATGAAAAGCGCAGATGCTGGTGCATGTGTGAGGAGAGGAGGGACGGTGACAGGGGGAAACCCACCTTGATGTGGCCGTCGTAGGTGATGAGCAGGTTGTCGGGCTTGAGGTCGCATTAGACGAAGCCGCCCAGGAGACGTCTCAAAGCGTGACAAAGCATCTACTGATTGAACCGCCTCGCACCTTGATGTGGCCATCGTAGGCGATGAGCAGGTTGTCGGGCTTGAGGTCGCGGTGGATGATGCCACTCGCATGCAGATGCTCCAACGCCAGCACCTGATGGGGTCACGTGGGGGAGGGGCGAGAGACAGGTGCTTGTCTTGAATGTAGGCTCTTCAGAGAAGGTGCTTGAAGATGCGGCTGCCACGCTGAAGCTCCAACGCCATCACATGGCGTGACTTTCGAGAACCCGACCAGTTGAACGATCATGGCATCTCGGCATGGCATGGCATGGGACAGTACCAGCTCGGCGATGTAGGTCTTGGCCATGGGCCCCTGGAGGCAGCCCAGGTTCTTTCTGACCTTACAGACCATTCACCACAAGAACACCAAAGCGGGTCACGGCATGGCACAGCAGCGCACGGCACGGCACGGCATGGCACACCACACGTACCAGCTCGGCGATGTAGGCCTTGGCCATGGGCTCCTCCAGGCACCCCAGGTTCTGCAGCAGCGAGAAGAGGTCGCCCCCGTTGAGGTACTCCATCACCAGGTACAGGTTCTCGCGACACGTGAAGGAGTAGAAGCAACGCACCTGGGAATAGAGGAGTGAGTGAGTGAGGGGAGAGAGGGAGAGATAGGGGAGACCGCTTAGACGAGGAAGCGGTGGCATTACAAGCATGGAAATGGATGGAGCACGGAGCGCGGAGCACGGAGCGCGGAGCACGGAGCGCGGAGCACGGAGCACGGAGCACGGAGCGCGGAGCGCGGAGCACGGAGCACGGAGCACGGAGCACGGAGCACGGAGCACGGAGCACGTAGCACGGAGCACGGAGCACGGAGCACGGAGCATGGTGGTGGAGGTGCGTGCATGAAGCATAGTGATCCATAGTGGCGTTTTGAGGCGCCTCAAATGAAGCATAGTGATCCATAGTGGCGTTTTGAGGCGCCTCAAATGAAGCATAGTGATCCATAGTGACGTTTTGAGGCGCCTCAAATGAAGCATAGTGATCCATAGTGACGTTTTGAGGCGCCTCAAATGAAGCATAGTGATCCATAGTGACGTTTTGAGGCGCCTCAAATGAAGCATAGTGATCCATAGTGACGTTTTGAGGCGCCTCAAATGAAGCATAGTGAAGCATAGTGATCCATAGTGATCCATAGTGACACAAACGCAGTAACTAAGAACGCAAAGGGCCCACCCCATTGATGCTTACCACAAAGGGGCTCCGCACGGATGCAAGGATGTTTCTCTCTGCCTGCACGCTCTCCACCGCGTTCTTGCGCACCATGTCCGCCTTGCGCAGCACCTGGCGCACACAGTGGGGTCCAAGGAGGGAGGGAGACAGAACGCTTGTTTCAAAGCGACCCCCCAAACACCTTTCTCTCTGCCTGGACGCTCTCCACCGCGTTCTTGCGCACCATGTCCGCCGCCTCGCGCAGCACCTGAAGAGTGAAACGGGACCGGGGAAAGAGCAACGCAACTCTCTCTCTCTCTCTCTCTCTCTCTCTCTCTCTCTCTCTCTCTCTCTCTCTCTCTCTCTCTCTCTCTCTCTCTCTCTCTCTCTCTCTCTCTCTCTCTGGCCTACTACAACTCCATTCTTTTATTGACAGTATCGCACGGGTGTACGAGTCCCACTACCTGAATCTGCTCGCCCTGTTGTACATTAGGTGCTTCCGAATCTGTTACCCACCCACCACCCACCTTGATGGCAAAGAGGCCCCCCGTGGTTTTCTTCTTTGCCAGGGACACGCGTCCGTACGCGCCCTTGCTGCACTGTTGTTCTAGTCAACTCAAAAACCGCACTCACCCACCCACCCACCACCCACCTTGATGGCAAAGAGGTCCCCCGTGGTCTTCTTCTTCGCCAGGAACACCCTCCCATACGCGCCCTTGCTGATGGGCTTGATCAGCTCAAAGTCGTCGATCGTCGTGCGGTCCCGCGCAGCCGCCGTCGCAGCCGCCGCTGACGACGACGACGCACCAGCACCACCACCACCGCCACCGCCAGCAACACTACCAGCAGCACTACCACCGCCAGCAGAGGGGTTTGGCGGGGTGCTTCGGCCGCTGCGGGAGAGCTGCAGCACGTCTTCCCCCTCCTCGTCCGCATAATGCCTCCCTGCTCCGTCCACCCCATCGTAGGGTGGCAGCCCGTTACCAGCTGCTGCACCCATCTGGTGGTCCAGGATGTCCCGCAGGCGGTAGTACTTCTCCCTGTGGGCGAAGGCGGGGGAGGAGAGGGGAAGTGAGAGGGCCGAGAGTGATGGGGAGGGCGCCCCAGTAGCAGCTGTGCCCATCTGGTGGTCCGTCCGTCTCACACCCAAGCCCGCTCACAGTAACAGCCTGGTGATGCGGCGGCGCCCAAACACATCAACGGTGAGGAAGCACGCGTCGTTGGTGCGTTGGAGGTCGGTGAGGTCCCGAATGTTCTCATGGCAACGTGGCACTTGGTTCTGTGTAACACTAGGACTGCCAACCACTCACTGTAACAGCTTGGTGATACGCCGCCCAAACACGTTGATGGTGAGGAAGCGAGTGTCGTTGATGCGAAGGGGCCCCGTAAGTGAGGTCCCTCATGCCTGTCACGTCATGTGAGTGTGGCACTCACTCGCTTCAAAGACCACTCAATTCAAGAGCACTCACTGTAACAGATCAACGCCACTCACTGCAGCAGCTTGGTGATACGCCGCCCAAACACGTCAATGGTGAGGAAGCGCGCGTCATTGGTGCGCAGGAGGTCCGTGAGGTCCCGCATGTCCGTCAGCAGCAGCTCCTCCGGCTTCTCGTCCTCCAGAGACACATCCGCCACGTCCTGGGCTATATCAGCCAAGTCGTCCATCTGTGTACGAGGCAAAAGACATGACACAGAGTGCCAAGGGTCAGTGAGGCCCATGAGATCAGTGATGCCCCGCATGTCCGTCAGCAGTAGCTCCTCCGGCTTCTCGTCCCACAGAGACACGTCCGCTACGTCCTGGGCTATGTCCGCCAAGTCGTCCATCTCAAAGGTGGGGGGTGGGGCACGGGACAGGTGAAGGGTATTAAGAGGCGGGTGACTGCTGTCAGGCTTGAAAAGGTAAGCGACAAGGACACAAGCAGTAGAGGGAGGGGGGGGGGGAGGGGGAGGGAGAACGGGAGGGAGGGGGGGAGGGGGAGGGGGAGGGGGAGGGGGAGGGGGAGGGAGAGGAGGAGGGGGAGGGAGAGGGGGAGGGGGAGGGAGAGGGGGAGGGGGAAGGGGAGGGAGAGGGGGAGGGGGAGGGGGAGGGAGAGAGGGATGGAGAGGAAGAGGGGGAGGGCGAGGGGGAGGGGGAGGGGGAGGGGGAGAGAGAGCGGGAGGGAGGGAGGGAGGGGGAGGAAGAGAGGGACGGGGAGGGAGAGGAGGATGGGGAGGGAGAGGGGGAGGGGGAGGGAGAGGGAGAGGGGGAGGGAGAGGGGGATGGAGAGGAAGAGGGGGAGGGGGAGGGGGAGGGGGAGGGCGAGGGGGAGGGAGAGGGGAAGGGGGAGGGGGAGGGAGAGCGGGCGGGGGAAGGGAGGGGGAGGGGGAGGGGGAGTGGGAGGGAGAGGGGAAGGGGGAGGAGGAGGGGGAGGGGGAGGGGAGGGTGGGGGAGAGGGAGAGGGAGAGGAGGAGGGGGAGGGAGAGTGGGAGGGAGCGGGAGAGGGGGAGGGGGAGGGAGAGGGGGAGGGTGAGGGGGAGGGGAGGGGGAGGGGGAGGGGGAGGGAGAGGGAGAGGGAAGGAGAGGGAGAGGGAGAGGGAGAGGGAGAGGGAGAGGGAGAGGGAGAGGGAGAGGGATATGGAGAGGGAGAGGGAGAGAGAGAGGGAGAGGGAGAGGAATACACTACGAAACTTCATACTCTCCGAGGCTCCCATACCCTCCATACCCCCCATAGTTAGGTGACGCCTAAGTCACCTCAAGACTCAACCAGGGCGATCTCCTCCTGCACCACCATGTGGATGTGCGCCTCCATCAGCTCCCGCCCCACCCAGCAAAGGAACACACTAGCAAGCCCCATACCTATCCATTACTCTCCCCTCAAACCACTCACCAGGGCGATCTCCTCCTGCGCCACCATGTGGATATGCTCCTCCATCAGCTCCCTTCCTCCCCCCGCCAGCGCGCTCTTCAGCAGCGACGACGCCGGGCTGCCGTACCCGCCGTGGCTCTCCCCCCGTGTCCCCGCCGAGCCTGCGGGCGACGTGGGCATGGGCGACGAAGTACCGGCGGAGAGGAACCCGCTAGTGGACGTGGCCCCACTCATGCTGGTCACGGCGCTCATGGACGGCTCGTAATGGGACCCTTCCTCTCCCCCTGCTGCCTGCAGCTGCTGCTGCTGCTGCTGCAGCTTCTGCTGCTGCTGCTGCTGCAGGTGATGGCTCACGTACGACCAGTTTGACGCGTTCCCGCTGCTCCCTGCGCCTTGATGCTCTTGGTGGTCTTGGTGGTCTGGATGGTCCTCTGTGGGGCTTATAGGAGCGCCTGGGTGCAGCAACCCGTTTTCTCTGCCGTGATGGTCTGCTGCTTCTTGCCCTGGCACCTGCTGATGCTCCTCTTCACCATACCGCTCCGTTCCCTCGCCTGCTGACCCGCCTTCGTCCCCCTCTCGCACATCCGCATGCGATACCATGCTGCTCCCCAAGGGAGACAGAAACCTGCCACCACCCGGCTTCGCCCCTGCGGCTCCTACTCCTGTCGAGCCCACGAGTTGCGAATGCGAATCCGGCCCCACTGCTACCACAGATGAGGTGGACCCTCCAGCAGCGGACGACGAGTTGGACGGCACCCGTTGGAACGACATGGCGCCCAGCCGCGACACCTGCTCGTTGGAGATGTGATCCAGGCCGTCCGCTAGCCTCCTCAACCGATCGTCAATCGAGAACTGCGCGGAGTCGCAGCGGTTTGCGAGCGCACAGAGCCGCGAGTGCTCCTGCAACTGCGTGACATTCACCTCTTCCTCACAGATGCGGCAGATGACCACACACTCCTCCTCCCCCTCGCCCGGAGCCATCCCATCCACGTACTCCCCCCCCTCCTCCTCGTTCTCGCCCTTGCCCCAGTACCCATACTTGTACTGAACCCGCCGCCCAGACACCGATCGCATCATCGCTTTTTCATGCAGGTCGTCAAAGTCCTCTGCGTGGTTGGGCGACAGCAGAGGCGCCTCTCTCGCGCCCCCAGCCCTCCTGCTCTCCATCCTCTCGTCCTCGCCGCTCGCCACCCTCACGTCCCACGCCCTGCTGCTGCGCCCCTCGCCTCGTCTGTGCGCCTTATCCAGGTCCCCCTCCCGCCGCGCGTCCCCCTGTCCCTTCCTCTCCTCACTCCCGCCCTGCACCGCCATGCTTGCACCCGCCGTCTCACCCCAACCGCCGCTCGTCCCTGCTGCCCCTGCGCCCACTGCTCCCCCTGCGCCCACTGCTCCCCCTGCGCCTGCTGCTTCCACCGCCGCCGAAAGGGCTGCTGCTACCGCTGGGTCTGTGGCTGGTCCAAGCTCTGCTGCTGTATCCATCTCTTCCGGCGCCGCCGCTGCTGCTGCTGCCGCGAAGGGGGGCGGGCCAGAGTCGCCTGATCGGGAGAGGGATGACTTCTCCCGCGCGGACTGGCTGCGCATGGCGCGCTGGATCTCCTCCTCCTTGCGGATCTCCGCCACCCGCCCCCACAGCAGCCCCCGCGCGCTCGTGGACCCGTGCACCTCGGTGTCCGCGAGAGTGGCTGGTGGAGGACCGGCCACATGGGCTTGTTGACCCCCCATCAGCATCTCACTGCCCGGCACCTGCACCTGCGGCTGCGGCTGTGGCAGCTGCTGCTGTAAATGCTGCTGTGACCCCACGGACGATTGCTGCGCCTGATCCTGCTGCTGAGGCTGCTGCTGCTGCTGCTGCGGGGGTTGTTGCTGGAACAGCTGCTGCAGCCATCCCTGCTCGCCGCTGCTACTAGCCAACGACACGTCCCCTTCCTCTCGACCTTCTTCTGACAACCGTTTATTCGCCACAGGCGATGCGGACACCGTCGTGCAGCTCCCTTTCCTGCCTGCGCTCTTGTCCCTCCCCTTCTCCGCCTTCTCCTTTCCCTTATCCATCTTCTCCTTGCCCTTATCCATCTTCTCCTTGCCCTTCTCCTTTCCCTTCTCTACCCTATCCTTCCTCGCCTCCTCCATCTCCGCCGCTTCTTCCTCCTTTACCGACGCCAGCAGCTCCTCGAGCTTCCCACTCACCATCCGAACCAGACTCGTCACACCCCCAATCAACCCTCCGGACAGCTTCTTCTTCGACGAACCAAGCCCCGAACCTGGGCTCGAGCCTAGTCCTAAGCTCGCGCCGAGGCCCGAGCTTGACCCTAGACCCGAGCTAGAACCCGGGAGTAGGCTGGAGGAGCTCGGGGCCGAGCCTGATCCCGAGCCTAACCCCGAACCTCCGTCAAGCCCGGACCCAAAACCTGTTCCAAACCCAGATCCAAATCCGGCGCTCGCGCTATCCTCTTGCGTAAAATCCCCCCCCGGCACGTAGGTTCCGCTATCCAGCGCCCCGCGCATTTCCGCCACCGCCGCACTCCAGTCGTCGAGCATCCCCGACTTGCTCGTGCTCCGCTGCTTCCCCTCGTCCTTGCGCGCCCCCAGCCCCTTCCCCAGCCCCCCCTTCTGCTCCGCCTTGGGGTCGCGCACCCGCCAGTCCGCGGGCGCAGGGCACGAGTCCCACCGGATGATCGGCCGCGGCTGCTGCTGCGCGCGGGGAGGAGGCCGCTGCTGCTCCGCCGGCTGCTCCGCGGAGTGCTCCGCGGGGTGTTCCGCGGGGTGTTCGGGAACCTTCGACGCGGAAAACGGCGGGAAGTGAGAAGCCGCCATCGACGCCTGCGACCGAAGCGACATGGACGGTAACCCAGGGGGGCGGTTACGAACCATCGGCGTGGCTAAGACCTCAGCTCCCCTATACGGCCCCCCATACGCCCCCCCGTACGGCATCCCCGCCTCGGCTTCCTTCTGCGACTGCAGCAGGCGAGTGCAGCGGGTGAGAATGAAGAGCATTTTCATGTGCAGCTGCTTTAGGGTTCCCATGGGGAGTTCCTGGCGCGACATGTTTAGATCATGCACTATGTCCTCGCACGCCGATCCAAATTCCTCTGCGGGCATTCGCAAGCATTTCTCGGCTAAGTCCTTGAGGTAGAGCGCGCCTTGCTCCCACCTTGACGACTCCGGCGACATCAGGAACGACGTGAAAGTTGACGGGTAGCCGTTAGACGGGGAGACGGGCGACTTGGGCGGCGTTCTGAGCGTCGCCGCCGCTCCCGGGAGGTTCAGTCGCTTGGAGATGTCGCTGACGAATACGCGAAGCTCGTTGTCGACCTTTTCCTTGGCGAATTCGAGCGCTCGTTGCAGACCGCTCATGGACCCGTCCTGGCTCACCAAGCAATGCGCGCAATGCGAGAGCCAAGCACACGGAGACAGAGGAACCGCAAAACCACAAGAGGAATACAAGTATGTGAGCCGGCGGAGGGTGTCTGACTGACGGCGCGTGGATTCAAAAGGGGGGGAAAGGAGGAATCATAGCAGCAAGCAATCTTCGTCACAATACCGTCAACCAACGAATCGACCGAACAACAATGTCCCTTACGCTGACGTCGAGGTGCGAGACGCGAATGCTGGGCCGCTGCGCCGACAGGGACATCGGGTGCGCCTTGCCGGGCGTCATGTGCTTATGGCCTCCGGTGGTCCGATTGAGCGAGCTGATGCTCTCGAGCATGCTGAAGTCCATGCTCAGGGGCATGGTCGACATCACCTGGAAAAAAAAAGCAATATAAATAAAAACAATAACAAAAACCAGAAAAATATCAACGCCTCAGTGGCGATAATGTCATTAGGTCATGCACGGCGACATACACGGATACACGGATACACCGATACACGCGACGACATACACGGATTCGACGAGGGTGCATCCCAGGGGAAAGGCAAAACGGTCGAAGGTGACATGTGATGCTGCAAGGGATTGGTTTAGAAAGCAAACGAATGTAGATGATAACGGGGATAAGAACGACACGAACGAACGCACATCGGAGAGGCCTGCGGAGAGCGGATGCATCTGACTGAGGCCGCTGTGACCCATTCTGCCTGATTCGGCTCTCGCACCAGGATCGCCGATCGACATTCCGCTACCCTCTCTCAAACTAGACATTCCGCTACTCTCCCTCAAATTAGGCATTCCGTTACCCTCCCTAGAGTTATCCAGCCGCAGAGAGTCGAAGCTTGCATCCAAACTAGGGTTAAGCTCCCGTGCTGTGTCTGGTCTCAGTAGCGGGCTCACGTCCCTCTCCCTCTCCCTCTCGCGGTTCCTATTCGTCCCTCGCGGCGTGTTGAGCACATCGTGGAAAGGATTCGGCATTTCGTGCTTCGCCGCCTGCCGCTGAGGATTCAGCGACCTCGTTCTCTCCGGCATGGCTCCTACGCTTCTGAAATATCTCCTACAGGTTTATTTCTATCGCTGACAACAGCGAGATGCATTGAAAGAACATCCCAGAAGGCCAGCGGCTTCCCCTCTCCAGCGCTGAACCTACACGATCAGTGCCCCAAGTGGTGCCATGAATGTCGTTAGGGCTGTTGACGCAAATCACACTACTGTTCCACCAATCACACCCATACCAGTTGGAAGCAGCCAGAGCCAAGAATGAATGAGCTGTTGCAGCTATGCAGTGAAGTGAAACCCTAGAAAATGGAATCAGGGACGAGGGGGGTTGGGTGGGGTGGGGTGGGGTGAGGTGAGGTCCATCACCAGGTTAGGATGTGGACTTGCGTGCGAACAGGTTCCGCTTCCTGCGATATTGTCCCAAAACAGCGATCAGCCTATGATGATGCATGCGAGGCTTGGGATTTCCATGCGATGACCCGTGAATGTTGTCGTCAAGGGGATATGTGTTGGTGTGTGTCGTGCACCCGCGCTTGACTGGCCGTGATGACGAGGCACCTGCGTCGCACTGTCGTCATGACTCGTCGTGACGGACTGTCGCAGTGTTGGTCGCAGTGCGGGTCGCAAGGTTGCTCAGGGCTTGTTCCCAAAAATCGTTTCCCGTTTTTGACACGCGGAGCCATTTGACGGTACGAATGTGAATCGATTTTGAAACAGATCCCGATTTGGGAACAGGTCCGAAATGAAGGGTGCAGTTCGAAAGGACAGCACCGAGACAGCACAAACATAGGAGCGGGTAACGGGTCCCGCCATGCGAAAACCGCGCGATGCGTGAGTAACAAAATGAGGGCCAGTCGGCCCAGCGGGGGTAGGTTCTTCGCTAGCGACGTGCGAGGCTGCAAAGTATCGCTAGAGAATCTCGCTAGAGGTGGTGACGGTACTGGTTTGGCAAACTGGATTTTTGTGGGGTCTATTTTTGTCTTGTGGAGTTACCCGGAAACGGGCGCTGGTGTCCGCTAATTTCGGGTGTGGGCTGGGCGTGTCTTGTTCGGGCATGTTTTATGATTACACACTGGAAAGTGGTAACTGAACTCGGTGTTGAACTGAGCGCGTACTTTAGTGACACGCCCTCATCACCAAATGAACTGGGGCGACATCGGCACGTGTGGAATGATCTGTGCCCATCTGGAAGTCCAACATGGGTTTCTTCGTCAGCGGTGAGACGCGATTGCCAAGAACGGCGCGCAGAAACCTCGCTAAGGGCAGGTTCATAACATGACAGCCTCACGTCATTATTGGGTTTGGAGAACACCAGTTGTCCTGCTTGCATACAAAGCATATTTGACGCTAAAAAACCAAGTTGCATGTTTCAAGCTGCGTATTTTGAATCAGTCCATCGTTTCATCATCATCGTCGTACATCCTCCTCTCCGGTGGGGTGGCATCCACGAACTCATCTTCATCACCAATTCCCTCGCACTGGTCCTCACCCAAAGGCCATCCAATGCGCTCCCTTGTTTCGTTGTCCATCTCGTCATCCTCTGTGTTGTCAATCCAGCGATCAGGATCTCGCTGGATATGTGCTGATGGTGCACGAGTGGTTTCTTGCCCTACGAGCAACGGAAAAGGAACAGGGAACAACAGGCAAGGAAAAATATGCCAAGGAAACTGTGGAAAGCTGGAGGGGCAGCTAGCGAGTGAGGTGAGACAGGCAAGCAACAAAAAACTAAATATTCCGTGAGGGAACTGGAGGGACAGATCGCGAAGTAGCTGGGGAAGGGAGGAGGTAACATGCTTGTACCATGCCCCCTACTTAATACAAGGACATATTGAGGATGTAACAGCCATGCCTCACCTTCACCCGGTGCATGCCTACGAGGAATGGATGTCTCAGTGGGCATAAATCTACCAGCAGATGCATCAGCAGTAGCACCAGCTGCACCAACAGCAGCACCACCAGCAGCCATGACATTCCCACCAGCACTACCCGCTGCACTCCCACAGGCACTGCCTCTCCCAGCAGCCCCAGCAGCACCAGCAGCACAGCCACCTCGAGCGGCTGCTGCCATTTGACCAATGGGAAGCTCCTCGGTGGCATCCTCGCTGTCTGGGAGCTGATTGGCTGGCTGCTGGTGGTGCTGATCTTGCTGCTGCTGACACTGGTCTTGCTGCTGGAGGTCTTGCTCTGCTTGCTGCTTCCTTGGCCACACGTTGCTGCCTCGCCTCCCATCCCCGCTCCCCTCGCCTCCAATTGGGCCGGCGGCGTCTGCTCCAGCCTTGTGTGGTGTGCCCTTGGCCCCTTGCACTGACGGGAACAGGGAGGGGAGTGGATGACCATTGGTGGGGTGCGTGGAGAGGAACGCAAGGGAACGAGAAGCAGATGATGCCCATTCAACAGCCATTTGATGCTCTTATGTGCAATGGTGGAATGGACCGTGGGCCAACACAGACCGCATGTGAAGAGAAGTTGAGCAAATCAGAAGAATGAACATGCCTCACAGGGCCCGGCCATACCTGAGAGGTCCGGTCATACCTGAGAGGTCCGGCCATACCTGAGAGGTCCGGCCATACCTGAGATGTCTGGCCATACCTGAGATGTCGGACCATCGTTTTCCATGTCCCCAGCCTGCCTCCAGCCTCGCTCCTGCATCTGGATCCTTATATGGAACGTTCTCTGCACCTTCCTGGCTCCTGGCACCATGAGCTCCTTCATCTCCCCTCATTCCTTCACCCAACCCTCTTCCTCTCGGACCTGCCCTGCTACCCGAGCCTACTGGACAGGCATGGTGGGGAACCGTCCCCGAACCCAAAGGATAGGAGCGCTCGGAGCCCGACACTGCAACTGTGGGTGTGGCAGCTTCGGCAGAGGCTTGGGAAGCAGAGCCCTTGTGAACAGGAGAGCCAGCTTCGGCAGAGGCTTGGGGAGCGGCTGCGGTTTGGTCAGCAGGAGGAGTGCCAGGTTGGGCAGAGGCTCGGTGAACGGAAGGGTCGGAGGGCGGAGGGGTGGGGAGCTGGGACTCGAGCATAGTGGCGATGACGAGGCGCGCGTCAAAGTCCGATGCGAGCGGTGGGTGCGCGTGGCGGGGGTTGCGGGCGGGGGTGGCGTGTGGATTGGGGAACCTTGGCATGAGCATGAGAGGCCTGGACGAGAGAAGGGGGGGCGGGGTGGGGGAGGAGGAAACGGGTGCATGTTATAATTGAAACACATGGCGGACGAGGGGAATGGGACATGCGATGGGGGGTGGAAAGACTCATGGTGTAGGTGATCCCTGATCTTGTGAACGCGCACTTGGTGGACACCACAGCAGCACTCACGCTCCTGCTGACTCATGATTGCTAGTGGTGGTTGATGACTCAGCAGCTCTCACGCTCCAGATGACAATTTATTGCAGAGAACTACACCGCCTTTCACGGCTGAGCAGCACTCACGCTCCTGCTCGATGGAAGAGCATGACTACGTCTGCAGCTGCCGACTCGCAAAACTGCACAAAGGCCTGGTGGGGCGAGCAGGGACGATGCGGGGGAGGAGGGGAGGAGGGGAGGAGAGGAGGAGGGGAGGAGGGGAGGAGGGGAGTTGATGGAAGAGAATGACCACGCCTGTGGCTGCCGACTCACAGAACTGTACAAAGGCCTGGTGGGTGGGGAGACATGAGGCGATGGAGAAATAGGGCGATGGAGAGATGATGGCGTGAGAAAAGATGGAAGGAGAAAACGAGACGGAGGGAGCAAGAATGGAATGGAGAGGCGGAAGCAGAGGATGATGGATCAGAAACGGGATGAGAACGACAGTAGGGAAAACGTGAGCGACAAAAGATGAAGCGTGTATTAGTACTCCATAAACATCCTCCCTTGAACCCCCTCAATCCATTGCTGCCCTCGACTCTATCACCCCTCTTCATCTCACTTTCACTTCTCGCACGCTGAACGTGACATCCACCGCATCTCCCGAGTGGCAGTACGCCTCGAAGTGCTCCCCAGGGTCCACCCACAGCTGCGTGTGCATCGCTGCCTCGGGGGATGCCTGGGGGCGGCCGTCTGCACTGGAGGCTGCACCAGGGGGGGGGGGGAGCGCGACGGAAGCAAGTGGGGAATGAATTATTTCGAAGCAAGTGGGGAATGAAGTATTTCGAAGCAAGTGGGGAATGAAGTATTTCGAAGCAAGTGGGGAATGCAGTATTTCGAAGCAAGTGGGGAATGAAGTATTTCGAAGCAAGTGGGGAATGAAGGATTTCGAAGCAAGTGGGGAATGAAGTATTTCGAAGCAAGTGGGGAATGAAGTATTTTGAAGCAAGTGGGGAATGAAGTATTTCGAAGCAGGGCATGAACCAATCAGCAGGTGTCGGCTTTCTACTAAATTGCTCCATCCCCCTCCCTTTCCACACGCACAGCGCAGCTAAGTTACAAAACACCCATCAGCATGCGTGGGCTCCACATGCCATCCACCCACCAGCATGCGTGGGCTCCACGTAGCTCCTCATCTCCACCGCCTTCGCCTCGCTCCCTCCTCCCCTCCCCATCGCACCTCCTCCCGTGCCTGTTCCCGAGGCTGTCACGTCATCAGGGTCGGCAGCAATGATGGTGATCTCAGACAGGGTCGGTTGGAAGTGGTTGAGCAGCTGCAGCAGAGGCTTGGGGCGCGCGACGAGGGACGAGGGGTACGTGGACGGGTCGATGGACGCCGAGAGAACCTCTCTGTCGTTCACACACGCGATGGTGTACGTCTTGCGCATGCCTGAAATGGAGAGGAAAGAAAAAACAGGAGGTGGTAGCAAAGGTGGGGGGAGGAGGAGGTTTGTTTGTATCGACTGGGAAGCCTTTGCAGCGAATCGTAACGATCCAGGGCCACCTGGCATACCGTTTTGGCAGTCAAACTTAGCGTTCTGCCTTCCCGTTTTGGCAGTCAAACTTAGCGTTCTGCCTTCCCAGCATATCCTTAGCGTACCGTTTTGGCAGTCGATTATCCAGCGGATGGTGTTGGGCTCCTTGCCGTCCGCTGCGATGGTGAGGCTCTGCATGGCTGCTGGTGACGTGCGGAACACTGCCAGCACTGACTGCTCGCAGCGCATGCATAGGTAGGGACACGCACACGCATGTACGCACGCATGCACATGGAAAGAGAGGATTGATAGAAGGTCTCATCATCCTGAAACGTTGACCAGCTTGACTCGCCTCGACCAGCTTGAATCGCCTCGACCAGCTTGACTTGCCTCGACCAGCTTGACTCGCTTTGACCAGCTTGACTTGATTTGACTCACCTTGACTCGATTTGACTCACCTTGACTCACCTTGACGAGCGCGGAGCAGGAGCAGGTGGATTCTGAGAGCTTGAAGTTGTCGAAGTAGTCAGTGGCGAAGTTGACCACCAGGTAGGCCGTCTTGGCCGTGTTGATGCCTCGCAGCGACAGCTGGAATGGGAGGGTGGGGACACATCTTGAGTTCGAAATGCTCTAGGCTGACAGAAGTAGTCAGTGGCGAAGTTGACCACCAGGTACGCCGTCTTGGCCGTGTTGATGCCTCGCAGCGACAGCTGGAATGGGAGGGTGGGGACACATCTTGAGTTCGAAATGCTCTAGGCTGACAGAAGTAGTCAGTGGCGAAGTTGACCACCAGGTATGCCGTCTTGGCCGTGTTGATGCCTCGCAGCGACAGCTGGAATGGGAGGTTCGAGAAAGGCGTTGACAGAAATGCAAGAGCCAATTCAGAGGTATTTAGTGGTGGGTTGACAACCAAGTAGCCGTCTTGGAAGTGTTGATGCCTCGCAGAAACAGCTAATAGGTAAGCGAAAAGCTCAACTTAAGACAGCCAAGGAACATATTTAAAGGGACAGGCTCATTGGGGCTCGGCCTATCCGTGTAACCGAGCAGTAAAACACTCTCAGATAGCTTCGTGATCAGCTAACAATGCTGAATGGTGTATCCACCCTTCCCGATTTTTCCAATCCTACCTCCACGGGAGCTGCCAGGAAGGTGATGTAATCGCTGTGAGCCACCTTGGCCAGGCACTGAACTGCTCTGCACAACCCGCGGATCTGCTCGCCTGACAGCTGGCACTCCATGACTGCCCGCGATCGCCAACGAAGATGCGTCTAGGCTTGGTATATCGCCAATCCGTGACTGGCGCTTTGTGGCTGAAAGTTCTCGTAACTCGACGAATGTGAGGGGGGTTTTTAGGTTAGCGGTAACCCTTACTGGAGTTTTACTCTTTTGAGTAACATTTAGCCCTTTCACGGAAGGGTTTCTCATTGTTCCAACCCTCCCGGGCCAGTTTTTTGTTCTTTGAGGTTAGTTCGCACCACAGAAGACCACGCGTCACAATCTCCTTGCTCCGTCACTTTGGGGCTACTGAACTCTGTTTTCCTGCGATATTGTGGGATCTGTAGTGCTACTGAAAATGGCTGACAACATTCGGGCAGGCTAGCTGGCAAGAAAAAAACTAAAACCCATAGGGGCGAGTATGCCATTCTGGTGGGCATCAACCCTAAATTCGTGGCCCTTTTGCGAGTTTAGGGTTGATGCCATCCAGAATGCCATGCCAGGCCCATAAGGGTTTTATTGTTTCTGCCCTCTGCCCAAGATGAAGGAGATTGCTACACGTGGTTCGCTGTGGAGAGAACTAACCTCAAAGAACAAAAAACTGTCCCTGGGGGGTTTGATCGGCGAGAAACCCTTCCGTAATAGGGGCTAAACGTGATCCCAAAGAGTAAAACGCTAGTAAGGGTTACCGGTAATCTAAAAACCCAATGTGAGGGTCTTGATCATCAGTTACGGCGAGCTAGAAATGTGTGAGTAAGGGAAACGACTGCACTGAAAGGATCGTAATTTCCAACGGAGGGGGGAAAGGCAGCTGAATTGTCACCAACGCTACTACCCGCCTGTCACGCTTTCTGTTGGCCGCATCCACAGGTCGCTCAGTACTGCGACTGCGTCAGCATGACGAGACGGCACAAACTTCACTATTGCCCTACTGACTTTGATCCATTAAGTGCTAACTTCCAGGTGTCCGGAATAATTTCAATTACCGGTACGGTTGAAGGTAAGACTTAATTGGCATACCTAACTGTATAAAGAGAGACCATGCAATTGTAGGTACTATCATGGTGAGGTTGGTTTTACAATTTGCCACTTAAGTGGATGAGCGCCAGAAGAGAACCGAAATTAACTAGTGCATTATCTCTCCTGCAAAAAGCTTACACTCAAGAAAACTTGAGCAACGTGATAACTAAGTATATGTTTACGCCTTCAGGCACTCATACGCGAGGTCCTTCTCCTCAACAAGCTCTGCTGCCGTGGCGTCCATCTTCGCCCTCGAGTTAGCATCGATGGATAGCCCTGTCAGGACAACCATGGCGGCCAACATAGACACATAATATCAATTCCCCAACATGCATATTTAGAAACGACAGAGCAAGGGAATGAAGGGCACGACTTGAAGGTAGTTTTGGGAAGCAGTAGACACAAGGGAAGAGGGATCACCTTGAACAATGGTCCACTCGCCGTCCTTGCAGGTGACAGGGAAGGAGTAGATGATGTCCTTGGGAACGTCGTAGGAGCCGTCAGAAATGACTCCCATGGACACCCATGAACCCTGTAGGAATGAACATACAAGAATTTGTCAGTGTGAAGGATCAACAAGGGATAACAGGCTAGGCATATCACACGGCATCAGTGGTACCTCGGGTGTGCCCTTGACCCAGTTGCGGATGTGGTCGCAGGCAGACGAAGCGGCGGAGAGAGCGCTGGAGAGGTTGCGGGCCTTGATGATGGCAGCACCGCGTTGCTGAACAGTCTTGATGAAGTCACCATCGAGCCTGCGATACCATCAAACACGCGTCACGCAAGCCATGATCTGTCAAAACACGTTCCTTATACCAAAACTACTACGAGACGTTTGGACTTTGGTGCAGCTTAGATCTGGCGATTCTTTGTGTGTGTGATCGCATTAACGTACCACGCGTCGTCCTTGACGAGCTCGCGGACGGGCTTCTCGCCCTCAGGAGTGACGACGACAGCGTGGTTCACATCAGGGTACTGGGTGGAGGAGTGGTTGCCCCAGATGATGGTGTTCTTCACATTCGCCACGGGGACGCCAAGGCGCTCGGAGATCTGGCCGAGGGCGCGGTTGTGGTCCAGGCGGGTGAGGCAGGTGATGTTCTTGGCGGGGAACTTGGGAGCGAACTCCTTGAGGATCAAGGCGTTGGTGTTGGCAGGGTTGGCAACGACCACCACCTGTAGAGTAGGAAAAGGCAGGTTGAGGGGGGAGTTGTGGTAAGATGAGAATGACGAGTAGACCACACCGAAGACAGGATCTTAAAGAAACCGGCTGAATGTGATGTTAAAAATCTTTTCACATACGGTTAATGCTGTGAAATGTGCTGCTGAGATCTAGTGAACACACACCTTGCAGTCCTTGTCAGCGAACTTCTCGAGAGCGGAGGCCTGGTCGCGGTAGATGGAGACGTTCTTGGACATCACGTCCTTGCGCTCCATGCCGGCCTTGCGGGGGAAGCCACCGACCATAATCGCGACCTGCACGCCCTTGCAAGCCTCCTCAACATTCGTTGTCGCGACGACACCTGACAATGTGAAGCATGCGATGACGAAAACATCATAACAATGATGGACGACAGTCTTTAGAAACGGGTCCAGATTGTCTTCTACAATGGAAAAACAAAAAAAAAGGGGCTTCCAGGCTGTAGATGACCCTACCGTGAATGAGGGGGAAGGCGGAGTCAATGAGCTCCATGCGGACGCCATTGAGAGAGCTCTCAGCAGGAGGAATATCGAGCAGGTGAAGGATGACAGGCTGGTCAGGTCCGAGGAGAATGCCACGAGCGATCATAGGCACTAAGGCATAACCAATTTGGCCTGCACAAGAAAGGAACGCGGAAAGATTTCCTAAGTGAGAGATCAGAACTCCTGATCAAGAAGAGAAACGATATACTAGCCAAGGGGGAAACTATTGGTGGCTTAACAAACGATTTACTAACCAGCAGCGCCGGTGACAAGGACGCGGACGGGCTCGGGAGCCATGGCTTTAATGTCCGAAACCTGACTAGCTGCTGTGCAGAGTGTATCGTTGAGTGCTGAGAACACAGGAGCGAACAGGCAACTAGAGCAGACGGAATGACAGGGATCTGCTGTGTTTGCTGAATTTGAGTGCTGGAAATTGGGAGAATTTGGCTGATGGTGCCTGTGACTGGGGGAATGGCATGGGATCACGGGAGCGAGGGGACAGGCGAGGGGAGAGGGAAGGGGGAACACGCGAGGGTAGAGGGGACATGGTCACTGGTCCCTGATTGTACGCGACTGGTCGCATGGGTTGCTGTGATGCCTTGCTGGATTCCACCAGCACGCGCAGCCTCCCCCATTCCCAGCAGTGCCGGAAAGATCCCCTCGTATTGCGGCGCCACGCCACGTCACGGCTGATTTGGCGCCCAGCTCCCTCAATTTGACAAGCCATGTCGCCTCGTTCGGTGAGCTAGGAGGTCTGGTATGGAACGGGCAATATTCGAGGTGCATAGAGCAAAACCAGCAGGAAAACTGAACTCCGTGGTTCGGAGAAAGTGGTACGGGAAGCTGGCATCCGCCGTGGTACAGCTGACGTGGTTCAAAAACCGCCAGCGCATCAAAAGGCGTCACGCAAAGGCCAGCAATCCCGCGATTGGCGCCAGCCGTTCTGTAGAAAAAGGTACATTCGTGTACATAATAGCAAGAAACACCTAGCCAAGTTTGATCATAATGTAGGCCAAATTATTATCAGTCTCCTCCTGTTTCTCTCTCCCCCCCAAACCCCCTTTCCTGGACTGCCTGTTTTACCCTTGCCCATCCTTTGTTCTCATCAGATGACCTCCGTGCACTAAGTGAGGTCTGCCTCCAGCTCAAACTCCTGAAGGCGAACCCTTTCCCTCCACCGCCCCCACTCAGCTCACGGCCCATACTGCCTCTAGAAAGCTGCCCTTTAATGACGTCTCCATCCCCTCCTGCCTTACCAGCCTCCCCTTCACTGGACATCAGCACTTCAATCAAATCCTGCCACCGCTTCTGTACCTGGGCGGCTGAATTATGTGCTTTCAACTGTTTCACCGGGTGATTTCCACCACCATCACCAGCGCTGCTGCTGCTGCCAGCAGCAATCTCCCCTGCTGCAGCACCATTGTTCCCCTGCTCTTCATTCTGAACTTCAAGTTCAGAAGTTCCGTCTGAGCCCGATTGCCCGGCCTCCTCTTCGTCTTCCTCCTCCGAATCTGCTGCCAGCTCAGCAGGATCCTTGGCATTGGGTATTCTCAGCGAAACACAGCGCTCCAGGGACTTGAGATGCTGCAGCCGGTGTTGCTGCTGCAACAGCGATTGCTGGTGCTGCGACCGCTGCTGCGACCCGTGCTGTGACAGATCCTGCAGGGAGGGCTGCTCGTTTAGCGAGTCCGCAGCAGCTGCTGCAGCACCTGCTCCTGCTCCTGCTCCTGCTCCTGCTCCTGCTCCTGCTCCTGCACCTGCTCCTGCTGCTCCTGCTGCTGCTGTTGATGCTGCTGCAGCTGCTGTTCCCACGCCCCGCTCCATGAGCTCCTCTGGCGGTGCTGTCATCATGACTGGTTGTTGCTCCTCGCTTAGTTTCATCACCACAACTTGTTCTGCCATGACTTCTTCCTCCGGCTCTTCCGCCGCCTGGTAGGGGTTGGGCCACACAGAGGGGATTCAGTACACCACGAGGCGAGGCCTTATCACCACCCGACAAGGTCTCGCAAACACATGGCAGCGAAACGCAAACAAGACGAGGAGACAGAAGGGAGATGGGATGCTGGCAAAGGAGCACAGAGAGGGAAGGTTGAGAGCGAAAGAGGGAAGTGGATAAGACTGAAAGCATGGCAAAGGGGAGTCCAGCTTTATCACTCGCTACAGTCACATGCATGACTCACTACATACAGTCAACTCCCTGTGAGCACCTGCAGGAACTCCTGCAGCTTGGCAGCAATGAGCGGCAGCGAGTGGCCGCGAGTGGCTGTGCGAGACAGCACCACCCTCTCAACCCCAATCGCCGCACCACCTTGCTACTGCCACCCCCATCACTTGCTGCAGTCACCCCCATCACTTGCTACCGCCGCCCCCATCACTTGCTACAGTCACCCTCATGACACGCCAGACTCACCTGTAGGAACTGCTGCAGCTTGGCAGCGATGAGTAGCAGTGAGTGGTCGCGAGTGGCCGTGCATGAGAGCACAGCGTTCTCAAACCCAATGGCTGCACATGTTGCTAGCGTCCCCCCATCAGTTGCTGCAGACACCCCCATCACTTGCTGCAGTCAGCTCCATCACTTGCTGCAGTCACCCCCATCACTTGCTGCAGTCACACTCATGACACGCCGGACTCACCTGCAGGAACTGCTGCAGCTTGGCGGCGATAAGTGGCAGCAAGTGGTCGCGAGTGGCCGTGCGCGACAGCACCACCTTCTCAAACCGCCCCTCCACTGGGATGGCGGTCAGCGCCACTGGGGGAAGATCCGTACAGCTGAGATATAGGTAGACCGTGGGACAAGGAAAAGAAAGCAGCCAAACGCGTGCAATAGATGGGTGCGCAAGCAGCAGAGGCGTTCAGATTCACCTGCCAACGTGTGCAGGGGAATGCAACCCTAGAGTCCGTTCCCGGCTCACCTGCTGTACAGGCGTGCTTAGAGCATGTGGTAGCGCCGCCCAGGTGCATACAGCCTCCTGGGTCTGAAAGTCTCTCAAGGAAAGGAGAAGAACCGGCCTACGGTGGTGACTTCGAGGGGACGCGGACAACGCTGGGTACATAGGGTCTCTCTCACCTGCACGGTTGTGTGTAGAGCAAGTGGTAGAGCCGTCCGGGCGCATATAACCTCCTGGGATCTGCCAGTCGCTTTTTCTCTGGCACACATGTGTCGCGGCAGCAGGCAAACTGCAGCACACAGGGCATGCTGTGGGCAGTGAGGTGAGGGGAGGAGGGTAATAATGGGTCAGCACGTCTCCCCGAGTGCTTCGACACACATGTGTCGCGGCAGCATGCTAACTGCAGCACACAGGGCATGCTGTGGGCGGTGAGGGGGGGAGGGTAAAAGAAAGGGGGAGGGTGAGTGACAGGAGGTGAGAATTCTCCCCAAGTGCTTTGATGCACATGCGTCGCGGCAGCATGTGCACTTCAGCACACAGAGCATACTGGGGGGAGGGCGGGAGGGTGTTAGAGGCTCAGCCAATCTGCCCATGCGCTCACACATGTGTCGCAGCACCAGGCGTACTGCAGCAAACACCGCACCCTGCAGAGGAGGATGCCCACCAGAAGGCGAGTCCGAAGACGGCAAGAAGACAAGAAACGCAAGCTCGACTGCAAGTTGAGGTAGAGGGATGCTCACCAGAAGGCCAGTCCAAAAACTAGAGCGAGCGGGTGCGAGACGCGGGGAAGAAAGTCATCCTGGCACATGCACACACACACACACACACGAGCGCGCGCGCGCGCATGCATTCAAAGAGAAGAAGGGGTTGAAGACAGCACAATGGAATGGACTCGCAGGGCGGGCACACAGATAGGATCACAGCACACTTGGGAGGATCCATGCACGCACGCACGCACGCACACATGCATGCACGCACGCATGCACGCACGCACACATGCACGCACGCACGCATGCACGCACACACGCACATGGCACACGCTCATCATGTCCTGCCCAAGAACCCACCCAGACGCGCGAGGGGGACACACGACGATGTCAGCACTACCTGCAGCACCACAGACGCGATGATGTCGGCATGGCGCACCGCCAGATTGAGCGACGCACAGCGCGGCGGCGAGAAGCCCACGCACCGTATCCTACCCCTCCGCACGCGCCCCAGCTCCCGGAGGTTGTTGGCCAGCACCATGGCTGCCAGGGCAAGCACGCCCGCCCCGATGGAGTGGCCAGTGAGCGTGAGCGTGTGGCCGGGGTGCTTGCGCAGGAGACGCTTGAGGTGGTCCATCTCGAGGTCGAGAAACGCGCCTGCTGCTGCTAGGAGCCCGCAGTGCACGTAGCCCCCATCGAACATCTGAGAGGAACGGGGTAAAAGAGACGGGGGCGGGGGAGGGGGGAGGGGGGGTGCTAGTGTGAGCGTGTGGCCGGGGTGTTTGTGCAGGAGGCGCTTGAGGTGGTCCATCTCGAGGTCCAGGAAGGCGCCTGCTGCTGCCAGCAGTCCGCAGTGCACGTAGCCCCCATCGAACATCTGAGAGGAACAGGGGAGAAAGGTCAGAGCGAGGAACGAGGGGTGAAAGCCGAAAGGTGGACGTCGAGAGGGGGACAAACTGGAGGACAAGATTCCTTGACAAGTTTTACTAAGCGTTGTCTTAGTCCCTGTCAAGTCGTGGCACCGAAAGGGTGTTCTCTCGGAAGGCGGGGAAAAGGAAGATGAGAGGGGACAAACTGGAAGACGGCGGAAAGCGGAGGTGCCGACCTGCTTGCGTTCGCGGCAGTTCCTGAGGATTTGGTAGTCCGCCAGCTGCGCCAGGTTCATCCCGCACCGCACGTGGCCACGCGGATGTCAACTGTTTCTACACCCACCAATCATCACCTGAAACGCCGCTTTGTGTCAACAGAAGCCAGCCCACCTGCTTGCCCTCGCGGTTGTTCTTGAGGATCCGGTAGTCCGACATCTGCGTCAGGTTCATCCCGCGCATGGCCACGGTGATGTCTTTATTCACCGGGTCCAGGTACACCAGGTACGACGGGCACTGCCCGCCCGTGTCCCGCTGCTCCACCTTCCGCAGCATCCGCGCCTCAATCGCCTCCCGCTTCCCCATCACCACTCCATCCTTGCCGTTAGCCCCGGGTTTAGCCTCGGCTTTTGGCTCGGAACCTGGCTGAGAATTAGGAACCCTTCCCTTCGCCATTTCCTCTTCCTTCGCCGTTTGCACATGCGTCGGATCGGTGTCGCCTCGCTTGGACCGGCCATCAGCAGCGTCAATTTGCGGCTGCGCGCCGATATTCCCATGGTCGTCGGAAAGGGATTCCAGCAGCTGCAGGCTCTTGGCCAGGTCGGGTTCGTACGACGCGAGAACAAGCGCCGCGAGGCGGGGGAAATCCGCCATCTCGTCTCTGGAGGCCGCCGGCCAGTCGTGGCTGGAGTCCGAGCCCTTGTACATGAGGCGATGCACGGCCCACCCGCAACACGCGCACCCCCACACCGCCAAGCAGCACGGCAGCACCATTGCTGCTGTAACGTGGAGAAACGTATGGTTTACTACTGTAGAGTTCTAAACTAGGTCGCATCCGCAGCACGCGCACCCCCACATCGCCAGGCAGCACGGCAGCACCATGGCTGCTGCAGTAGCGTCGACGAGATACTATTACAGGACGAAATATTGTGAAGATGTGGTTTGCTCTTGCTGTCTATCGGGCTAGACTACCCCAGTAGGATGCGTCACAGGGCGAGACAGCAGGGGAGCACCATTTTTGTCGCGAAATAATGTAAGCATATATTATCATCACCAGAAAGAACCGTGTCGGCCGTACGGAATGCGTGGCAAGTCTCTAAGGGACAGCCACAACAAGGCCCTGGGTCGAAACGAGAAAGCCATGCCTCGCGATAGAACCCAGCGGTATGCGTCGTCGGTACCAGGCCGCGCAGTGGTGTTGTGGAAAACACAAAAAGAGAGCTCAGTCGAAGCAGGGACAGGTGAGGGGAGGAGTTGTACTGGGGAGCTCTGGGAGACGGGGGAGCCTTTCCATTTCTCCTGTCTATCAAACGCCAGACCCAGCAATAGTGAACATTCTAGGGATTGGGAAAGTATATCGGCGCTCAGTATAAGGGGCCTCGATAACGTATACGGTCAGTGACAGAATATAAACAATCAGAATTAGTGAGTTTTCCACCGTTAGTCAGATACAACATGAAAAAGGTTCCACAAATGGTCAGTAGAAGAAACCCCTGCTCGTCTTTGAACGTTTTCCCCCTCGCACCAGCCCAATTTTGTCATCATTGCGGCTGGCGCGATATTTTTTCCAAGCTTCAAGCGCAGTTCGAGAGAACTACGTAAAGTATTTCCGAATTAAAAATCGTTGGACGTCGCACACACAAAATAAAAAAATTGAGACCATGCGCATTTATGTCACAAGCTAATTGGGTCACAGCAGGCCGCACAAACGCACAAAAAGCGAAAACATTTCACATAAAAGGGCAAATCTAATCCGGGATCGGCGCTAAGCCAATGAGGCGTGAATATTATACTGTAGTGCACGTGCACTAATTTAATTCGAGCATGACAAGACATGTAGAGTCGTAATTCGATGGAAAAGTTTTCTAGTAAACACATTTGTTGAAAAAATCTAAAGACAACCGGCATGCTTCAAATATATTTGTTGTATTGAAATAAATACAAAATTAAATGTGATTTTGAGATTACCTTGACGCGCTTTTAAACATATTCATTTCACGAAAATAAAACTCCGTAGCTATCTATATATGCTATTGTTTTCGGACGATTTGGGAATCACATGTTTATGGTTTTACTTTTTTTTTTTGGGCCATAAATGCGGTAGAGACAAAGCCGCCATTTTTTATCATCTCGAAACGCGCTACGCCATTTAACGAAAGTATGCGCCTCGAAACAAATCGGCTTTTCGTGTTTCTCGACTAACAAATATCCGACGAATTTTAATTTTGGCATTTAGAGTTTTTTTCGCTCGAACTGCGCCTCGGGCTCGGGAAAAATATCGCGCCAGCCACAATGATGACGAAATTGGGCTAGCGCAGGCGGGAAAACATTCAGAGAAGGGCGGGGGTTACTTCCACCGACCATTCGTGGAACATTTTTCCTGTTGTTTCTGATTAACGGTGGAACCCGGCTGATGAATCATTTTGCGAACTCGCTAATTCTGACTATTTCTATCGTGCCACTGACCGTACATGTTATCAAGGCCCCTAATATTGAGCGCTGACATACTTTCCCTCCTTGAGACTGGTTCCAGGCCCTGTTCTGTAGACATCTGTTTCATAAGATATCTTATCAAATTAGAATATGTCCGTGTTAGACTACAAGAATGACTAGAAACATGTGAAACATGTGAAACATGTGAGAACAAGGGAGATATAGGGTTTCAGTTGTACCCTCTAAGAACACACACCTATCTAGCCTATAACTTCTACATACAAATATATGTATAAGTTGACACACCTCCTAGGCTAGATAAGGGGCAGTGTTGAGCTAGAAACACGCAACTCAGAGTGGCACTACTAGTCCAACCTCTGAGACAGGGGTCTGAAGACCAGTCAGCAAGAGTACAAACAAGACAGGAGCAAACCAGGGCGGCACTACTAGTTCGGCCACTAGAAGATAAGCCACAACGCTCGTCTTAAAGGTATATATAACGAGGAGTACACAATCAAGGTCCTAACAAGTGAGAGTCTACAAGAACTAGACCAAGCTGCAAACGGTGCCACTGATGATCTCTAGGCGCAAGCGCCTTAGTAAAGATATCAACTGTGTTGGCACCGGAGGCCAAGTGTACTACGCGCGCCTTGCGACGCTACTGTAGCTCGCCCAGGAGGAAGTACCGCAGCTGGATGTGCTTCGCTCTGCCCTCCAGTCGAGGCTCCTGACAATGGAGGATCATGGCCATGTTGTCAGCGACAGGGCCGGGGCAGAGCTAGGCCGCTCACCTAAGTCGGTGAGCAAGAAGGTCAGCCAGCGGAGCTCCTGTGCCGCTATGGCACCGGCATAGATCTCAGCCTCACAGCTACAGTAGACTGGGCAACAGACGAGGAGCGAGTGGACCTCCACGAGATGGCACCCGAACAAAGGCTTACGCAGTAGCCCTGAGAGGACCTGAGGGTCTCAGCGTCGTCTGCCCAAGAAGCGCCTGTGTGCCCAGTAAGGACCTCTGGCCCGCGTCCTCCCAGCACTAGTCCCATGCCCGATGTACTTGCTAGATAACGCAAAACCCTCTTAGCGGCCGACCAGTGCTGTGGTTGGTGTCTGCCTGTGGCCACAAAGCGAGCCAGTATGCTAAGAGGTTATGCAAGATCTGGACGAGTGCAAGTCATTAGGTACATAAGGCAACCCACCAGCTTTGTGTAAGGGCCACTGGGCTCTATTGATTCCTTAGGAACTGGAGCTGAGAGCATGTGGTCTACTGGCACAGGTGTGGGCTGTGCGGAGGAGAAATGAAGACCGAACCTCTGAAGGACCTGGCGCACCAAGTGTGACTGTGTGAGAGTGATGGTACGCGCTGTTCTGTCCCTGGAGATCTGCAGGCCAAAGTAGCGGCGCAGCTCTCCTAGGTCAGTGCACATGTGTCTCCTTAGCAGCTCGGCCTTCACGGAGGCTAGTGCGTCTCTGTCTGCAGTAGTGAAGACCAGGTCATCTACGTAGACAAGGATGTAGAACGGATTCTGGTCAGAACGAACGAAGAGCGAGGGTTCTGCACAGGACAGAAAGAACTACAGGCCAGCTAGCGTAGCACGCAGTGTGTCGTGCCACTCATGGGGCGCCTGTCGCAGGTCGTAGACCGAACGCCGGAAGAGCCACTAGTTCCCAGGAGGGAAGGTACCGGTGAAGCCCTGAGGACGGCGCAGGTAGACCTGCTTGTGTAGGCTGCCCTAAGAGAAGCAGTGGAGAAGTCGAGGGAGTGGAGCTCATAGTCACGCTGTGCTGCTACGTGTAACAGCGCTCGAAGAGTAGTCATCTTCGGGGTTGTGGCGAAGGTCTGGAAGAAGTCCACCCTCTCTCGTTGGCTGAAGCCTCTAGCCACATAGCGCGCCTTGAACACAGGCAGCTCTCGAGGGGGGCGCTTCACCTTGAAGAGCCACCGGCCATCGACTACGTTCACCCCAGGTGGGGGAACTGCGTCGACGTAGGTGCCGGTGGATCTCCAAGATGCCATCTCCTGCTCCATGGCAGCTATCCACTGAGAGGCCCAGGGTCCCGAGGTTGCCTCAGCGTAAGTGCGAGGGGTCGGGATGTCAAAGGCGTCTGGGTCACCCTTAGTGACTAGCGGCATGGAACGGAGACCGTGGTCGGAGTGGAGACACAGTAAATGGAGACCGCGGTGGAGGCGCGCAGCTACGACCCACGGGATAAGAACGTTAGGCATGTCAGCCTTCTGCTCCAAGGGAAGCACCGTGGTATAGCGCGTGTAGTCGTCGACGAGCACTAGAAAGTAGCGCTCGCGACGCAGACCAGGGACGGGGGCTGGGCCCCAGACGTCCAGGTGCAAGGTCTAGAGGGGTGCGGTGGCAAAACAAAGTGAGGAGGAGTGAGGAGCACGGCGCAGCCGGCCCTCGACGCATGGCGTGCATGGCGGCACAGGTGAGGGAGGGAGGGAAGGAAGCGACGCAGGGAGAACTAGGACGAGACCGTGCTAGGACATGCGACGCAGACGCGGGAGTGCGGGGTGACCTAGGCGATGGTGCCACAGAAGCGGCGGGTGAGTGAGCGACCAACACGAGCATGCATCGGCGACCTGGGTAGACGCAGGACCTGGGGAGGATGCCCCACTAGGGGGGGAAGCAGTGTCCAGCGTAAACAAGCCAGACATCGGGTCCCAGGGCAACGTCGCAAGGGGGGAACCTGAGGCAGCCTCGGTACAGACAGCGTACCGATCGTGACCCGGAAACGTAGTGGTGACGCCAAGGTCCTGAAGACAGCCGACACCAACTAAGTTCCGGGAGAACGAAGGGATGTGCAGGTTTGTAAGGGAACCCGAGGGAACCGTTGGACATGGAACAGGGGTGTACTTGCGAGCAACGACAGGACCAGAGGAGGGGTCAGCAAGGGCGACAGCGGTAGGCGAGGCAAGCGGCGTGAGTGCAGCGTGGTCGCGGAAGAAGCAGGCAGATGCACCGAAGTCAAGTGTGAAGGACAGCAAAGCGGTAGTGGTGGACGAAGGATGAGCAAGGGTAGAGCTTAGGCTAGACAAAGCAAACGGTCTCACGCCTGACGCAGTCTTAGGCTAGATAGATATGGACCATGGAGGGGCCGGGTCTAGAGCTGGTACTAGCAGCTCATAGTACCGAAGCTGCCGGTAGACGCTGAGCTGCGAGGACCGCCACCACGGCCACCACCTCCAGGGGCTCCTGACCACCCCGGCGGGAGGCGGACCCATGGCTGCTATGGCTGCTAGTGCTGCTACTGCTGTTGCGGCTGCTGCTACTGCGACTGTTGCAACTGAGTCTGCTGCGGCTGCTGCTGCTCTTGGACACCTGCCCCAGCCCCCTCATCAGAACCACTATCTCTGCCACCATCACCACCACCACCAGCTACGGGTAGCGAGTGGCCGCAGGTACGCGAGGGGCCAGCAGGTACGCGGGGGGTCGGCGAGGTGTGCGAGGGGCCAGCGGGTACGCTAGGGGCCGGCTAGGTGTATGGGGCTGGCTAGGCGCGAGGGGCCGGCAGGTACGTGAGAGGCCGACGCGGCGGTGAAGGGGCGGCGGGCACGCTAGGGGCAGGCGGGTTTGTTAGGGGCGACGGGCACGCTAGGGGCCGGGGGGGGGGGGGGCGGTAGGCTAGGGCTAGAGGCGGGTGCGGGTGGGCGGACCTAACCTACTCATGACACCATGTTAGAATACAAGAATTACTAGAAACATGTGAGAATATGGGAGATATAGGGTTTGAGTTGTACCCTCTGAGAACACACACCTATCTAGCCTATAACTTCTACATACAAATATATGTAGAAGTTGACAGTCCGAGCTGGTTCTGAGGTTCCCGAGCTTGCGAAATTGCAGATTCTAGTCACGAAAGAGCGAAGGGTCTAATTGTGGGGTTTCGGCTGGGGCACGGTTAAAATTTCGGCGTGTCCAAAATTGCCAGAGGGCACATCGACAAATACGACTTCATTTTTTGCATCTAGCCACAATCGTTTGAGTAAACTATTTTTCGTTTATTGCGTCAACCTGGGTATTTTAATCCAAGCTATCTCCTTTTCTAAGGGCGTCTATGGTCTGCCCGAAACAAGCAGTTCAAAGCTCGTCCAACCTATGGAGGGCGGTTGAAGATTAGACGAATTAATCAGCCAATTTGTCTGTGAAGGCTATTTACTTTAAGTTTCCTGTGTGACAACTTGTCCAAATTTAGGTGACGTTCTGCAGGCAACCGTCGAACAAGAAATCGAATTTGGTTCAGTTTTCTCCAAGCTGTAGGTGCTTATCACCGAGCCTCGATAAGGACTCAACCACTTAACAGCCATGACCGCCATGTCAACTCCGAAATCGCCATGGATTCTGACGCGAGTTTCTCCTGGTCAAATGTTGGTCGATTTCCAGTCAGATGCCACATTGGATCAAGGATTCTTTATCGTCTCGTCATTATGCTCATCAGAGTATAGCTTTAAGGCCCATCAGGAGCTGTTTGATGTATTCCGTAATACGCCTAACAGTTTCCAGGTCCAGACATCTAGGGTTATCCAAGAGTCACCAAGGGGTATCTTCGTCAAGAAATCTCATTGGAGTTTATCAGTGCATGGGTTTCGCAGCAATGCGACTGGTCAAGTTCGGATCTGGGAAAAAATCAAGGAGTCAGGCTACACTCATGGCATTAAAGGGTTCACTAATGTGCTTAGTGGTCCCAGGCTCTCTGTCATCAACCGACAATTGGGGATATTTCATCATTGCACAATGGCGCCCAAGGCCAAGGCTGGGAAGTTCGGGACCCGGACGGCTACGCGGTCCTCTAAGACTGAGGATCCGCTGGAGGGGTTGGATCCCCAGCCTTCATCATCACTGTTGGAGGATTTGGAAAAGGATTCCCCGCTCGATTATGATCGTCCGGTGGTTCCTGAGCCATTGGAGTGCACACCAGCCATTGTGGTGTCGGATCAGCCGGTTTCGACGACACCTGTGGTTGGGGACTGCATGGAAGCAAGGGTGGTGCAGGTTGAGGCTTCTGAGGCTTCTTTGGATCCGCCTGTCAGTCCGACTCCGGATCACGCCGTTTCTGCTGAGGAAGTGTCGACTCCGTCCGTCCTTGTTGTGCCTGTGGCTGTGGGGGTGGACACTTACAGGGGTGAAGAGGAGCATGAGAGTGCTTTCACAGACGACTTCGATGAGGATGGAGACTTGGATATGCTTAATGAGATTGCAGCAATGGCTAAGGTTTCTGTGACGTTGCTCGTTCCTTTCAGCCATGTTAAGGAGGTCCCGAGAACCAAGAAGACTATCAGGACCCTCCTGAGGTTGTGGAGGAATGAACTCTTGGCAAGTGTGCATCTCACCACGCTGTTTCCGGTGAACCTGTCGTCTGACCGTTACGACCGTCTTCAGGTGACGTTTGATAAGAATGCGGACTCGGAGTTTGTTTGTACGCAGTAGGAAATCGAGCATGTTTACTTGGATGGGAAGCGGATCATCCTCAGGTGGCAGTACCCGGAGTATAAGGAGTACTTGTGGGAGCGCTCGAGGAATATGGTGGCGATTGAGGTGCCGTTCAACAGCATACCTGCTACTACGACGCCGAAGATGTTCCGGGCAGTGTTGATCAAGGTGAAGTTGCATCAGTGGCAGCAGTCGGCGTACTTGGACGGCTTCGCGTTTCCCAGGGTGGTGGACCCGTTGACTGGCTTCGACACGGACAAAGTGAAGGGCCTGGTGGTGAAGCACCCTGGTGATATGTCGAAAGGGGTTCCGTTGGTGGTCGACCCACTTCGCAACAGCAGGAAGCTGCGCTTTCTTTACTCGGCGCTCGCCTGTGTGTTGTATGGGGGGATGCATGACGAGCAGTATCATGATATCTTTGTGGTTGAGAGACACGTCACTATCAACAAATGGAACATGAATCTGGGGAGGATTCATGAGATCAATAGTAAACGGACGCAGTATGCTGGTTTCATGGCTACTTTTCAACGTACCATCTCTCGAGTGCCTCTTTTCCTTACTGCCTTTTCTCCTTGTGCTGCTGACGTCTGCTCCATTCGTCCCGTCAGCTGCTTCCCTGAAGCTGTTAGGTTTGGTGAAGCGGATCCTCCTCTTCCCAGCGATGGTGTTGGTCTCAACTGGCCCCAGCCGAAACTGGATCTGTGTCCAGGGGTGTTGCAAGAAGGCGTAGGGGAATTCATTTGAGGCGGCTGGTCTTCACATCGAGTCCCAGCGCCATCGCAATGGCCGGTTGATGCCTGGCACGGCGACCCGTGGGAGCAAGGCGTCCATAACGCTTGCGGCCCTAAGGAAGGAGGCGAAGAAGTGACAGGGGTGTGCGTGGTACAGGACAGGGGAGAGGAGGTCAGGGTTAGCTGCACAAGTCGGATGGTGTCTGTGCTGGTCCCTGCTTATGCTGTAAGGTCAAATACTGTAAGTCTTGCCAAGACGATTGCCGCTTTCTTCAGTCAGTGTCAGACCTGTGGATGAACAAGGGCCTTCAGCTGGTGAACGAATGAATACACAAGACAAAATCTGCATCCGTGGGCTCAATGTGAACGAGCTCGGCAGTGGGGGGAAACAGGCGAAGTGTTACGGGTGGATGAGAAGCATAGCAGATATTGTGGTGCTCACTGATACATGGATAGGGGAAGATCACAATTTCTTGACTTAGTCATGACCTTTGGCTGTAACGGCGGTGGATCCTGAAAGGAAGGTAGGGGGCGTCATAGTAGTGAGCTACAAATCAAGAGTTAGATTATCGGAGGTATATAAGCATCCGTTAGGAAGACTTGTACGGGTTAAGGTAGAGTGGGGGGATTTCAAGGTGCGGCTGGTAGCTGTGTACTTTCCAGCACAAGCCTGCAGCAGGGGAAGCTTCTTCAAGGAGGTCTTGAAACCGTCCGTGGATCAGATACCTTCGGGGGAGTATTTGCTGCTCATCGGCGATTTCAATCTGGGGGGGGATCCAGCCCTTGACAGGTCCTCTGGTATGGGTTCTACCGGCGAGAACGACAAGCTGTTGGAGATCTGCAAGGGGTGGGAGATGAGCGATGCTTTTTGCCTGCTTCACCCTTGCAGGAGAGAGTATACTTTCTTCTCAAGGGCTGCGGCCTCCAGCTCGCGCATTGATTGTGCCTTGGTATCGAGGTCCCTGGTGGGGGGGTTACACGAGGCACGGCATGTAGCAGTTCCATACGGGATCTCAGATCACTGGTTTGCGATCAAGCTGAACCTTCTGGCGGGGAATCCGGAGGACAGGGGCGCTGGTCTGTGGAGGCCACACGGCAGTCAGGCAAAGAGGAAGGGGGTGAGAGCTATAGTACAGCAGGTGCTGGAGCAGGACAGGAGAAGTGGGGAAAGTGGTTTTGATACTGTACTGATGAAGCTGTCGGCGGGCCTAAAGGCCTACTCAAAGAAGGAAAGGAAGCGGGTAGCTGCGCCAGAGGCGCATTTGAAGCAGAAGGTAGCCGCGCTGAGGAAGGAGGTTGCGGCAAAGCCGGCGTTTGTGGCAAGACGGACTGAGCTGACGGCAGCGGAATCGGCACTCCAAGCGTATAAAGAGTCGAGCAAGGACAGGTTGCAGAGGATGGCTGGGATTTCGGCGGAGGTGCAAGGAGAGGTGCCGTCTAAGTACCTGTCAGCAAGGGTGAAGAGCAGGAAAGCCAAGACGGTTATTGATAGGGTGGTGCATGAGGAGGAGGAGTTTCAGGTGTCGAAGGAGGTTCTGGAAGCAGCAACAAGCTATTTCGAGGGCGCTTTAGGGAGAGCACCAGTGGAGGCTGAAATGCAAGGTTGGGAGCCGGATCCGGGCATGCGACTGGAGGGAGAGGACGTGGAGAAGTTGGGGTGTGAATGGACGAAAGCGGTAAATCGCCTGGTCAAGATGGGCTGTCAAAGGAGCTGTTCGAGTCCCATTGGGATCTGCTAGTGGGGAACGTAATGGATTTCATTCGTAGCTTTGAAATAACAACGGAACTGTCGCAGCCGACGAAGACGGCGGTCACGGTACCACTGTATAAGAAAGGACAAACACAGTGTTTACCAAATTATAGGCCCATCTCATTGCTGAACACAGTGTATAAGGTGATCGCCAAAGTGCTAGCAAACAGGACCAGACCGGTGATTCACAAGGTAATTTCGGATGAACAGTATGGTTTCATATCTGAGAGGAGGCTGGCGGACGCGGTAGCGACGGTAGCGGATGTGATTGTTGCGGAAAACCGGGGGAAAGAGGACTGGCTGCTGTTACTGGTCGACTTTCAGAAGGCCTATGATTCGGTGCTGAGGGGATACCTATTCCGGAGCATGAGGAGGATGGGTTTCCCGAATCTATATGTACGGTGGGTGGAGGGACTTCATGAAGGTGCAGTGACAAGGATCTGCATGAATGGAAGACTTGGCGAGCTGGTAGGGATGCGGAAAGGGGTACGGCACCCTACCTTTTCTTGTGCGCGGTGGAACCGCTCAGCCAAGAAGTCAGACGCAGGAAACTGGGTATCGGCAAGAGGGGGATAGGGGAGCTGGCATATCTTGGCTATGCAGACGATACAACGTTGCTTCTGAAGGGGAAGGAGCAGCTGGGTACAGCTGAGACGATCCTGAAGGTGTTTGCATTGGTCTCCGCCTTGCGGACGAACTGGGATAAATCGGTGGTCCTCCCGTTGGGCTGCAACGGCGCTGAGGCTCCTCCAACGGTGCAGACGTTCAAGTGGGCCGGGGAGGGGGAACCAGAGAGGCTTTTAGGCATGTGGATAACCTCGAATGGGAGCTTGGAGCCAGCTTGGGAGAGGGCATTGGGCAGGATGAGGGAAGTGTTGTAGAAGTGGGAGGTTACACATCCGACTATGTCGGCGAGAGTAGCGATCCTTAATAACTATGTTTTACTGATTGCGCTGAGTGTACCCGCCGCCGCCGAGCATCTTGAAGATGATAAGGAAGCACGGGCACAACTTCATTTCCGGGGGGCATGCGACGATGGACAGGCGCTTCATCCTCTGGAGCCACTTCTTGATGTGCCTGCCAAAGAGGGAAGGGGGTCTGGGGGTGATAGACCCGAAGAAGAGGGTGGACAGTCTCAGTCTGAGAATGATAGGTGTGCTTCTACAAGAGAAGAACCCGACGCGGAAATGGTTAGCAGAGAGGGCGGCTAATCTGCTGCTTAGGTATGCCACGATGTATGCTCACCCGGCTGTGCTAAAGCGTTGTAAGGAGGGGAATGGGCGGGAGAACGGCGGTTGAGGTCTTCATGAGGTAGAAGGTGGCAGTAGATCTGGAGGTGGGCTCACGGTGGGGAGCGGAGCAGCAACACCTTACGTTTAATACGAGGGTTTTGTTCAGGGGGAACAGCCCCTTCGGAGGCCGGAAGGAGAACACGGATATTGTGGGCTTAACAGTGGGAAGCATGGTGATGAAGTTAGAGGGCGGTGAATGGAGGCTTTAAAAGCAGGTGGGAACTGACGAGGGAATCGGGTGGGGAAAGGAAGGCGGTGGCAGCGGAAAAGGCGTTCCGGAAGATACCAGATGAATGGAAGCGACTAGTTCTGGGGAGGCTAATGGCGAAAGAGGTGGCGGCGGGAAACATTGTAGTAGGTAGGGTGAACCCGGGTGTGTCGGGACCTTCGCTATGGTGCATCACAGGGGTGAGGGAGGGGCGCGAGGAGTGTAAGAGTATCGCTACGGATAACGAAGGGAGGATAACTGCTCTGGAAGCGGGGTGCAAGATGGAGTTGGAGCCGGATCGGGTGGTGCCGATGAACGGTAGGATTATCAAACCGCTAGGGGACCCAAGGACAAGTTTACGAGGCTCTGGGTTGTGCGTAGCGCAGGAACCGGCACCAGTGAAGGTATTGAGGCAAGCGGTGATGGTCAATAACAAGAAGCCAAAGCAACAGGGGGTGTCGGAGGAAAGGTGGAAGAGGAAGGTGGACTCGAAGAGGGTGATTAGGCTGCGGGACTCGAAGGTAACCACATGCAGGTCATGAGAGGTCCTGCTCCGGCTGCACAGTTGTAATCTGCAGGTCGGGAAGCGGTTGGATTTCCTGGGGGATAAAGCATACTGTTCGCACTGTAAGAAGGAGGAGACGAAGCGTCACTGTCTCTACACGTGCCGCAGAAAATAGCCTGTCATTGGCGCGCTGAAGAAGGCGCTACGTATGATGAACCCATCGTGGAAAATTTTGTCCGTGGAGGATCTCCTGTTTCAAGAAGGAGGTACACAGTCAGGTTTCCCAGAGTCCTCCATTGTGGCGATAACGTTGCACCGTCTGTGGCTGGGGAGGTGTGACGCGGCCTTCCGGAACGAAGGGTTTCAGGTCAGAAAGATGTTGAGACAAGTGGCGATGACTTTCCATATGCAATTGAGGGTCTACAGCGGCATTAGGTTGCGGATGCGAAGAGACAAGGAATACAAGAGGATGGAGGGGAGGTGGCGGCACATGGCAGATGACGAGACGAAGATAATGAGCAGGATTTGCGAAGGGAGATCGAAGTTGCTGAGGTGGAGCGGGGGTTTCCAGTCCATCTTGACGGACCCCAACACCATCCATCAACCACCGCAAAAGCAGATTAGTGTACCATTTGTAACGGGGCCCTCCTGTCTCGGTTACGATCGAGGATTTCTAGCATTGTAACTCTTCTTATAACGTATGATTATTATTAAAAAAAAAAATTTCAACCACTTATCAGCGAAGCTTCTAAACCATGAATAGCTTGTCTCGGGTGGCTGCAGAACAGGGCCCCAATTGTCTTAAAGCTAGGATCTAGGTAGGAGGAGGAGCCATGGAAATGGCGTGAGGTTTTAGGGTAGGAAAGTTGGTGAGAGAAAAGAGAACTAGAAAAGAAGAGAGGGATACAAGGAGGGGTGTTGTACCCTCTACAGTAATGTTCAGTAACGACTACCAAGCCTACAATTATATACTAATATATATAATTTAACACACCCCCTAGGCTTGGTAGCAAGGACCCACACACCCCCACCCCCCCTAACCTAGCACCCCCATTCCCATCAGCCACGGCAACTCCAGCAGGGCCAACCCCAAGGCCCTGGAGATGGCGACGTCGGCCGTCCCGGCAGCGGCGACAGCGACGGCGACGACGGGCGTGCGGTGGCAACAGGCCTGCGGCGACGACAGTGGCGACGTCGACAGCTTCGGCTTACGACGGCGGTAACGGCAGCGGCCCCCGCCCTTCCGACACATGTCCAAACTCCGCGACAGGGGGACGACGGGCGAGAGTCAGGCGGCGGCTGTGGCGAAGAGGGGGGGACAGAGGAAAGGGGGAAGGGGCGGGGCTTCGGATCTTCAGCACGGCGCCATTGCTGGCGCGGCGCCTACTGGCGGGCGGGCGGGCTGCAATTCCAGCAGCGACGCAGCTGGTGCGCGACGGCAACAGGCCGACGACACAGCCACGGCACCACGACGACGCCACCACAGCGTGGCGTCGGAGCCGCGGCTGCTCGTCAACGCCGGGACGTCAGCACGCAAAGGCCGCCACGGCATCTTGGAAAAGGTGCCATGGCGGCAGGCAGTAGGAAGGCCGCGACGGCGGCGAAGTAAGGACGGGTACGCGACGGAAGCGTGGCCCGTGCGGCGCGACGGGGCCAGCGCGGCATGATGGCACACCAATGTCCAAGGTGCACGAAGGACTGGCAGGGGGCTCCGAAAGTTGCCAGCCCCTTGCAGTTCCCAAGACTTTCAGCCCTGAGCTATGACAACCATATCAATACTATCGCGGAGAATGAAGTTCATGCCATGTACAGTGATACCGATCAACGTGTACCATAACGTTTTGGTGGAACTGTCACATTTCACATGTACATGTATTGCCCTGCTTTCACTGCATTTGCGGCCCCTCTGCTCTCTTCCTCTTCTTCCTTCTCCCGCTCCTTGCGCCTCTCATAAGCATGGTCGTCTGTTGGCATCTCGTAACGACACAGAGGACACGAGTTGTGCTCATCCTGTAGGAGACACAGAGGACGAGCAAAAAAGAGGAGCAAGAAAATGCATCACTAACTGACAGTTGCAGGAAGAAAAGTGACCGAGGGAACAAAATACAACTTGAAGTGCATCGAAGGGCAGTGCACACGACTCTACGATATGAAGCAGCCTCAAGCCTTCAGACATACCAGCCATGGTTGCAGGCAGTCCACGTGAAACCGATGGCTGCACGGCATTTCCCTCAGCTTGTCACCAACCTCCCACTTCTCCCTGCACACACTGCACTCGTCCACACTCCCATCCCCACTACCCTCCCCACTCCCCTCCCCACCCCCCTGCCCTACCTCCACATCCCCCTCCCCACTTGACCCTTTCCCCTCCAAACCAGAGCCATTCCCAGTGTTGCTCCCCTTGCCACTACTGCTGCTCCCACCACTGACATCACTCCCCTCCGCCCCTCTCCCGCTCACACCACCCCCATCCAAGGGCACCACCCCTGACTGTGTGTACACGAGCACTGGCAGCTGCTTCACCGCTCGCTTGGAGGCAGGCGGGGCGGAGGGCGGCTGCGACGCCTGCATGCTCGCTTCTAACGCCTCTGCCAGGCCGGGAGTTAGCAGGTCATCCGCTCCCCCCCTTGCAATCACATCCCGTAGAAGGTCCTCCAGAGCCGTGGCTGTCTGTGCTTCCATCCCCCCTGAAAGTAGCCCTGCTGCAGGAGTGGCTGGAGGGGGGTCTGCTTCTTCTTGCTGGGGATTGCTGTCAGGAGCTAAGGCGTCCAAGTCCCTGTGGACGCACAGGCAGGCACCAGGCACGGCACAGGTGAGGGAGCTTGTGTGCACTACGGTACCTTGAGTCAGGGGGGCTTGAATTCGGAGCCAAGCAAAGCAGCTGAAGTGCAAGAGCCTTGTGAACGACCTTTCAAAACGAGCTTCGGCACACGCGCAGCGCTCGCGTCATCAACTCTGAGTTGTGAGCCACAGTGCACACTGGAAAGGGACAAAGGGAAAGACACCACAACGGATTTCCACATCGACTCACCTCTGCTGCTGCGCTGCTACGAGGGTGTTCAGCAGCGTCTGAGCCACGAGCCAGTCAGGCCGTGGCGGCTCCGCTGCTGCAGTCAGCTGACCCTCGAACTGGAAGGAAGGAGAAGCAGCGCTGAGAACACCTCCCCCACCTTCTCTCACGTCACTAGGCCTCTCCGTTCCCTGCTCCCCTACCCCTCCTCCTCTTCCCCCACCTACTCTCCTCCCTCCATCGTCTCCCCGCTCCCCATCTTCTTCCCCCCCTTCCCCCCCTTCCTCCCCTTCCCCCAGAAACTCCTGCGCGGACTTGATGTGTTGCTGGATGCGGTTGCGCTCCGCGACCTCCCCCACCACAGTCCGGGCCGTGCGGAAGAGGATAAGCCCCGCCGCCCAGAAGCCGCGTGTGGTGTAGCGGGTCTTGAGGAGGGTGGCTGCGCGATGGACGGCTGAGACCATCTGCAGGGATAACAGCGAATTCGTCGGGTAGGAAAAGCGCAGAGACCGCGTGAATCATCTCGCGTGAATGATTATCGTGAAGTGTCTGAAACCTGGCCTACCACGTGCAATTCTCTACCTATTCGTCATTTCGTAAATCAGGCAACGGCGATCTCACCTGCTGCTGCTCGCCGGGAGGGGATGAGGGGAACTGCGAGGCCAAGAGGGCTGTCAGGTCCTTCACCGCTTTCTCAAACGAGCTCTTTTTCGCCATGAGCTTCTCTAGCTCCTTCGCAGTAGTCACATCCGAGCCAGGAGACGTCAGCGAGCTGCTTTGGCTGCCACTCGCCACGCACGCTGACGCCATGTCCAACGAAGATGTGAAGCTTTCTCAGTCCAGGAGCCTTCGAAGTCGCAGCTGTCTAGGATCGATTCGCGATGGAGATAGGGAAATGAACGGAGTTTCAAGTAGTAGTCTTCTGATAGCTTCAAACTCGCCAGTGGGCTTGAGTGATAGAGAGGGGTCGGGTGAGTTGGGGTGAGGTGGGGTGGTTTTGGAGGTCCAGTGTGGTGATGTCAGCGATGGCTGGTGCTGCGAAAATTCCCGAATCTCGAAGCTTCTGCGATGGGTGTCAGGCCACCATCGCTTGGTACACTAAATGGATATCAACTAGTGCTACTCAAAATTATTAATAGGAACATGTTTGGTAAGAATCTCATTTGCACCCTTGTTGGTTCCTCAATTCATATGTGAATTGCGCGATGGATTTTCACATAATGTATTGGCTCTAAAAACTTGCATCTGGGGTTTGGCCACGATGAATTCCAAATAAATCATATGAAAAGACGAAGGAGAGCATTATGATAAGGAGATACAACCGATTTCCATAACGTCATACAAACGAGGCAAGGGAGCAAAATTCAAAGGGTGTTGTCTACACACCGTCAGTGTTCCTAAAAGCGGACAGCCTAAGCCCTGGTGTAGCTCTTCCAACCGATGCTTACATGAGAGGGGTGCGTGGGGGCGCTGCTCCTGCCCGTGTCTGCAGTTTTTGCTTGAACCCAAACAGTTAATGACAGCCGCCAATGAGAGAGCACGAAGCAACAGATCGCGGCATCTGCTCGCTGTAAAAAAAGCATCGACGCTGCATCCTGATGGCTGAAGGACCCACCTCCGCCACTAATTTCCCTGCTTCCTACTTCCCCATCTTTTTGTTGTGCTAGTAGAGCCTCCACTTGGGGGCCGTTCGTCCTCACATTGCGGAGTGGAGCTGGAAGAGGCGTGTGCGACAATTTTCCACTGGATTCGAAGTTTATCGGTAGGTCGAACTTTTTTTTCGTGCCCGCGTGGACCGCGAATTATGACAGTCAAGATTCATTATTGCCACGGTCAAGATAGCTGGCTTGAATATTACAAGTTTGCCGAAAGAAACCTCGCAACTTCTTGGAAAAAGAACGGCTAAAAAGAGGTTTGGTCGGTCGATTTTTGTTTCCAACACTTCTGCAATGCTAAATTAGTGCTTGCTGGCTGTCGCGCCAAATTTAGCGGATGGCTGTGTGTGAGGTTGGTGCGCGAAGTGTTTCAGTGGTTGATTTTTTTTTTAATTATTTTTTTTTTTTGGGCGTTGCTTGGTCCTGCCCAGCTTGGCGATGTGAGAGTGGCGAGGGAGTGGGCTGAAGGGCCTAAACCACTCGTTTGTGGTTTGGCGAGAGGGAGGGGAGTGGCTTGCAATTTGCCAGGCAGCCCTGGGCGGCAAGCTGACGCGCTTAGACTTCGGCATTTGAAGTGGCGTGCGATTCGGGGGACTGAGGTTTGGATATTCTCGACCTTAGTGACCTTGTCGCATGCTGACGTCAGATATCGCACCCCTTAGTTTCGAGAGAGGCTCGGCTGTCGGATGAAGACTCCACGGAGCTTCAGCATGCCGATTTTGGCTGAAACTCCATTGAAAATGTAGCAGGCGAACGGCTCCTCGATCGTTGGATATTGACCTTTGTCTATTGGGCTTGCTTCTAGAATCAGAGTACATCGTAGTGGGGAGTGTCAGTGGGAACAGCGCGTGTGCAGTGCAGCCTGGAGCAGCTGAGTGATGTTTGATTGCAGCGCACACAGTACCCTCGCAAGCGATCCACTCCGCCAGCCTCGTTTGTGACCTCGTGCAGGGGAGGCATCATGTACGAACCGAGAGGAGTTCCCGCTGCTGCAAGCGACACCCTTCACTGCTCGTCCTCGTCGCCTCCAGCCGGAATGACCTGGCGTTTCGAGGCCACCAAGGGCATAACCTAGGGAGCGACGAGAGGAATTCGAGAGCGAGAGTGACGTTCTTGAGAGAAGTGTACTGTAGCGCAGAGATGTTTGTCGCGACGACTTCCCCATTGAACACAGGGCCCGTACCAGAGGACTCTCGAATACAGTGACGCAGTAGTCGACGCTCTTGCTTGCACGTCCGTCCGCGCGTTGGCTCGTTCACCTCCCCTCTCCCTCCCAGTGGTTGCTCGCACTGCTTGCCGCACGTTGCTCAGTCCAGCCTCGACTGGACTGCTCCCCTCCTAACTGCAAAGTCGGTGGCGCACCATTGTCCCGCTCATCGACGTCCTCGCTGCATACCTCGTCCTTTCCCTTCGGTTCCTACTAGCGCAGGTGTAGATTACGGCCATGTCAGCACACCAAGCCAAGGAGCTAGCGGGTTCGTTTGCTAGTACTGCTGCCATTAGAGGCTTGCGTGATACGTCCACTGCGAGTGGTGGTGAGCGCGGCTGCCAACGCGCATCTCGTAGTTCGTCCTTATTAGTTGCCGCGTTGTCTGTCTCACTGGAACGTGGTGAATGCCGCTCGGAAGGCAACAAGTGTCATTCCCAAGGCGACGAGTGTCGCTGTCAGACTCAGTCGGAGATCGCAGCCACGTCAGACAGTCTGAGATTGCGTCACCCAATCAGCAGCACACCTGACTTAATCAGCAGCACCCCTTGCGTTGATAGCAAAAGTTCTAAGAGCAGTTTATGCGTCCCCGCCGGCAGCGGCTGCTGCGGCGCCGAGTGCGGTACTAAGTCAGGCTGTTGTCACTCCAAAGAATCAACGCGGCAGTTCTGTACAGATTTTGAGGGTCCTGATTTTACGGGTCCTGATTTTGCGGGTCCTGATTTAGTGGATCCAATCATCGTCGACGCGCCGAATAATCCATCCGATCTGGTTCTCTCAACGAGAACTGTCCGTCCCGAGGCGCACCTCTCCGCATCCCTTCTTCCAAAGGGCTGTCGCAAACAGTGTGGCAAAGACCGCCGTTTCCCGTGGAACCCTTGTCACCCGGACGCCGCCATTCTTGCGGCGGCTTCTGCTCCCCTCCTCCCGGAGCACCTGTCTCTGCGACACGCCCACCCGGCGTCGATCGCTCACCCCGCGTCGATCGCTTCCGTCCACTGTGTCGCACTCGACTGCTCTGCCGCCATCGCCGCTGCGCCTGATACCCCCAGAAACGGCGCCAACTCCGCCGCTGCTCCAGCCGCCGGGGCGGTGAACGGGGCGAGCGCGGCGGCTGCCGCGGCGGCGATCGGCGCGGAACCGGATTCGGCGGTTTGTATTGCGGAACCCCCTCCGCCGTCCCCAGGGGATCGTGGCGCAGAGGTTGTGGGGGCTTCGCTTCCGCCGGCGCAAGGTCGTTGCGCAGCTCCCGTCGCGGATTCCCCCCAGTCCGGCGGTTCTGGCGCAGACTCCGAATCCGCGCGTGTGCTAGCGGAACCTGCCGTTGCTGCGGAGCCTACAGCGGTCGCAGACTCCGCGGGTGTTGTTGCGGAACCGGCAAGTTTGATTGCGGAGCCTGCAGTGTCCGCAGATTCCGCTGCTGTGCTTGCGCAACCTGCAGCGGTCGCGGACTCCGCGGGTGTAATCGCGGAACCCGCCCCGCGGAAGGACGCGCCGGGCATGCAGTTCCAGGTCGTGCCGCAGCGCGTGCCCATGGCGGCGGCGGAGGCGGTGGACCGGATGACGCGCGCGGAGCTGGTGGCGGAACTGCGGAGCCTGCAGGCGGACCACGAGAAGTACCGCCAGGAAGGTGTGTCCTAGTAACGATTGGGGATGGGTAGGTAGATTGTACCGCCAGGGAGGTGTGTCGTAGTTGCAGCGGGAAGGTGGGAGATAGCGGCAGGAAGGTATGGAGTAGTAAGTAATGGGGATGGGTAGGTGGGTTCTACTAACTACCTTGATGGATAGGCAAATTGTAACAGCCTGGGTCGGATAGGTAGGTTCTGACTGCCTGTGATCTGCTGGCGCCCCTTGCTCTTCTCACATGTCATCATTCCTCCCCCTCCCGCCTGCCCCGCTCCTCCTCCCAGTGGCCTTCCAGAAGGATCTACTGGTCCCCTTGTCTCTCCTCCCACCATTCCTCGCATGTCACCATTCCTCGCATGTCACCATTCCTCGCATGTCACCACTCCTCCCCCTCCCTCCCGCCCGCCCCGCTCCTCCTCCAGTGGCCTTCCAGAAGGATCTGCTGGCATCGGTGGGACAGGCGGTCATCTGCACGGACCTCGCGGGCACCATCACGCACTGGTGAGGGGGTAGGAGGGGCTATGGGCGCCTTCACGCACTGGTGAGAGGGTAGGAGGGGCTATGGGCGCCATCACGCACTGGCGAGGGGGCAGAAACCAAAACACACGGGTGCGACAGGAGGGACGAGGGGATAGGAGAGCCGTTCGCGAATGACTAACTACAGTAGTTCGGCTTTAAGAACTACACAGGTGCATGGCAGATCAGGCAGATCCATGTTGTAGCAGGCGGAGCCTCAGAGGCAGTAGCCATTGCCACGGCCCCTGCCCTCCTTCTCTCCCCCTCCCCCCTCCATGGACCCCCCTCGTCCCCGTCCGGCCTCCTCCATGCAGGAACAAGGCAGCAGAGGCGTTGTACGGGTGGAACGAGGAGGAGGCGCTAGGGCGGAGTGTGATAGAGATAACGCCGGCGGACACCACCGTGCAGCAGGCGGGGGAGATCTTTGCCGCCCTCACTCGGGGGGACGTGTGGCGCGGCGAGTTCCTTGTGCGCCGCAGAGACGGCTCGCCCTTCCACGCCATGGTGCGTAGCTTTTGGGGAGGAAGGAAATGAAGGGTGTCACAAGGGGGGCAAAAGGGGGCCAAAAGGGGGGCTAAAGGGGGCCAAAAGGGGGGCAAAAGGGGGCTAAAAGGGGGGCAGAAGGGGGCGGGGGGAAGGAAGCTTTGGGGAAGGTCAGGGGAGCGGGGGAGAGGGGCAGCAGGCAAAGGAGCTATTCCCCGCTTTCACTTGGGGGGACGTGTGGCGCGGGAGTTGCTCGTGTGGCGCAGGGATGGCTCGCCCTTCCACGCCATGGTGCGTAGCTTGGGGGGAGGGTAAGGGGAGCTAGGGGAAAGTTCAAAGGGAGGGAGGGCGTGCAGGTGCGGGTGAGGGCAAGCAGGTGTGACCTCTCTGTCCCTCCGTTCCTTCCCTCTGGGTGCACGCGTGCGTGACACACACCCCCATCCTGGACCCACAATGCAAGCTGGTGGGCCAGCAGACACCAGTACTTGAAGCTTTCACTCAGGCGGTCTCAAGACTGTAGAACGTGTCTCTATGTTCGTGCAGGTGACTGTCACCCCCATCCTGGACCCAGAGGGCAAGCTAGTGGGGGTGATCGGTGTGTCAGCAGCAGACACCAGCGAGCTGTAGAAATTCGTGGCTCGCCCCGTCCCCCTGCCACTGTACTCCATGCTTTCCATCTTTCTCTCTCCTCTCTCTGCATGCTGCAGGTGACAGACACCCCTATTCTGGACCCAGAGGGCAAGCTGGTGGGGGTGATTGGGGTCTTGGCTGACATCAGCGACCTGAAGCGCAAGGAGGGCGAGATCCGCGCGCTCAACTCGGCGCTGGAGCAGCGCAGCGTGTGGCGGAGGGACCTGAAGCGCTTCTAACAACTCCTCTCCTCACTGCCTCTCCTTTCTCCCTTCGGCTTCCTATCTTCCTTCGGTGTGTGTCTGAGCGTGCGTGTGCTTTCATGCAGGTGACCGACACCCCAATCTTAGACCCAGAGGGCAAGCTGGTGGGGGTGATCGGGGTCTCAGCGGACATCAGCGACCTGAAGCGCAAGGAGGGCGAGATCCGCGCACTCAACTCCGCCCTGGAGCAGCGCGTGGCGGAGCGCACGGAGCAGCTGCAGCGCAGCAACGAGGCGCTCAAGCGCGAGATCGAGCAGCACCTGAGCGCGCAGCAGCACCTGCGGCACTGCATCAAGGACCTGGAGGCCTCGAGAGATAAGATCTCGGAGCAGTCGGCGGCGCTGGAGCGGCTGGTGCAGCAGCTGCGGGAGGCCCGGGTCGAGGCGGAGTCGGCTAACCGGCTCAAGAGCCGGTTCTTGGCATCCATGAGCCATGAGATCCGCACTCCCATGAACGGCGTCCTGGGTGAGTTGGTGGATTGCCGATGGCGTGTGTAATTAGAGTGCAGTCCACTTGCTCTGTACTACACTTGCTCCCTCCTCACCTCCCTCTCTTCTTCGCACCTCTCTCTTTTCCCTCCTCTCCTCCCGCCCCCTTTCCCCCCCGGCCCACCAGGCATGACTCGTCTCCTCCTCTCCACGCCGCTGCAGGAGGAGCAGCAGCAGTTCGTGGACACGATTCGGAGCAGCACCTGTTGAGGCACCTGTCAAAGCCTCCGCCACTCTCTCCCCACCCCTTTTCCCTGTCCCGCCAGGCATGACCCGCCTCCTCCTCTCCACGCCCCTGCAGGAGGAGCAGCGGCAGTTTGTGGACACGATTCGGAGCAGCGGGGACGCGCTGCTGACCATCCTCAACGACATCCTGGACCTCAGCAAGATCGAGGCGGGCGAGCTCGAGCTCGAGCACAGGGACTTCGACCTCTGCCGCTGCCTTGAGGACGCCGTCTCGCTGCTTGCGGTACATGCCAGTGCCCCTTGCATGCCCCTTGCATGCCACCTGTGTACCAAGTATATGCCTCCTGCGTGCCAGTTATATGCCTCTTGTGTGCCGCCTGCATGCCTCTTGCATGCCTCTCCCATGCCTCTTCCATGCATCTTCCATGCGTCGTTCTCCTCGTGTTCTCATCTTGTTCTAAGTCAATGATGCGTGTTCTTAGCCACACCCCTGCTCCTTTCCCTTTCCTATCATCCCCTATTTCTCTGGCTTATTCAGATCCGAGCGCTGGAGAATGGCGTGGCGGTGGTAAGCTTCCCTCTTTTATGCTCTCCTCTTCCCTCCCCTCCGCTTCTCCTATCATCCCTCCTCCCCTGTCCCTCTTCCCGGGCACATTCAGGTCCGAGCCATGGAGAAGGGCGTGGCAGTGGTGAGCTTTGTGGAGCCTAGTGTGCCGAGGGTAGTCAGAAGCGACTCTGCGAGACTAAGACAGGTGAAGGGGGGAGCGCACTAGACCTTTACTGACATCATATCAGTTTCATATTCAGTGCCATCGTCTTTATGATCAGTGCTGTCGATCTCATGTTCGGTGCCATGGCATCGATATCACGTTCAATGCCATCAATATCACGTTCAATTACATCAATCTCACGTTCAATGCCATCAATCTCACGTTCAACGCCATCAATATCACGTTCAACGCCATCAATATCACGTTCAATGCCATCAATATCACGTTCAACGCCATCAATATCACGTTCAACGCCATCAATATCACGTTCAATGCCATCAAGATCACGTTCAATGCCATCTATATCACGTTCAATGGCATCAATATCACGTTCAATGGCATCAATATCACGTTCAATGGCATCAATATCACGTTCAATGGCATCAATATCACGTTCAATGGCATCAATATCACGTTCAATGGCATCAATATCACGTTCAATGGCATCAATATCACGTTCAATGGCATCAATATCACGTTCAATGGCATCAATATCACGTTCAATGCCATCAATATCACGTTCAATGCCATCAATATCACGTTCAATGGCATCAATATCAAGTTCAATGCCATCAATATCACGTTCAATGCCATCAATATCACGTTCAATGCCATCAATATCACGTTCAATGGCATCAATCTCATGTTCAGTGCCATCAACCATGTTCAGTGCCGTCCGTGGCATAAATTTCATGTTCAGTGGCATCAATATCATGTTCAGTGCCATCAATTTCATGTTCAGTGGCATCAATGCGATGTCCAGTGCCATCAGTTTCATGCTCTGCCACCAAATTTATGCTCACTGCCGTCAATCTCATGTTCAGGAGCATCAATTCCATGTTCAGTGCCGTCAGTTTCATGTTCAATGCCACGCACCCATCCGTCCCCCTCCCCCTTCCCTCGTCCACCCTGGTCCTCGCGTTCAGATTCTGGTCAACCTGATTTCGAACGCCATAAAGTTCACGGAGAAAGGCGAGGTGGAGGTCACCATCTCGGCCACCAGGCTGCCGGGGAACTCCGAGCAGCACATGCCAGAGGTGCTGAAAGAAGAGGCAGCAGCGCCGCAGCAAACGGAGGGGATCAGAGGAGGAATCAGCGAGCAAGTGCAGGAGGGGGCAACGGACGAGGAAGGGAGCAGCAGGGGCGGGGGAATGAGTCACGCAGCTTGCCCATCAGGGGGCTCCGCAGCGTGGGGCAAGGCAGTGGGCGGCAGGAGGAGGTGGCGGGGGGAGGAGACCCAGGGCATGGAGGGGCACGCGGTGCACTGCATTGCAGTGAGTGTGGAGGACTCGGGTATCGGCATCCCCAAGGAGCGAATGGAGCGGCTGTTCAAGCCGTTCAGCCAGGTCAGTCTGGTGAACGGACTCTGGCCACCTGAATCTCATCTCACTCAAATTCTTAGGTGCCCCAAATATCGGCATCCCCACGGAGCGAATGAAGCGGCTATTGAAGGCGTTTAGCCAGGTCAGTCTGGTTGGCGGGCTCTCTGGCGCACTAGACTTTGAAGGCAACACGGCTCTTCATGTCAAATTCATCTGACTCCCACCTGGATTTATCTCACTCCCACCTGATTTTATCTCACTCCCACCTGATTTTGTCTCACTCCCACCTGAATTTGTCTCACTCCCACCTGAATTTGTCTCACTCCCACCTGAATTTGTCTCACTCCCACCTGTTCCTCCCTTTCCTCTCACCTGAATCCGTCCCCTCTCCCTGCCAGGTGGATTCAAGCATGACATTTTAAAACGTGAATGTCATCCGGCGCTCACATAAATCTCTCATTTCCTCTCCCTGCCAGGTGGATGCGAACATGACACACAAGTACGGCAGCACTTCTGACGAGCACGGCGAGAATGCTCTTGCTCAACTCAACCAGTACCTCCTCTCATGCTTGCCTGAATCTCCCCTCTCCCCGCCAGGTGGATGCGAGCATGACGCGCAAGTATGGCGGCACGGGGCTTGGTCTGGCCATATCGCACCAGCTGGTGAGCATGCTGGGCGGGCGCATATGGGCCGAGAGCGATGGGCCGGGCCACGGCTCCACCTTCAGATTCTACATCACTGCTCCCGCGCTCCCCTTCGACCTTGAGGCGCCTCTTGAGTCGCACCAAAGGTCACCTGCTCCCGCACTCCCCTTCGACCTTGAGGCGCCTATGGACTTGCACCGGAAGTCATCTGCTCCTGGTGCCGTCCATGCTGCTGCCACTTCTTCCAGAGTCCCTGTCCCTGCTCCCACTCCTCCGTTGGTCTCCTCCGTGGCTCCAAGCGCCATTGCCATTGCCCAGCCTACAGCTATAGTTCCTCCGCCTTCTGAACCGAACGGGCTGCCTCAATTGTCCATGCAGCAACAGTGTATTCGCGTCGCCGCTCCCTGTGCTGCTCCTTCGTCTCCTGCTTCGCCTGCCGCTGCTGCTTCTGCTGCTGCTGCTGCTGCTGCTGCTGCTGCTGCTGCTGCTGCTGCTGAACCTTTAAGGAAGCGCAAGAGGGCAGAGGAGCCACATACAGCTACCCCTTGCCTTGAGATACCTCAGAAGGAAATACAGTGCTGTGGTGCAGTGGCAGGAGGTGCGACAGAAACGATAGGGGCAAAAAGGGTCAGAAACCCAGCAGCAGCAGCAGCATGCACCATTGGTCCGAGCCGGAACAAGAAACAGGCAAGCGATCACTGTGGCTGCGATGCCTCCTGCCAGTGCTGCTGCTGGAAGGATGGGATGGCAAGTGAAGAAAGGGACAAGCACAGAAGCACAGAGAATGCGAGCGTGAGGGTAGCAGATACAGGCAACAATGGGGATTTCAAAGGCTGTGGCGAAAATGATGGTTTTCGTAATGGCAATGGTAGCAGCAGCGGCTGCTGTGTTGGAGGGGAGGGGTGCGCCGCAAAAGCGGACGGGATGGAGAGTAGGGAAGGAGAAGAAGGAGACGAGAGAGGAGAAGCAGAGGAAGCGGAGGGGTATGATCGAGGGGAGGAGGCTGTATTTATGAGGGGAAGGGAGAACGACCGGTGGGGGGAGGGAGTGAGTGAGGGAGTGAGTGAGGTGGAAGCAGCAGTGGGTGGTTGGGAGAGAGCGAGGAGGAGAGCAGAGGGGAAGAGCGCACTGGTAGTGCTGCCCCATGCTAGCACCCGGCGAATGGTGTGCCGACACCTGGCGTCCCTTGGGCTGAGGGTGGTTGGGGTGGATCGGGTGATGGGAGAGGAGGTTGGGGTGCCGCTGGGAGGAGGGGGGCATGGTGGGCATGGTGGGCATGGTGGGAGTGGTGGGAATGACGGGAGTGGTGGGAATGATGGGCATGAGGAGAGGAAAGAGTTTGTGCTGTCACTGCGGCCACCATTGCTACCTGGGTCTGGTGAGATGGTGTCCCCATCATGCAGCAGCAGCCCATCAGGCACCGTGATGGCCACACGGCTGCTGTCTGACATTGTGAACCAACCACCATTGCCAGCAGCACCACCACACACGCCAGCAGCCATGGCAGCACCAGCAGCCACGGCACATGAGTTTGACTTGTTTATTGTAGACGCCAGCCTGCAATGGGCTCCCACTGCAACCGTTGCATCAGCCGCGGCAGGTACAGGTGCAGCACAAGTAGTAGAGGTAGCAGCGCCAACAGCAGCAGCAAACACAGCAGCAGAAAACACAGCTGCAGAAGCAGTTGCGGGGACAGCAGGAGCAGCAGCAACAGCACAGGTCGCAGAACACACCGGAACATCACCAGACAGGCCAACAGTAGAGCCTGCTTCAGAGCAGCCTACCCCAGTACAGCCTTCACTGCTGTCACTAACGTCAGCCGCACAGGCTTTTAATAGTGCTGCCAGCCCAGCAAAGGTCATTCTCCTCGTACCATACGGCAGCAAACATGAATACCCTCCAATCTCAGGCTGCCAAGTGGCTGTTCTCACCTACCCTATCCGCCAAACAGCCCTCAACCGACTTATCTGTGGGCTTCTCTGCCCTCCCCCTCTCGTCTCGCTCAATCCCTCCCAACAGTCTCACTCCCCTTGCCGCCACGCCTCCAGATGGTTGGCAATTGAAGTCAGTACGAACAGCTTAGAGTGTAGAAGCAACAATTCTGGTAACCAATTTCTGTGTGGTAACCACGCCCAGTGTGGTAACCACACCCACTGTGGTAACCAGGGCAGTGGAGATGGCAGCATGGCCTGCTGCTGCACCAGTCTCGGGGATCTGCTGCCGAGCCTCCCTGCTGCTGGCTGTTCCAAATGCGTGGCTCGTTCCGAGCCTCGTGCCGGAGCTGTGTTGGCAGGCTGTGCTGCAACCAGAGCAGATGCAACAGGAGCAACAAGGAGCAGAGCAGGAGGGAGCACACCAGAAGCAGGCATGGGTGCAGAAACACGCACAGGAGCAGCAGCTGAAACAGGAGCAGGAGTAGCAGCAGGGGCAGCTGTGTCAACATGCATACCTGATCTAGCACTGCCATCCCCGGTAGTAGCAGTTCCAGCAACAGCACAAGCTGCATTGGCACGAGGAGGGGCAGCAGGAGCATGCAGTGGAGGGACGAGAGGGCGGGGAAGAGGGGCAGCGAGGGCAGGAGTGGATGCAGCGGGGTTCCAATCTGGCCTGGCTGACCGGCACCCACTCAAGATTCTCCTCGCGTAGGTCCTTCGTCTCTGAACCCACCTCCACCCCTTTCTTTCCCCCACCCCCTTATTTCCGTCTGGCGCTCCCTCGCCTCCATGAAAATGCTTTCAAGAAAATTGTGTCACAACCTCCGTGCTCCCACTCTGTTGCGTCACAACCTCCTTGCCAGGTGGGGCCCCTTGTATGACCCCCTCTATGATCGCAAGGACAACCCGGTGAATCAAAATGTGGACTGGAAGATGCTGATTCTCATACTGATGCCCCCTCCTTTGCCTGGCCCGTTGTATGAACCCCTCTATTTTCCCATGCGTATGTGCCTATCACTCTATAGCGAGGACAACCTGGTGAATCAGAAGGTGGCGTGCAAGATGCTGGGGCGCATGGGGTACTCGTGCCACGTGGCAGTCAACGGGGCAGAGGTGCTGCAGGCTCTGCAAAAGGAGTCCTTTGACCTCATCTTTATGGACGTTCAGGTACAGTATTCCTCCTTCCCCATCACCTATTTCCCTCTCCTTTTCATCGTCGTTTTTGCGCTTCCTACTCAGGAAGATATGGTTCCTGCGATCCTGTTTGTGTGCCTTCTCCCCGTTCCTCTTTCCTTGTCCAGATGCCGGTGATGGATGGCATTGAGGCAACGCAACGCATAACTCAGATGTGGCCCGCGAATAAGAGGCCTAAGATATTTGCCATGACAGCCAATGTGCTCGAGACAGACCGTACCATGTGTCTCCAGGCTGGCATGGATGGATTTATTTCTAAACCGGTGAGCGTGCATGAGCTAGTGCGAGCTGTCGAGTTCTCGAGCACTTCCAAGTTTTTATAGAAGCTATATTGAGGTAAAATGCTGGTGTTGTTATGTACATACATCTACTGTGGAATAGTGTGCTGATCGTCTCTGCATAATATTTTGTGGGAGTATGTAATGGTTGGTCAACAGTCCTCACGGGCATTTGCCTGTCAATAGGGTTGTTTGTGTGGTCTGACTGGGACGGACAGTGGCGTGGCTGGGACGCGGTTTTGTGCTGCAAACATGTGAACAGTGTAATGGGCAGCTTCCCCGTCGTGCAAGTGACGCAGGATCAGGGCTTGTCCTTCACATACATATCTAGCTCAGAAACCCACCCAACCGTTATCCATCGTTGTTTGAACCTTCTGAATCAGAGTGAATCTCATTCAACCGCAAAAAAACGTACTCCCGGGACGCGCCCAGGTTCGTAGACCACTCGCTACGCTACGGCCCAAAGTGGGAATGCGTGGTTAAGTAAGGTGAAGACAGAATCCGTGATCTGCCCGGCAAATGTGGACATTAATACACCTAGCCAACGGTATTTTCTCACCCAGTATTTTCGCGGGGGTTGCCGCTGAGAGGATATTTACCCCCCGAAAGCAGCTCCTGAAGACCAGATCCAGATACCCTTGACAAACAATTTGAGCTTGGGAAACCCGACGTCAGCTTAGGCAGTGCTCGCGTGGATCAAAGCTTAGGCCATAGGGACAAGGGGGTACTGAATACGCATTGTTATGCCGCCCAGTTTGAGGGTGTACAATTACCGCTGAATAGGTGTATTTCATAATGCTGCCCAGCCTATCAAAGAGTGACTCGACTCCACTTGTGGGATGGCATCATGGCTCCAATTTTCTTCCGCGAATAGAGGTTGTGTGTGAAGGCCAGAAATTCCTCAGAGTGACAGGGAAGTGAAAAATCTTTACACGTGTATAGCGAGCCAGGCGATTTGCCAGGCTGTTGCTGCCGTGTGAGGCATGCTTGACAAAAGGAATGGACTTCCAGGATGGCGCAGTTGGGATGAACAGCACTTGTTTTGGGATCTGCCCACCAAATCATTGGCGACGACGGCCAGCGCAGCAGTCGCACGGCTCCAAGCTGAGGATGACTGCTACACCTGTTTTGACTTTGGGGAAACCAAATCCACGCGACCCTGCCAGCCGGAAATCAAGAAGTCTCAATTGCCGGGCAAAACGGGCATTAACCAGGAAAATTTGAACCGCCTCCTTGTATTCTCCTAATGATTTTAAGTTGATGGGTGAAACTGGTAACGACTCGAGATGGACAAGTGAATTCAGACAATTGCAAACATTGGTTGCTAGTAAGAAAATGCAAGGCTACGATTGGCAGAAACCAATTTGAAAGGGCTAAGCAGCACATCATATTGCAATGTTCCTATGAAATCAAAAACATCAGGTGGGGCCCTGAGTGTCATTAATTTTGAGGTAGGGCGTGATCCATAGGTATGCGCAATATGTCCGATTTGCGAAACTCGGTTTAGTAAGGCGCTCGTAAACATTTCGGAGTGTCAATATTAAGCGCCAAAACCGCAAATAATTATGTTGCTTAACAACTGCAACCCTAAGAACCATTCATTGATATCTATGCAAAAAGGCTGTCTAATTTCACTTTCGGAACCAGAACTTGCTAGTTTATGAAAAAAAACAATAGAGGTTGCAACGTTTTCCATACCGTTATCATAGCAAAAAATAGTACAATACATTTTATATATGCAAAATATTCCAATAGTATAAGATTTTGGCCATGCGCTTGCTTCACAAGCTTAGTAACAAAGCTTCTACAAATTCCTGAAATAAAAATGCGAAAGTACCGAACTGAAAATCTTTTTTGTGCGGTTACACGAACAGCCAATCATTTATCATTAACAATTTCAAATTGTTGAATATTCGGACTTCAACTTTTGGGGCCGAACCGAATCATTATAAGCATTTAGTTGGTTCTCTCTTGTATATGAAATCATACATGGATGACAAAATGATAGTTTCTATTATTGAAAGTTGCTTATCGATATTATTGCGATTCCCATATATTGCTGCTCATTATACATGGTAGTGCACTTTTATGAGTTTTCATATTTTTCTCCACTCTCATACTAAGAATGCATATGGCATGTTTTTAAATTTATACCAAAATTGTAGTTGAAAAATTGCCCACCATCATTTAAGAAATGTATGTAGGGGCATACGAGACCATCATGTATTTAAGGTGGTGACATACGTTGTACTATTTGCACTATATGCTATGGGTTGTCTTGGCATTGGCTCCCTTGGGCGTGGTAACCACTGGTTTGCCGCGTTTCATATTCAACATTTATGCGACCTATATGGTGACGTATATAAATTATTTTTTCCTATTAACAAGTATAAAACCCAAGATATTTTTTTACTTCGCGTCTTTGCGTGCCTTATGGCACTAGTAAACCATACAAGTGCAAAAAATAAATAAATATCAAGACCTCTATTATAGACACGCCCATTAGGCGAGCAAATTTTTGTGAGTACACGATCAGTTCGAACACTCAATGTTCGATCTATGGCGTAAAGCTGGCCATTTTGTAAGCGGATTCATGATAGCCCATATGGCATTAAATGAATAGGCTTGTTCGTAGTGGTTGATAGAAGAATTAGTTTTGCTTCATCATTCACTTATCATACACGGCTTTATTGACCATAAGTGTATTATTTATATGTGCATAATTTTCATGGTACAAATCGTAGGTGATTGTAGGTATAAACGTAATATTGACTAGTAGCATATGGAGCATGTGGGGATTTCATCCCCACGAATCTCCACTTTCAGTTTCTACTTATTTTCACAGAAACTGAGTCCGTTTCATATCGTACAGCCAGGTGTAGACGTCCGAGTCACTTCAGCGGTGGTTTGATTTGAACACAAAACCGAGGCCAGCGATGAAACCCCAGCCAACCAAACCTGTATCCCTGAACCCAAGGCCGTCTGGCCGTCTGGGCTTTGAAAGTCTGAACCAGAGCGACGACAAGCCGAAGCAAGAGCCAAACGTACTGTACTGCCAAACCACACCCCCTCTGTCACAGGCAACAGTGTTCGTGATTCTGTCAGGGCTTATTTTGTTTTAGAAGCGTTGCCCGATCGTAACGGCTGAAGTGCCTAATCTTCCCGGAGTTTAACGGGTGCTCAGATGGGATGCTGGAGGCTTTCGGGTGGTATTTAACCTGTAACCTTGTGCTAACGGGCGTTTTGGAATACACATATTTTACGGGGAGCTTACTAACGAATACCAGGACTGAAAGTTTAGCCCCCCTCCCACCTTCGATTTTTCTTTGCATGTCGGCGCACTGGGTGAGAGAGTCGGGTGCTTCCTGATTTCGGCGGTGATAGAAAGAAGAAATAGTCACTACTGTATATGTCTAAAAGGCACCCAGATATGAGTTGTGACATCAGGGTCGGGTCAGACGCATCCCACACGGGGCCCCGAGAACTTTAGGTTAGCGCAGGTCTGAGTCCACTTGGAACCAGCATTACTGAGGGTAAGGAGATGTTTGGATTTCCAGCCAACAGAAAAATCCACCGCCCTTGGAAGGGACTGTCTGTGAGACGGTGGAGGAGATGGGGGGCCACCTTCTGGTTTGGATGGATGTGTGGCTCACTGGCTCGCAGCAGTTCCCTCCATGCTGTGGTTCGCGTGGCCATCTGCACCGCCCTTCCTGCTGCATTGCATCAGTTCCATCTGCTTGCCATGCGATGCAGCGGGGGAGGAGGGCCGACGCTCTGCGACGACCTATTTGTGCTGTTCCGCCCACTGTCCGTCGTTCCCAACGGCCAATCCTAACGGAAAGACTGCCCTCCATCAAGATTCACCAATCACGAACCCTTCGTCGGATGAAGGCTGCTTCGACCTGGGCCACACGACAGCAAAAGATAGCTGCCTCACACCCAGCCCATCTAACAACTACCTAAGTCTAGTAGACTTAGATACCGCCTAGGTACTGTCTGAGGAGAAGCGAAGTTCTAAACTGGATTAGTCCAGGTAATCACCTGTCTTAGGTCTTTATGTAGCTCATTTTTCCCGTTCTTATTTTCTTGGTTAACGTTTTTTAGATCCATTTAAACAGGATCAGTCACGAAATAGGCACACCCGAATATTTTCCCCTGGATAGTAGATGCTAGAAGCGTATGCAGTCCATATATGTCTGCGATGATGTTATTTGGCGAATAAGTCGTGACGTTTCGACTGCAAGTAAGGCGAGACTTCAATGGCTCTGAAACACGGTAAAATTTAACGGTAAACCCTCCGGGTTGCCTTTTTGGCTCCGCGAGTAAATACCTTCTTGTGAAAAACGCCGGGATGCCTCCCACGAATGTCCCTCCGCTCAGGAACGAACTCCAGCTACGGTCTGGACGAACTATTAGTGCTTCCATGTGCACGAATAGTCTTTTCTCCCAGTATTTCCTCGTTACGACTCGGAGTCTTTATTCTCGTCGTAGTACCAGCGTTGATTTTCCATTCATGGAGAGCCTCAGTCGTGATAAAATCCTTCGAATCCCGTGCAATTTTTTCTTGCAGGCTTTCGTGCTGACAGCGCTCCTGACTCCCGTGGATCGACCTTACATGATGATATCCGTGTAGAGTCACAGTCTTGCAACATTCTTGCAGCATTCAAACCACCAAAAATAGCAGGGGGTAGCAGTCTTTAGCCTTCCAATTTTCCCCTGCGAGTGGCAGTCAACGCAGCGGCGGTGTCGCAGAAGAGGCGGCGGCGCACAGCAGGGATCCTGATGCTCCTAGAAGCGTAGTTACATCGGAACAATGGACGTGAGAAGGAAGGCAGTCGCCGGCCTTTTGAGTCGACTCAAAAGCGGAGGCGGCGGCGCTTACTAGCTCTCCGTTCATGCTAGCACTAGAAGCGTAGTTACGTCTGAACAAATGGACCTGGAAAGGAACGCGAACGCCGGCCCATCATCACCAGCAGCGGCGCTGGCGTCATCAGCTGAGCTGGTGCAGCTGAGAGTGGGCCAGGGCCGTGCTATCCTGTCTTCAAGTCAAGGTCATCATGGGAGGCAGCACCGTGGGATGGTGGTGCAGGGCCGCGACGGTCGTTCCGGTCAGGACGGTGACCCTGACGGCGGCGCACGTGATGGTCATGATGGCGCACGGGATGGTCATGATGGCGCACGTGATGGTCATGATGGCGCACGGGATGGTCATGGTGGCGCACGGGATGGTCATGATGGCGCACGGGATGGTCATGATGGCGCACGGGATGGCCATGATGATGCGGCCTTGGGTGGTCATGGTGGGACACATGCTCGTGGCCGTGGGAGATTGGAACATGGTCATGTGAAACAGGAGCATGAGCAAGAGCAGCACCAGGTGCACCAGGTGCATCAGGGGCATCAGGGGCGGCATCAGGTGCATCGGGTGCATCAGGGGCCGCATCAGGGGCGGCATCAGGTGCATCAGATGCATCAGCTGCGTCAGGAGCATCAGCAGGTGGAGGTTCAAGAAGCTCTGCCGATGCACACACAGCCTGCACTGCAAGCAGAACCAACACTGAGCCGCCTGCCTGCTGCTGCTCCCTCCAGCAATGCTGCTAGTGCCGCGAGCTCCCTTCAGACAGCATCGGGTCCCGAGACGCACCACATTCGAGGAGGCGACAGCAACCGCACGCAGACTGTTTCTCCAAGCGACCCGTACGGTCCTGAAATTTCCCCTCCTCCCCATACTATCCCTCCTCCTTCCAATCCCTCTTCTATTGCGTTCGCACAATCCGCAGCGCCAGCAAAAGCAACGCCAGCAGCAGCACCAGCAGGAGCAGCAGGAGCAGGAGCAGGAGCAGGAGCAGGAGCAGCAGGAGCAGGAGCAGCAGCAGAGGCGGCAGCAGAGGCGGCAGCAGCAGGAGGGAGCAGCGACATCATCCCACACATCGCAGCACCGTCCTTCTCCTCCTCCCTGCCGCCGTCCCTCCTCACAGACCTCGAGAGCATCCCCCCCTGCACGTGCTTCACCAACTCCATCTCCTCCCAGTTCAACCCGCACGTGCACGCCATCCGCTACACTGGCGTGCGCAGCCGCGGCAGCAGCCGTTGGATCGCCGAGATCAAGGACAACCAGCGCGGCGTGCGCAAGTGGCTCGGGACCTTCTCCTGCCCCGTGCAAGCCGCCCACGCGTTTGACGCTGCGGCGCGGGCCGTGAGAGGGCCGGGTGCAAAGACGAACTTCAGAGCGGGGGAGACGGCGGGAGTGCCGGGGACGGGGGGGAGCCGATCGAGGCGGTGGAAGAAGGTGGCTGCGGACAGCAAGGCGGCGGCCCTGGCCGCTGCTGCTGCGCTGGAGGCCGAGGCTGAGGCGGGAGGTTCGGCAGATGGTGGTGGTGGTGGGGTAGGAGGAGGAGCAACAGAGCTTGCTTCTGCTGGAACTCCTGGCGTTGCTCCTGACGTTGCTGCAAATGGCGCATCTCTGCCGGCTGCTGCTGCTGCTCCTGGTGGCGCCAGTGATGGTGGTGGTGGGAACGGGTCTCACGGCAACGCAGCAGTGACGCGTGGAGAGGAGAGGTGCTTTGACTTGGAGGCGATTCTATGGCGTGATGATGAAGGCGCTGATGAGGAGCAGGAAGGAGGAGTCATGGTCAGAGGGGGGGGGTTTGACAGAGGGGGGGTTATCGACAGAATGGGGGGAGTTGATAGAATGGGGGGTGTTGACAGAATGGCGGGTATCGACAGAATGGGGGGTATCGACAGAATGGGGGGTGTTGACAGAATGGGGGGTATCGACAGAATGGGGGGTGTTGACAGAATGGGGGGTATCGACAGAATGGGGGGTGTTGACAGAATGGGGGGTATCGACAGAATGGGGGGTGTTGACAGAATGGGGGGTATCGACAGAGAGGAGGCTCAGAGAGCAAGGGATTTGTACAGAGCAGGAGGAGAAGCAGGAGCAGGAGCAGAAGTTATTGGCAGAGGTGCTCAGGGGCAGGGGCAGGGGCAGGGGCTGGAGCAGGAGCAGGAGCAGTGGCAGGCCAGCAGCAACGACTTCTGGAGCCGTCAAATGAGGCCCCACGGACTGCCCCATCAGCTGGTGGCTGTCAGCCCTATCAGCTCCTCGTCCGCGCATCATCAATACAACCGCCCGTCAGCTCCTCCCCAAGCATCTCCTCACCACCTTCAGCCCGCTCGCCAGCTCGCTTGCAGTCTAAGCCGAATGGAACCTGCCAGGCCTGCTGCTGCTGCTGCTGCTGCTGCTGCAGCTCCTGCTGCTGCTCCTACAGCTGCTAAATGTGCTACTGCTCCTACTACTGCTGCTAATGCTGCTTCTTCTCCTGCTACTGCTGCGGCTGCTGCTGCTGCTGCAACGTTCCGAGACGTTCTTTCTCATAACCAGGTGGCGCTGGAGCCTCTTCGGAGCCCTCCCACCACTTTCCGGGAGATACTGGGGCACATGCTTGGGGCGAGGGGGTCTGCGGCAGCAGCGGCAGCAGGCGGTGCTGCTGCTGCAGTGGGGGGGCAGCAGCAGCAGCAGCAGCAGCAGCAGCAGCAGCAGCAGCAGCAGCAGCAGCAGCACGTGGAGTCTGATATTGGGGCGCCGAGAATGCGAGATATGGAAGGTGCGCAACCTGAGGCGCCAGGGAAGCAGTGTGCGGAGGCTCGTTCTGACAAGTCAACGAGGCTGCAGCTGGGGTCAGCAGCAGCAGCAGCAGCACCACCAGAAGCAGAAGCAGCAGCAGCAGCAGCAGCTGCTGCCGATGCAGTGCGTCACGCCGCTCCACGTGTCCGCGAGAAGCGCGCTCGCACGGACTGCAATGACACGCTGCGTGCACTGCCTCTAACAGCGGCGCCTGCTGCTACCGTTTCAGCTCTTACCGCGGCTGGACGAGAGGGGATGGGGGTTGGATTACCTGCCTGGACCTTGTCAACTCCAGCAGAGACGGCAGACGCAGCAGAGACAGCAGCAGAGGCAGCAGAGACAGCAGCAGAGGCAGCAGCGGTAGCACCACGGGCGGGACGGAGCCGTCAGCAGCACGAGCACGAGTTGGGTGTCTCTGATGCATACCCAGAAGGCCCGCCTCGTGCTTTCCACCAGCCTGCCAGCCATCCCTACGAGCAGGGCCACATGTACCCACAGGGTGTTAGTCGAGCGTACGAGCAGCATGCGTCTAGTCCCTATCAGCCACATAGTGCTGGGAGCACGGACCCATCATGGAGTGCTGTGGCGCGGGGAGCGCGGGGCACGGCCCGGGTGAGACTAGCGCCCAGCAGATGCACCACCACCACCACTACTGTCATGCTGCCCGCGTGTCTAGGGACGACCGGAAACGCGAACAGCCAGTACATTACTGTAGCACAGCCATTGACTGTCACCGGACCTGCCGTCACCGGACCTGTATCGACTGCTGATCACACCCTGGTTCTGAATGCTGCTGCTGGCTCCCCTGCTGCGCTGGGCACCTTTCCTCCAGGCCCCTTCATCAGCAGTAGCGCCGCCTTTCTCAACAGCAGGGCTGCGTCTGTCGCTGCTGCAGCCGCCCCTCCTTTCACCGCCCCACCTCCTCCTCCCCCTCCTCCTCGTCTCCCCCCGCCTCCTCCTCCCCATCCTCCCCGCTCTCATCCTACGCCTCCTCCTGTCCCTCCGCCTTCCCCTTTCCGTCCACCTTCCCCTTTCTCTCCGCCTCTTATTCCGTCCTCTGTGCAGTGTGCGTCCCTATGGGCGCCGTCTCACGCCGCCACTGTTGCGTCCTACGCACACCCCAGCAGCGGTGTATCCCAAACACTCCATAGCACCGGTGGGTTCCAACCAAGCCCTAGTGGCGGTGTATTGCCAACACTCCCTAGCACCGGTGGGTTCCAACCAAGACCTAGTGGCGGTGTATTCCCCACACTCTCTAGCACCGGTGGGTTCCACGCACACCCCAGCGGCGGTAGTGCCCCCCTTGCTGCATGGCGGTGTGAGCCCGTGGCATGGTGGGGCGCAGAGGGCAGAGCAGGGCTACCTGCGAAGGTAGGGGGGTTGATAGCTGGCGGGCGTCATGGGGAGGACCCATGCAAGGGCGGGGGCGCGTGCGAGGGCGAGGAATGGTGCGGTGCAGAGAGGAGAGCTGGGCTCCCTGAGAACGCAGGGGGGATGGCAGCTGGCGGGCGTCATGGGGAGGACCCATGCAAGGGCAGGGAATGGCGGGACGCAGCCAGCAGAGAAGGGCCGCTGCAGGCAGGGGCGAGTGCAGATGACGGGCGTCATGGAAACCCCTGCGAGGGCGAGGACCCCTTCTCTGTGCATGTGTCTGGTTGCATCGTCGACGCACCAGGTGCGCTTGCAGCAGCAGCTGCAACAACACCAGCAGCAGCAACGGCAACAGCCGGGCGTGCAGCAACAGCAACGGCGACAGCCGGGCGTGCAGCAACAGCAACGGCAGCGGCAGCACCAGAAGGTCTGGCAGCACGGGCTGGGGAGCCAGAGGTGGCGGTGGCAAGTGCAGTAGGCGCGTTGGGAGCGATGGGAGTGATGGGAGCGATGGGAGCGATGGGAGCGATGGGAGCGATGGGAGCAGCAGGAGCGTTCCGCTCCCACTGCTCTCAACGCGCCCTGCAGCTCTCCTCACCAGGGAGCGCCGACGGACTCGCTGTGGAGAACATCCTAGGAGGCAGAGGATACCACGCACCCACCATAGGCCACATGCGAGGAGAGCATGCGACTGGCATGGGGGGGGATGCGGGAGGGGAACAGGCGTCTGCTGCTGTGCGGGTGGTGGGTGTGGGGGAGGATGGCTCTGTCAGGGAGCAATCTGGGCGGCAAGTCTCCTGTGGCTTGGTTGATGGAAGGACCGGCAGGAGTGGGGGGTTGTCGGCGGAGGTGGTGGCTGCTGCTGCGCTGTCTGCCATCCTGCAGCAGGCTGTGGGGAGCCAGAGCGGTGAGGGTGCTACTCTGCAGCAGGCCGTGGTGAGCACACAAGGCGGGGGTGCTGCAGAGGCCTCGCAGCAGCAGCAAAGGCACATGCAAGGGCAGCAGCAACATCAGCGGCAGCAGCAGCAGCAGCAGCAGCAGCAGCAGCAGCAGCAGCAGCAGCAGCAGGAGCAGCAGCAGCAGCAGCAGCAGCAGCAGCTGGGACAGCAGCGGTGGCAGCAGTTGTTGGAGCAGCAGCACCAGCAGCAGTGGTTGGAACAACAAGAGCAGCAGCGTTTGGAACAGCAGCAACAGCAGCAACAGCAGTGGATGCAGCAGCGGCAGAGGGGGCAGGAGCAGGAGCCTCCGAAACTCCAGAAGCAACAGCAGGCGCAGCAGCAACAACAGCAGCAGCAGCAACCACACGTGAAGCAGCCAAAGCAGGAGCCAGTGGATCAGCAGCCGGAGCAGCAGCTGGCAGCAGACCACAGGTGGAGCAGACGAGGAGGTGGAGTTAGCGGTGCGTCAGGGGAACGGGGGCGGCCTTCTCCGAATCCGGCTGATCGTGGGCTCAGCTTCGCCCATGCTGGCCTCTCCCTAGGCCCGCCCGTAGCCACACGCCCAATGCCACCCAATGCAGCTGTTCCACCTCCTCCTGCAGCACACCCGCCTGTAGCACACCCTCCTGTAGCAACCCCGGCTGTAGCACACCCACCTGTAGCACACCCACCTGGAGCACACCCGCCTGTAGCTGCTCCATCCATCGCGCTGGGAGCAGCAGCGGCGCAAGAACCAGGAGCAGCATCAGTGGGACTGCAGGAAAGAGCACTTAAGGGGAATCCAAGGGCAATGCAAGCGCTGCTGCGAGCCACACCAGGGTTCCTTCCCACCCCTGCTGTGGGAGTGCATGGGATGCCAGGGATCCGACCCACCCCTGCTGTCACCCCACAAGCCGTTCCTGAGATTATTCTATCACTCGCAACTAATGTGGGTGATAGAAACAGAGCAGCTATTAGAGAGGATGGGGCTAGACACCATGGAGTCGGCGATTTGAGGAATGTTACGACTGGTGCAGGGGAGACTCTAAGCGCCAGCATGATGGTGCATGGGGCTCGGAAGAGACGCAGGGATGGGCAGGTGTTGGGAGATGGGACTGGAGAGGCGGTGCCGCTGCTGGTGCCCTCGCCTTTAGGGCTCTTTCCGGATGGTATGGACGGTGGCTCATGGAAAATGACTTGACTGCAGTCAATTTTTGCTGTACGTATGTGTTGGGCTGAGAAATGCCCTTAGGATCTTTCCAGAGACTAAGTCCCAGTTGTAAAAGGAGACTTGAGTAGTGCAGCGGAAGTTGAGTAGTTGAACCCTTGTACTAGTATGTGAGAACAAGTGATTGATTAAAGGAAACAAGCATACAGCGATATATAGAAAGTAGGAAAGTAAAGCAGTTGTAGAATACAGTTGATGGAACAGTTATCGAGTCGCACAGCGACTCGATGGTCGATTCGGTTACCACTCTTTCAGTTGTAACGGTCAGTCGCAACCTCTGGTTGCAACCCTTCGAGTCTTTCGTCCTTTCGTGTTCTTTCGTCCAACGTCCTCCTGTAACCTCCGTTGACTCGCATACTCGATACGGCTTCTCTCAAGTGTAGTGCTACACTTCAGAAACGCTTAAGTCCTTGGGGTATTTCCAACACTCCCCTTCGTTATTGGAGTGCTGACGTGTTCAGATCCGGTGACGTTTGTTTGCCCGGTCAGCAGCATGCAGTAATCGAACTTTGCCTTCGCCAGTTTCTTCGTCAGGTAGTCTGCGGCCATTTCTGTTGTAGGGCAGTAACCAGGCCCTCAGATATCAGGCTTTTTAGGCTGATTTGGGTTTCAGGTCCAGGCCATATCTTGGCATTGGCTAATGCAAATGATACAAAGGCTTGTGAGGGACCTGTTGTTCAAGAATAAGTCTCAATGGGCAGTTTGCAAACACAGGAAAATCATAGACAACAGAAAAAACAGCCATTGAAATTAAGCAAACCAGGGCTTTAAGGTTGATATCTTAGGCCCTGGCAGTAACTGAGTTGAAGTTTCCCCTTCGCGATTTCATCTTTGACGAAAAAATACCGCAGGGCGATGTTCTTGGTTCGGTTGGCGAAGCCGTCCTTGTTCGCGATTTTGATCGCAGATTGGTTGTCGCAGAGGAGTGAGAAGACGGACAGGGTCGCAATCTTCGCTTCCTCGAGCAACTCTCGCAGGTAAAATCCTTCTTTGGTCGCAGTGCAGAGGGCGATATATTCTGCTTCAGCCGAATATAGTGCGATTAGTTCCTGCTTGCTCGACTGCCAGGAGATAGTCCCGATAGGTTCTAGTCGATAGATGTAGCCCGTTCTCGATCGTCGATTTTCCCTGTCTCCCGCGTGGTCGGCGTCGACGTATCCGAGTAGTTGTACGGATGGTGTTGTTACTTTGCTGTAGGTAAGTCCGGTCGTCGGCGTAGAGACGAAGTAGAGTAGTGCCCGGTTTAGTTCTTCGAGATCTTCTTGTTCCGGCTGCTTCAGATGCGTCGCCAGCTGGCTCGCGCTGTAGGATAAGTCAGGTCGGTAGGTTACTGCTGCGAATAGTAGGCAGCCGAGCTTCTGTTGATACTCCTGGATTTGCTTCGCGGGGAGTTTTGCGGAGGTGTCGTTGTTGTTTCCGTAGCGGTAGGGAGTCGCGACTGTAGTTGGTGTTAGTCCGAACTTCTTTGCGACGACGCCTGCGTATTTTCCAGCATATAAGTAGAACGCCGAGGTGTCTTCGACGACGTTTAGACCCAGGTACTGGGTTACGGTGTCTGACACCGTGAGTGTCAAATCCCTTTTCAGCTCCCCTTCGAACCAGGTGGCGATGTCAGTAGTGGAGCCGATGTAGAGCAGGTCGTCGACGTAGACGATGAGTATGATAAATTCCCTTTCCTTCTGTAGTCGGTACATGCCTTGGTCGTGCGGCAGCTGTAGGAACCCGATTCTGACGAGGCGACCGTGAAGATGCTGCTGCCAAAGCCGCGGGGCTTGCTTGATCCCGTAAAGGGATTTTATCAGCTGGCATACTTTTGTGGGGTCGTCGATGAATCCGTGGGGCTGCTCGACGAAGATCTCGGCGTCCACAGGTGCGTACAGGAAAGCATTTGCGACGTCGATCTGGCGCAGTGGTAGTTTCTTCGTGGCCGCGACGGCGAGTAGGATGCGCAAGGAGGTGTGACGGGAGACTGGGGCGAATGTTTCTGTGTAGTCGGTTCCGTATCGTTGATCGAATCCTCGTACGACCCAGCGAGCTTTGAATCGTTCGATGGAGCCGTCCGCATTGGTCTTGATGCGGTACACCCACTTTCCTGAGAGAACGTTCTTCCCGTTGATGTTCGTTGCAGGTACCAGCTTCCATGCATTTCGGTCTTGCAGAGCTTTCAGTTCCCTTTCCATTGCTTCCTTCCATTTCGCCTTGTGTTCCCCCCCCAGAGCCTGCGACAGGGTCGTTGGCTCGTGCGGAGACGGCGGCGGCGGATGCTGGACGGAGACCCATAAGCCGAGTATCTGCAGTCCCGTGGGTGTGTGTCGAGGGGAATTTTCATTCCCCGAATAGGCTGCTTCGTCACCATCTTCTGGATCAGGTAAGAAGTTTGGGCCGATGCGTTCTGAGACATTTGTGTCGACCGGGTGAGGTGTAACGTAACCTTGGTCAGCGAAGTGGTAAAGGGTGTCGAGGTTGTTGCTATCGAGAGGATTGTCTTCGTCGAGTGGAACAGCACGGAACAGTAAGGGAGTGGTCCGGCAGCTTCCGAAGCTCCAGATACGTCTTCTTCTGCTGCGTCAGCCTCGGCAGCACGGTCGGCAAAGGAGCGAAGGCCTGCGACACCGTCGGTGGGGTCGTCTGTGTTGGCGACGTTGTCCAGGTAATGCTGCAGCGTCAGTCGCTCGTAGAAGATCACATCACGTGATGCCACGGTATTTTTGTCTTGTATGTCGAGGATTTTCCATGCTTGAAAATGTTTTGCGATGCCGAGGTGTAAACCCCACCGTGCTCGTTGAGTGAATCGTCCTGCTCGGGCTGTGTGGGGTCTGTACTGTACCATGCAGCCGAAAACCCGGAGTAGTTTTGTGCTGCCCCTTTATCGTGTCCACAGCAGGTGCGGTGATGCGTTGTTGGGAAGCGAGGACGAGGATAACAAATTGTGCAGGTTGACTGCATGGGTCATCGCGTTTGGCCACAGTGTGTTGGGCAGTCTCATCCCTAGGAGCAGCTTCCGCATCGTCGTCTGCAAGGTCCGGTTCATTCTTTCTGCAACCCCCTGCTGCTGGTGAGCGTATGTCAGAGACACCAGGCGTCTGATCCCCCTTTCTGCCAAGTAGGTCCTGAATCGTTATGACTGGTATTCCAGTGCGCCGTCTGACTGGAAGCTCTTGAACTTGGTTCCTGATTCTCGTTCGGCGATGGGGAGCCACGTTGTGAAGGCTTCGAAGGCTTGATCTCGCGTCTTGAGGTTGTAGTGCCAAACATATCTTGTTGCTGCATCGATGAACGTGATGACATAGTTGAAGTCGACTTCAGTGTCGTCTCGAGGCATGTTTAAGATGTCGCTGTAAACTTTTTTCCATCGGTGCATATGCAGGTGCACTTGGATTGTGATGTGATGGGAAAGGTTGATGGGGGAGATCTGCTTCGGGGCACGTGAAGCACCGTGCGCGGGGTCGTCGAAGTTCTTGGCCGCTCGTTGTAAGAAGAGCGTTTCGTTCTAACACTTCGGCTTGTATGGTTTGTAGTACCGTGCTGTTTGCAGGATGTCCAAGGCGTTGGTGCCAGATGTCGTCTGAGGCGCGATGGCCGGGCGAGCGTTGGTACATGTCGGTATTGGAGAAGAACGCGACGACCGTGGCGGGACTTCGGCAGACTTCTCGTGTAATGGGCATAAGTTGATCTGCTTCGGTTGGGGGTCCTCGGATTGCTGGTGATGGCGCTCGGCTGGGTCCTGCTGCTGCTACTGCAGGTGATGTTTTGGGAGGGACGCTTGCTCGTACTTGTCTTTCTTGTCGGATGACTGCTAACGCTCGTGTTCTCTCTGCTGCAGGTATGGTGTTGGAGTACCAGAATCAATCTGGGGTGAAGTCGGGGTCAAGATCCGGTGGATGCGTCCAGGCAGCGAACGACACGATGCCATCGCTGTCGGCAGTACTGTGGTCGGGGACGAAATCCAACACGAAGACGCCTGACTTCAGGAGAGCGCGACCGATGAAGAGACCGCCCTTCCCGTGGTAAAGGCGAAATTCGTTGGAGTCCGAGTCGCACTCCAGGTGAATCCCTTTTGCCTTTAACTGAATGACGCTGAGTTGTAGACGATGAGAACTTTGTTGAGTTGTAGTATGGCGTTCGTCTCCATTGACTGAAGCTGAACGACGCCTTGTCTGTTTGTTTTTAGGTTCTCGTTGTTGGCGACAGTGATGATGACATCACGGTTGAGGCGTCGCTCGCGCTGCATGAAGCGCCCGGAAGAATACATGTGTTGACCGCAACAGCTATCCAAGAACCAGGTGTTTCGTCCGGTGGGTTCGGCATTGGCGACCGCAGCGTATGTCGGGTTAACCTGAAGTCCTTGTGAGCGTGGCGGCGGCAGTTCTTCTTCATCTGGAGCGTAAGTGGGTGGTGATCCTGGTGCGCAGCTGTCGATGTGTACCATGCAATTGATGATGTTTGGTGTGCCTTGTGCAGATGAGGATGAACGTCTCGGTGGGCTTTCTTGAGTGGAAGCGACTTGTGGGTCTACTGGACGATAAGCTATGGGACGTGTGCAGTTGACTTTGGAGTGTCTGGATGTTTGGCAGTTGTGGCAGAACGGCGGCACAATGGTGAGTCCTCTGTTGTCGCGTTGCTCTTGCTTGCTGCGTCGATTGTAGTTGTTGTCGTTCCTTTGTTGAGTGTAGAAGACTAACGGTTGCTGCTTCCTTGGTTGTCTTTCTTCAAACAGGTCCATCTCTTGTTGTTCAGCATGGAGCTCGGCGCAGAGGTGCATCTCCGAGATTCGTCCGTGGGCGCGAAGAAGCGAGCGGGTGGTTCTCCATTCTGGCCCGAGCCCAGCGAGGACAAGCGTCACGAAGCTTTCTTCAGTGATTGTTCCTCCGCACCGAAGCAGGCGGTCACGGAGTATCTGGCATCGACTCATATACTGCATCGCCTTTTCTCCGGTCTTCATCTGTATTGTTGTCAGTTGCTGCATGAGTCTGCTTTGTGTCATGCTGTCGTTTTCTTGATAGAGACACTTGAGGTGATGCCATGCGAGTTCCGCGGAGTTTCCATAGCTCCGATACGTTCTGATGCTTTGCTGCTCTTGTGGTGACAGGTTCCGCAGGAGGACTGTGTACGCCAACAACGACTGATACGTAAAGATTTCTTGTTCT